CCATTTCAACACGCCTGTCAACACACACACAAACAAAGCACACTCACAGATACTCGAACCGGCCAAAGATACTCAGATACTCTCAGATACTTCTTCGGGGGCTGGATAGTAAATCAACTGAATCGCTCGTAAAAAAAACCAAGCAGTTGACTGGAAATATATTATTATTTTTTGGTTTTTTTTTTAAGTGTGTGTATTTTTTTAATTGTTTAAGCAACAATGGGTGGTAAAAATGGTAAATAAATAATAATAAAAGCTGGAAATAATTTATAAACTAAATCTTTGTGGCTTTTGCTTACGACTCTCTGGAAGAATCATTTCCTGTGGCCGACCACTCAGCACTTTCTACGTTAATTACGACTAAAACAAAAAAAAACTAAAGCTAAAAAAAAATCCAATTAAATTAATAAAATTTTATGACCACCGTGTGTCGGCGCGCACAATAAAAACAATTGAATTATGAAGAGAACATTGCGTAAAAATGAATTCGAGGCAGAGTATTAACATTTTTCACTGTTTGTGATTGTTGTTGCTGCCGCTGCTCATGTTGTGGGGCTACTTTGTTGTTTCGATTTTATGCGTTTTTAATTACAAGCCCAAAAACTGAGGCCCAGATACAGTATCCCACAACCAGAAAACAAAACACAGAAACCACTACAGATCTGGGAGATCGAGAAGAAAACAAAGGGAGAGTTTCGGCCCTAAATAAAGAGTTCGAATGTCTTTGAATAATTAAAGTATCAAGTCTAAAAAATGAATACGCAATTAGCAATTCTGTTTCACAATTCCCCTTTATTGATTACCATATGTTCCGATTTCTTTTTTCAAAAATCTAATTCAAACTTCTATGGATTTTAATTATGGGTTTTCAATTTCGATTTAACTCGAATTTTATTTACGCCCTTGTTTATTATTCTTTTTGTCGAACTCACAGTAGCCTAGCCACTGTGTGGTGCATCAAAGAGTGCTCTAATTCCCCCAATGCTCAATGCCCGATGCCCAATGCCCAATGCCATTTTCCAATTACGTTAATAGCTCATAACACGACGTTTTTGTTTGTTGTTCTTCGCTTCAGACTCTTTAAAGCCAAAAGCCTCTTGCCTTTTCAGTTTGAAGAGCATCAGAGAAGAGCTTTTGTGGCACAATACGGGAATTGTTTCCCCGAATCGGTCATTCGGTCAAACAATACCAAACAATCGATGAATGTAGCGCCTTCCTCCTTCCTCACAAACCCACACCCCAAAATCGACCTACAGAAGAATATACAAATTTGATGTTTGTAGATCCCTCTCTTTCTATATAGTGGCATATTTTTCAGCTGACTTTGGGCTTTTCTTCACAAGAATAGCGATCGGAGGGCACTTAAAAGAATTGTTACTGCTGCTGAGGCAGCTTCTGTTTTTTTAGGTTTTCTGGGGGGCCATAAAGTTTTTATGATCATCCATTGATAGTGCGAGATATTTCTACGGGGGCCAAGCGCCCTCTCGTTCTCCATTTACTAGCCATCCACTAGCCACCCACTCTTCCATTTTCCAGGTGAATCAGGTGAAAATCAGAGATTTGACAGTTGATCGAAGTCGAATGCAGTTTTGCTGTGAGTAAGGCCTTTGTCTCAGAAACTCTGCCTTTACGTTCAGACTTTGTTTATACGATTTCGAAAGTGTTTGGCACCCATTCATCATGGCCCTGGTAGTACGTCGGACTCTTGTTCCGTTTTTTATTGTTTTTTAAGCAACTGAGACATATAGGAGCTTTTCATCAGTGTCTATGTTCATCTAGTAGACATATTCAACCCACAAGTGCACTGTGAAAATACTATTTAGTTCCTCGCTAATATAAATCTCACTAAAAAAAACTCTTTACTTAATTTTCCTCAGTGTGTTTTTTGCCTTTTGTTTATTTGTTGAATCAGACCCGTCAAAAGCTGAAAAAAATACATACATCTCCAACTGCACGTCAAAGTTGGTAAAATGTGTTAACACAGTCTGATAAGTCCGGGCCACTAAATGCTCCAGGTCTGAGACTTTAGCGCAAACATTTTGACAACTTGTGAACTTTAGACTGACAACTCGCCCCACTGCCCCACTCGCAAGAGGGGCCAGTGGTATCATAAACCATAAACCACAAAATCTTCCTATACCCCTCCCTCAACAATTAAGGAACAATCACAAAATGCTGCCGAAATCTTCGAGATGCTGGAAAAAAAATACAACTTTGAGATATATAAACAAACAAAAAAGAGCGCCAAACAGCTGAAGCATCATCTTGGGAAGCAAATACAACAATAATAAGCCAACGATTAGCCCATATTTGAGTAAAGATTTTTAACGATTTGAGTTATAGAGCTGTTCTATAAAATGCTATCCTATAGAAGATCTACTAAAAGAAAGTGAGGAGCTAAGAAAGGTTGGCGTTTGATCATTCATGAAGATGTGGCCTGATGGGCTTATTAATTGTTTACAAAAATCTAAACATTGTTTAAAATTTTTAATCAAACAGGAACCATCTACCTGACAACAAGGTAAATATAATAAATATTTAAAATCCAAAAAGAGGATGTGGGCTACGTGAATATAAACAAGTAACCAAAATATAAATAAATTCAAATAAATGAATAATAATTTAAACAAACCGAAGTAAGCTCACAATCTTAAGCAAATTATCAAATTATAATATTAATTTTAAAATTATAAAAACCATCAGAGACTAAACAACTCCCAAGATCAAATATAGGACAGTGGGGTCTTTTCGAATAAAGTTATCTCTTAGAAACCAGCAGCAGCACGAGATTAGCACGACATATTGCCAAGATATTTTGATCACTCTTGACTTGGCTCTAAGCTTTTGGTAGCAGCTACCGCTACTCTCTTGGCCATATTAAATCAGCTTTTATGGTATTTGAAAATGATTAGCCGCCCAGATACGAACAAGTGTCTGGAGATGTACACGAAGTGTATGCAAACCCTGGCACTTGGACAGTGGAGCACAAAGTATTAAAATTAACTTTTATAATTGATATTCTTATTTTTTAACCATTTCCAGTTGTTCTTTAATTTTTGTTACCTGAGGCCCTGGCCTAGCCCAACAACAGGAAAGCCATAACCCAACGACAGAGTCGCTAACCTTTATGATTTTTTTTCTTTAGTTTTTTGTTATCATCCAAGATGTACACGAAAAAAAATGACAAGTTTGTCGCATGTAAACAACTTGTGGCAGTGTGCGGGTGGAGGAGGAAACTGGCGGGAGTTTGGGGGGCGTGGTGTGGATCGGATCGGAGAGTAATGTCACTAGAACGGAAATCAGAGAAGCAGGTAACCGTAACAGCTTGAAAGAGCCCATACTGAGGGTCAAAAGTCTGTGACTGAGGTTTGTAGAAGAAATTTTAAATTAAAAAAAAAATATTGTTAGGAAATTTGTATACAAAATTTATTTTAAGAATTAAAGTTGAAATGAAACCTCAAGATTGATAGTGTTTCCTTATAATTGGTTTCGCTTTAAATAATTGCAAAAAGTATAGCATACTTATTGGGTTTTGTAATCCTTTTTGAATACAATTTGAAAACTTCCTGCTTTTTAGTTCTTATTTGTTTTAAAATAAATTTAGAAAGAAACCAACACTTTTCTATCAAATCAAGTACTAGAAAAGACTCATTTTAGTAATTATATTATGAATATATTAAAGTCCCTATTCTAGTTTATTCCCAAAATAATAGCGCTCACTGTGCCGTCGAAATCTGTGGCATATCCAACACACAATCTACAGATACATTAGAAAATATCTCAAAAATCAACACAAAAACTACAGAGTCGACATCGACGCTGGCAGCGACGCGTCGCCAGTTGGGGCGGCAGCGACAGCGACGGCGACTGAGACTGAGACAGCGAGGCAACAGCAGCGGCGTTAGAAGAAGATCTCTGATTCAGAACCGAACTGAAACACACATTATTTTGAGTGGCCGAGAAACGCGCATGAGTGAAATAAATTTTCACGCTTTCAAACAGAGCGTCAGAGTCAAAGCAGAGCAAAAGCAGCAGAAAAGCAGAGCAAAAGCAAAAGCGGCATCTGAGGAAGAGACTTTTCGACGGCGACGTATCACAAAATCAGAAACGATCCGACAACCGACCGACAACCCACAACAACCGACAACACCGACGTCCATTCATAGTGTGTGTTATTGTTGTTGTTATTGTACAGTATATAGTTTTTTTTGTTGTTGTTGTGTGGTGGGGCCGGGTCGTCGAGAGATTCCCCATGCGATCCCCCACAAAAACGATCCGCAAATCAGTCGAAAGTCAGAGCCCGAGCTGTTCGAAAATCGAACAGAAAATCGGTGGTGGTAGTGCCTGTAGTGCCGATTGTCGAGAGTTTTTCGCGAGAGTGGAAAAGGTGGAAAATCACACAATATTATCGGATCTCAGATCATTCAGATCGAAACGAACGGTCAAAGTGAGTGCTTCGATACCTACATATCTCCTCATCGATTCAATATCTGTTTCTCAACATGGGAAAAACGGGCCCAAAGGATGCACCCCAACAGCCTTCTACTCCGCTGCCGAGAACAAAATTAACAAAAATTTAAAAACAAAACAAAAAATACGATATATCAAAAAAGGAGCAGAAGATAAAAAATATATATATATTCGGGCAAAAGGCCAGAAAAAAAGGGCAAAAAAGTGCAGACAAAAGGTTCAGAGAGTCGCGCGACTTCTTCGGTTTTCGGTCTGGGATTCTGATTAAAGCGCGCGTTTAATTTCATTTTTTACGCTACTCCCTGGTTATCCCTGTATCGCCCTGTATCCCCGAATATACCCATAACCCTCCAAGTATATTTCGAACTCCACCCTTGGCCAGACTTTTGATTCGCTGTTCGCTTGGCTTTTATATTTTTTGTGGCCCAAACGTCGACCTGGACTCGGACTTGGACTTGGACTTGGGCCTTTGGAACTTTTTGTTTGTTTCGCTCGCCGCCTGTTCCTGTGCCCTGTGTGCTCCTCTGTGTGCCCAGTGCCTGTGCCTGTTGTGTGTTTCTTCTTGTGGCTCGAATCTCAAAACTTGGCCGACTGGCTGCTGGCCATAATATTCCTTTTTAAACGCTGCTCAGTACGCCGGCAGCTTTCTCCGTGTGCGTACGAATCTTACGCAGACTCCACACTACAAAACATCACACACCAAGCAAAAAACCGAAAAAGTGAAAGAAAAACTTTAAACAGAAAAAGGAGATCGATCGGTGATCATGTCGCCCGGGATTCCGCCACCAACCGCCAACTTCCCCCAAAATGAGAAAAATATATAAAACAAAAAATCCACTCAGCTCGAGCCGCTTGATTAATTCGCACACGTCAACGGTATTCAAATAAGCATCTCGTGTACTCATCGTGGCCGCAATAAAAAACGCTTTAACTTTAACTACCTGCCAAAAAAACAACAACAAAAAAATAAGAGCAAGCATCAACAACAAACAATAAAATAAAAAAAAAAACCCCTATATTATAACACTCAGTTTGGTTTAAAAAATATAAACAAAAATTCCAGCAGCTCAACGGGCCAGAATTTGGTTTGTTGCCGCTGCACTTGGCGGCTTCAATCGATATGCGTTTACTTATGGTAATTGCAATTTTAATATTCGCAATGCCAATGACAGGATTCGGATGGTAAGTGGATATAGGCTAATATATATTTATTATATTTTTAGCTTTAATCTTCTTAAAATGATTTAAACTCTATTTTTAATCTACCTAGTTTAATCTTAGCCAAGTTGGCCAACAAAGTCTCTTCGTTTTGGCAGTTTGTTCTGCACTCGTTGGGATTGCAATTTATGTTCTTATTTCAATGCCAAAAAACCCATTACCACCCGCTCGGAGGCCTCTGCTGTGCTTAGCATCTGTGTTCTTGTCAAATCGCATCAATTTACGAGATAGAGATTGGCATAACAGCTTCCGGTACAGTGGACCGGTGGCACATTCAAAAATAAAAAAGTGCAAGCTCCCCCCAAAAATAAACGCATACGATATTGCTGGTAGTGAGTCAAAGCCAAACACAACGATCTAAATGGTCAAAATGCAAATGTAAAACCAAATCTGAGCCAATCGAGCGTGGCCAGCACCGGGGGGACCTTCAAAATGTGACGTTTGATTTAGATTTAATTACATGGCAACTTTTCGACTCTCATGCACTATTTTTTTTGTTGTCGGTGGGCTTGGGGGGCTTGCCAAAAAAATTGTGGCCAAAATAAATAGCCAAGAAGGGAGCCAAAAACCAAATGACACTTGGAGCAATTTATGCGCGAAATTACAGGCGAAAAGGCGTCCCCAGAGATGATAAAATAAATAAACAAACCGAGGAGGACAAATAACATCAAATAGAATGAAAAGTTCGGGTGGGGGACGGAGACATTTTCTTACACATAAGTTATGCAGTTTGCCAAAATATTTGCCAGCAAAGTGGCATCAATGAATTCGCCCCAAAGAGGATGCGCTTCTTTCTTATTTATTTGCCAAAAGGTAGAAATATTGCGGCTGTCAACGGCAACGAAAGCTGAAATTTTACAGGGTGGTGGTGGTGCCACCCTATCGAGGTGGCGGGATGGTGCAGGTGTGGTGGGCGTCGCGTGGCGTAGACTGCATGACGATTTTGTGGGTGGATTTTTATTTTATTTTCCGATTTTATTTTTGCATCAATTTAATTTGAGTTCTGTGCAACTGGGCGCGTCAGCAAAAACCGAAGGTGGACACCTGCAAAATGAAAGGGGCAGCTCTTTCCATGCCGACGTCGCGACGTTGCATTGCCAATTCAATTGCCACTTTTTCACAATAAATTAATTAAATAATTAAAGCTCAAGTTCAGAGCTCTTTTGATGTCGAACGTCGAATGTTGAACGAGCTACGGATATATACTAGATAGAATAGTATGTGTCGAATGTGCGTGCACGGCTAGAAAAGATGTGCCACTTTCTACGCTTCATCTGTGCCACTCAAGGGCGGCTGGGCTTGGATACAAAGAAATGTGCAACAAATAATGACTAAATAAAAGACCAAATTGATGACAGCCAGCAGGCCATGAAGGATGACAGACGAACGATGTAATCAAAAGGTGTTAGGGTTATTTAGGGACACTTGTTAGGGACACTTTTGAGAGTTATTTAAAAGTATTTAAAGAAATATAAGCTTTCCATTAAGGAATCCAAAGAAATATTGTATAAATAGAACCCTATAAGTTTATAATAAATCCATTTTATTAGTTATCGTCAGCGGATCTGCTCAATTTGCAGTTTACAATGGGTTCGGAATTCGTTCGGATATATAATATATGTATTATATATATCCAAAATCCAGACCGGAGGTTTACAGCCCCATACAATCGAAATTTGTTTGTGTGCGAAAATTCTCCGGCAAAGTGCACTAAATCAAACGGTCGTTGTGTGAGCGATTGAGATCATAATCAATGGGCGATGGGCCTCCGGCCAGGCCAGTCCCGGCCAGAGATGAGTAGAATTGTACTCGAATTGTGGGTAGATGTTCCGTTAAATGAATGAAAATTCCAGAAGGGGTAGGGGGTGTAGAGCCAATTACAGAGAAACTTACAACAAATTGCCGTCGATCGGGGCTGAAATTTAGCGCTGATGTGTCTGGAATTTAATTAAAAACATTCGATGAAGATCTCGCAATTTATGAGAAGATCAGCACCCAGTAGCTTGGTTTTTTCCCTCGATTCGTCATTAACTCTACGAAATGAGCTCATTTCCGTTGGCAGAAAATCATTTGACATTTGCAGGCGACTTCCTGCTTTTCGATTTTAATTTGATTTGGCATTTGCATTTTACATTTTCATTTCATTCATTGAAAATCGGTTCATTCAGTTGCGCTTGATTTTACGTTTCTTTTTTGGCACTCTCAGCATGTGAAATGGTAATTAATGCCAGGCTGGGGCATTAATGGGTTAAGGCAAGCCAGGGGGGAGGGGAGGTAATGGAGGGTGAGATGTGTGGTGGTGTGGTGGCCAAGTGGCCACTTAGTCTCAAGCTGTGCTGGCTCCACAGTCGGTGGTTGCATCAACACAACATTGCTCATACGCCCCGTGCAACCGTAACACATCGTGATTATCTTTTTCAACAAAATTTGGCACACTTTATGTGCCATGAGCCAGTAGCAACAAACACCCCCACCTACCCACTAAAGCAACTTAATAATTATGTTCAACTAACGAGCAGACAAAACTCGGCCAATTGCCAAAATCCAATGCAGATGAGTTGATTATGAACAAAATAACAAACAAAACACAAGTGGAAAAAAGTCAGAATCTCTGACACAATTCACTCGACATTAACGAGATTCTGTGGGTCTGCGTCTCTAGAGAAAGTTCACCTTGTTTCGTTTATTTTTGTGGTTCACGTTCAAGTTTCCCCCAAAGTAGCTATTGTCGTGCCTGCAAATCTTTTAATTAAAAGTCATGCCATTTGTTTATTTTGTTAATTTGTCGCTTTCCCCCATGTCACATTGACGAATGTGTCTGTCTTCAGTCTTTAGCCTGTCTACTAACTGTTGGCTGCATCATTATTAAATCGGATGACGAAACAAAAGAACGAGAACGGGCTAAAAGACATGGGTCAAGTTGGAGGACAGTTGTACAGGTAGAACAGGGCCAGGGCCAGGCCATGATGTCTGTCAAACAAATTGTCGAGCAAGAGCCCCAGGAATATATTCTTGTCATCTTTGATTTTGAAAAGAAACGAGGCTGATGAGGTAGCTCAAGAAGATTTGAGGAAAATGCATTTATGAAAAAATTTATTAAAAGCATGAAACCATAGTACACATTTTTCGCCAAACACTCGCCAGATTCTATCCATTATTACCTCATATCAAAATATTTTTCCGGCCATCAAATGTCGCTAAAGTGCAAAGCCCAAAGGAATCCTTTGCCAACTACCTGCCCAATTCCCCTTTTTCACAACCGCGATTCATCGTGATTAAGCACAGTTTAGCTATCCTGACATGAACATGACCATGTCCATGGAACGATAACCATTCCCTAAGCCCGGCTACGCCTATTTGAGCCATAATTAAGTTAAACGTTGTCGCAATTTGCGCACCTCGAAAGTCACCAACCGACTTGGCCCGGAGATTGATGTCGCCTTTGTTGGTTGGCGTTTGGCTTTGAGAAGTCACAGGCACTTAAGGCTAAAGTTGAAGTCGTGCCCTGCCCACTGGAACCCAAGGAGGCGGATGCTTGTTAACGGAATGACAAAGCCGGGCTAAGAAAACGCTCATAGTAAATATGCCTGAATTATTAGCCGGCGTTTTTGTCGCGCCAATTGGACATGGACATGCCTGGGAAACGTCTCAAAAACTCTCAGCTTTCAGGCCTAAGCAAATGCTAAAACACAAAAATTTTTGGGTTATGTTAAGAGATGAATTTCAGATACATTTTTCAATTTATTTCTTGAATTTTATCTAGTTTTTGTCAAAAATGTTTTTGTCATTTTGCTGTCGTTCTCAAAATTTGGTAAATCTATAAAATGTCTTAAAATTTTGAAGCACATTTATAAAGAATCGATCCACAAACCATTTAAGACACTCCGCTTAAAATTCGGATGAATATTGGCCAAGTTAGAGCCTTCGGAGGGGCAATTTTGTCCCCACATGTAATTTTCGTGAATTTTGAAGGGGACCCCCTGAAAAATTGGACAAAAACTAAAAAATAATTGGTTTCTAGGTTTTGATGTAGATTTATAGAGAATCGATTCACAAATCATTTAAAACACTCCGCTTAAGAATCGGATGATTTTTGACCAAGTTAGAGCCTTCGGAGGGGCAATTTTGTCCCCACATGTCATTTTCGTGAATTTTGAAGGGGACCCCCTGAAAAATTTGACAAAAATCTAAAAAATAATTTGTTTCTAGGTTTTGATGTAGATTTATAGAGAATCGATTCACAAATCATTTAAAACACTCCGCTTAAGAATCGGATGATTTTTGACCAAGTTAGAGCCTTCGGAGGGGCAATTTTGTCCCCCATGGCATTTTCGTGATTTTTGAGGGAACCCCATGGAAAATTTGACAAAAATCTAAAAAAAAATTTGTTTCTAGGTTTTGATGTAGATTCATAGAGAATCGATTCACAAATTATTTAAAACACTCCGCTTAAGAATCAGATGATTTTTGACCAAGTTAGAGCCTTCGGAGGGGCAATTTTGTCCCCCCATGGCAGTTTCGTGAATTTTGAAGGGGACCCCCTGAAAAATTTGACAAAAATCTAAAAAATAATTTGTTTCTAGGTTTTGATGTAGATTTATAGAGAATCGATTCACAAATCATTTAAAACACTCCGCTTAAGAATCGGATGATTTTTGACCAAGTTAGAGCCTTCGGAGGGGCAATTTTGTCCCCCATGGCATTTTCGTGATTTTTGAGGGAACCCCATGGAAAATTTGACAAAAATCTAAAAAATAATTTGTTTCTAGGTTTTGATGTAGATTCATAGAGAATCGATTCACAAATTATTTAAAACACTCCGCTTAAGAATCAGATGATTTTTGACGAAGTTAGAGCCTTCGGAGGGGCAATTTTGTCCCCCCATGGCAGTTTCGTGAATTTTGAAGGGGACCCCCTGAAAAATTTGACAAAAATCTAAAAAATAATTTTTTTCTAGGTTTTGATGTAGATTTATAGAGAATCGATTTACAAATCATTTAAAACACTCCGCTTAAGAATCGGATGATTTTTGACCAAGTTAGAGCCTTCGGAGGGGCAATTTTGTCCCCACATGTCATTTTCGTGAATTTTGAAGGGGACCCCCTGAAAAATTTGACAATAATCTAAAAAATAATTGGTTTCTAGGTTTTGATGTAGATTTATAGAGAATCGATTCACAAATTATTTAAAACACTCCGCTTAAGAATCGGATGATTTTTGACAAAGTTAGAGCCTTCGGAGGGGCAATTTTGTCCCCCCATGGCAGTTTCATGAATTTTGAAGGGGACCCCCTGAAAAATTGGACAAAAACTAAAAAATAATTGGTTTCTAGGTTTTGATGTAGATTTATAGAGAATCGATTCACAAATTATTTAAAACACTCCGCTTAAGAATCGGATGATTTTTGACCAAGTTAGAGCCTTCGGAGGGGCAATTTTGTCCCCCATGGCATTTTCGTGATTTTTGAGGGAGCCCCATGGAAAATTTGACAAAAATCTAAAAAAAAATTTGTTTCTAGGTTTTGATGTAGATTCATAGAGAATCGATTCACAAATTATTTAAAACACTCCGCTTAAGAATCGGATGATTTTTGACCAAGTTAGAGCCTTCGGAGGGGCAATTTTGTCCCCCCATGGCAGTTTCGTGAATTTTGAAGGGGACCCCCTGAAAAATTTGACAAAAATCTAAAAAATAATTTGTTTCTAGGTTTTGATGTAGATTTATAGAGAATCGATTCACAAATCATTTAAAACACTCCGCTTAAGAATCGGATGATTTTTGACCAAGTTAGAGCCTTCGGAGGGGCAATTTTGTCCCCACATGTCATTTTCGTGAATTTTTGATTTTTCAGGGGACCCCCTGAAAAATTTGACAACAATCTAAAAAATAATTTGTTTCTAGGTTTTGATGTAGATTTATAGAGAATCGATTCAAAAATCATTTAAAACACTCCGCTTAAGAATCGGATGATTTTTGACCAAGTTAGAGCCTTCGGAGGGGCAATTTTGGCCCCCATGGCATTTTCGTGATTTTTGAGGGAGCCCCATGGAAAATTTGACAAAAATCTAAAAAATAATTTGTTTCTAGGTTTTGATGTAGATTCATAGAGAATCGATTCACAAATTATTTAAAACACTCCGCTTAAGAATCGGATGATTTTTGACCAAGTTAGAGCCTTCGGAGGGGCAATTTTGTCCCCCCATGGCAGTTTCGTGAATTTTGAAGGGGACCCCCTGAAAAATTTGACAAAAATCTAAAAAATAATTTGTTTCTAGGTTTTTATGTAGATTTATAGAGAATCGATTCAAAAATTATTTAAAACACTCCGCTTAAGAATCGGATGATTTTTGACCAAGTTAGAGCCTTCGGAGGGGCCATGTTGTCCCTCCAAGGTATTTTCGTGATTTTTGAGGGGACCCCCTGGAAAAAAAAAATTTTAAAATTGGCAAAGATATGTTCTTCGTTGTGGGTCATATGTCTATGGGTCATATTGTTATGACCAAGTTCGAGCCTTCCGATGGGCCGCATTTCCCCACAAGGTTTTATTCCTGATTTTTTGGAGGAGATCCACTAGAAAATTTGACAAAATATTTTTCGTTTGTATGGAAGAAATCGTCTAAGATGTTCCTCTTAGTAAAAATATAGAAAAATTTCAGGTTAAAATAAATGGTCAATTAAACTCGTATGTTAGGATTAAAATATTTAAATTGATGAATCATTTTAAGGACATGCTGAATGCTTAAAGTGGCGCCCGAGTGAGGCAAACGTGCTAATATGCTAATTGCCAAACGACAAACACTCCGCCTCCGTTCGTGCCCCAAAAAGGTGCCAAAAAGCAGCAGGCGGCGCCCACACACGAAGCCGCACCCAGCAGATCAGTTCCGAACTTCTCGTCATGTCAACACCTTTTCGGTGTTTCTTATTTGTTTACTTGCTGGTGTGTTTCTGTATTATTATTTAAATTTTTTTCTGCCGGTAGCTGGCTGGGGGGAACCTAATCGATTGTCAATGCTGCCGCCCACATCAAACGGCGAGATCGTCTCTTTGGAAAAATTCGTGTGCACAAGAGATCAGCACTTGCGCTGAGGCATTCTGTAGACAAATATTTGAGCGCGTAAATGAAACTGACCAGCCACAACAGCACTTGACTTGGCCCAGTCGACAGCCAGCGGGCCAGCTCAGAAAAAAAGTAAAAATAAAAAAACTAAAAGGCAGAGAGGCAGTGTCAGTCCCGCAGCCTGGCGACCAATCCAATGGCCATTCATTCACTTGTCAACGCTTTGTTTAAATACTTTGCAACTCGCATGTTGACAAGTGGTTTAAGTCGTTGATTTGTTTGCACTGACCACTTTGGCAGGTGGAGAGGGGATAGAGTATCTGCAGCCTGGACAGGCAACTCACAAAAGTGAGTCAATCAAATGAAAACACGCATTTACATACAAGAGACTCAGGAGCGGAAAACTAAATAGTCAAAGGGGACCAATCAAATAGTCATAGTAAGAATGTTTTAAAGAAATATTTTTAAAAATATTAAAGAAACCAATACTTTCCAACAACTTTGAAGAGCTTCAGGAACTTAAATCCCATACTTCCAGAATTCTTAAAGATTTACAGGATAACAGGATAGTAAATAACACTTAACCTTTGATCATAATTCGATAAAGATATATGAAAATTGTTAAAAATTTTTCAAACTTACCTACTTAAGTCCTTGTATTAATTTCTGAAAGACTAAAGTTTATTCTTTAAACTACTCTACTCATACTTTCTCTACGTACTATTCGTTTAAGAATGTTTTAAGGAAATATTTTTAAAAATATAAAAGAAACTAATACTTCCCAACATCTTTGAAGAGTTTCACAAACTTGAATCCCTTGAATACTTCCAGAATCCTTGAAGATTTACAGGAGTCTGAAACGAAACTAATAGGAAAATTTTTATATTTGAGCTTACAAAGTCATTAAAATTCAATTTAAATTGAATGTTCTTAAAGCTTAAATCAGAATTGGACCATTCAGGTTCAATATCTTTATCGCATGCCTAAGCTAGTATGGAAAACCACTTGTCCATTTTTTTGGGTGGCTACCAAAAATGAAACCCAACCGGACACTTTGATTAATGCCAAAGCACCTGAGAAAGAGAAATATACTTTGGGGGGTGATAGAGAGGGAAAGGAATCACTGAAAATCCATTGAGGCCTATAACGACACCCATACCAGGGCAAACAAAAAAGAAAAGAAAAAAGAAAACACACAGATACTGGGAGACGGTTGTGTGAAAGCAAAATAAAGATACGTTGGCAAGTGTGGCCTCAAACTGGATGGATGCACTGAAAACAATTAAGTAAAATAATATAAATCAAAGTTCAAGATCAACTAAAATCTATTTTAAATAAAATTAATAAACAATACATTTATCTAAAATATTTTTATCTGTATCTCTTGTCTAGATACTAAACTATCTATTTATTTGTTGACTGTGTATTATGGGAATGGTATGGGATGGGTAGAGGGACCTGAGAGACCTGAAGTTGCTGGCCGGCTCCTTTTTTTGATGTTTGCCGACAATCTCGCTGCCGACGTTGCCGCTCGCGTCGCTGTCTCTGTTGCTGTCGCTGCTGCTGGTGCTGGTGGTGCTGCCAAGCAAACTTCAGTTCAACTTCAAAAACCAAAAAGTGTCGAACGATCGGTTGCTCCACTCTCTGTGCGGCTATTTTCCGCTTAACAAAAATCTCCTCTTTTTGTTGTGCTTCATGTAGCTATTTGTGTTTGTTGTTGTTGTTGGTGGTGGTGGTGGTAGCAACTTGTGTGGTTGAAAGGTGTTTGAGTTCTTTAGATCTCTCCAGTCATCAACGCAACGCAGCCCAGACGTCATCATCATCAAAGCAGCAACACACCAAGAGGAACTAAGAGCAACACCAACAGCAACATCTAGGGTAACAGCAGCAACATCTACAGATAGCAATGAAGATCGCTCCGATCGCTCCTATGATGAAGATGATCATTTTGATTTGAACTTCAATTGTTTTCACTTTGTCTATCATTGGGGAAGTTTGTGTTTGGCGGTCTTTGGAGTTAATATTTTTGTTAAGCACTTGTGCGTGCCTGTGTTTGGCTCTATTTGTTATTTGGTTTTGGATTTTTCATTTTGTAGCTATTAAGTTGTCATAATCCCCTTGAGTTCCGATGAGTGTGTGTGTGCATTTGTATATTTATATATTTGTATATGTATATCTCTTTTGAGGCAGAGCCAGGTGGCAAAGGCAACCCAGGTGGGCATCGATAATGGGAATCTGAAGCGATTCAAGTGTTTTATCTACTGCCGGCTGAAAAGTGGGACTTTTCAGAAATTTGGGCCACTATTCGAAGTTATATGAATTGGGTTAAATGTTGAGAATGTACGGGGATTCAGGATTTTCATGAAGACGTTGAAGTTTTCATTACAAGATATATGTAATTTTTGCACAAAAGTCTCTTTTTTCATCTTTGTCTATGACTATTAAATTTTGCCACTAAATTAAAGATTCTATATCTGAGACAACAAATCGAAGCCACATATCATCGCAGTTATTAGCATATTTGTCGGCTTAACTTCCACTTTTGAGTGGATGGCGCCACCGATGGCGTATATCATTCCTCGCACAAGTTCATTTAAAATAGTCTTATTTATTTATGCTGCTTAGCTGAACTGTCTGCGTTTATTTGCATAGAATGCCAAAAGTGCAGAAAACCAGAATGAAAACAACAACATCCAAGAGATGAACTCAATTTTTTATGCAATTTTTTGTGTGCGTCTATTCCGATTTCGGTTTTTTTTGCCAATGCGGCGTATACGTTATGTCGACGTTGTAAAGGTCCTCAGCCTTTGCTTATTGTTTCAGAGCTAAAGCGGTAAACAATTAGAAACCAAAAGAAAGGGAAAAAATTAAATCAATACAATTTTACTCATACAAACATAGAATTTTCAATTTTTCCAATCGATGCAATTTTTGTTTTCATTTTGAATGCCATTTGCCGGCTGCTGGGGCAGCGTTAAAATTTAATTTAGGTGGAAAATTAATAATTACCCAACAATGTGGGTGCAGTTGAGCATTCATATATCTGTGTGTATATACTATATTGCCATTCGGATATTTCTACGGATATTGAGAGTTCTCGGCTGGAGGGGCATGTGTCAGCATTTGAGAAGCGGCCAGCCACTGGAAATTGTTTCTGGGGGTAGTAGAGCTAGTGGCTAGTGCCTAGTGCCTTGTGCCTGCCTTTCTGCCTTTGGCGCTGATTTATGTTTTTCCATTTCAGATTTATGACTTTTTAATAGCTCAATTGTTGTTGCTGTTGCGCTAGGTTTTTCGCCTTTTTTCACATTGCACATTCGCGTGAAATTTACTTTAGCTGTTCGTGAACTTTGCGCCGATTTTCAGTAGTGTGTGGAAAGTGCTTCTCGGATGGTTTATGCTCGAGATCAGGGTAAATAACGCATTTAATAGGGCCTGCTGTTAGCTTTTTTTTTTCTCGGTCTCTGATTGATCGATTTGTCCATCATCCATAGCTTCCAGCGAATTGCGATTGGTATTTCTATTTGCAGAAAACCATAAAAAGTGACTGGAACTCTCTGTTGAGTCAGTCTAAAAATAAAAGCAATCACGGCCAAACTTCAGGGCACTTAAAAAATTATTCATCGATGACAAAGTGAAGTGCTATCTGATAAATGCCTTTGGGGTCTTCGAGACAAACCCTTCAAGGAAAACAAAAAGTTGGTCATCGATACTTGAAAATGGTTTACTTATCGGTTATGACGTTTTTGCCAATATCGCGGCTATAATATAGAATTAAGGAGTGCCTAGCCTTAGTCATTTGCAATACTTAAGTTAGGCTTTAAAATTTAAATTTAAGAAAACTAAAAACCCATTTTTCAATTCCAGGGCCGAGGGCACCAACATCCTACTCGATCCAAATCTAATGTGCAAAAAGACACGTCGCCTGCGCGGCAAGTTGGCCGAGATCTGCCGCCATGACTCGGCCCTCTTGAAAGAGATCATCATAAATGGCATCAACCTGGGCTTCCGCGAATGCGAATTTCAATTCCGCAACCGCCGCTGGAACTGCACAGTTCTACGCAAGAGCATGAGGAAAATCTTAATGCGAGGTAAGTAGGCTTTTTAGACCGAAAACTAGTAGACTTTGCGATCTCTTTATTATTCAGGCACAGCCCCTGTCGACACTTTCTGAGTCAGAAACCAGAAAAGTGAAGATGGTATCGCGTTTTAGCTGCCTAATTACAACTCATCGTTGCACGCCCCTTTATTTTTGTACTTTTTTTTTTTGGACTGTCATGGACAAGGCTTTGCAGACCGCACCATCCATCAAGTTGCATAATAAAAATGCAGCGACCCGCGCTGATGAATAGCGCCTGAAATGAGCCTACAAAGCTGTCAATTTTAATAAATTATTGCACAGGAAAACGGGCTGCCTTACTGGCCAAACGATTCAGTATCTCCTTGATCCTCGATCTGAGCACTTAATGACAACAATGCACAAACAGAACACATACCGAATTGTGTGTGTGCCATAAATTCCACAGGCGTAACCACCAAAATTCCTCCTTGGCCGGTTTAAGGCCTCGCCCTGTCAACCTGTCAGCGAAAATAAAATAAATCCGCCGAAGAAGTCCCTCATGTAACACTCCACTTTTTGGGGTGGCTCAAGACACATCACCTGTCTCTCTGAAAGGAATAACTAAAGCCATATTACCAGCTTATGTACAATATGCAAATTAAAACCCTGGCGATTACAATTGCGATTCGGATTCTGATTTCGCTTTCATTAAACGTGACTGTCTGTCCGGTACATGGGTGTTTGGTTTTTCTGATTTGCATAGAGTGGTGTGCCGGTCGTCGTCGTCGTCGATGTCGATTGGTGTGATCGCCAATCGAACAAGCCATAAATCATTTTGTCGCCGGCTCTGACAAATTAAAATCAATCAGGCGACACGTGCTGACAGGGCTAATGATTGAAGATTGATTGAACAGGGGGTAATTGGTTAGTTATAAATAGATTAGTTAGAGGCTTCTTAAATTGGCAGAAAATAGAATGAACTTTATTTTCCTTCTCTGATTTGCAGACTCTCGGGAAACGGGTTTCGTAAACGCTGTCACTGCCGCTGGAGTGACCTATGCAGTCACCAAGGCCTGCACCATGGGCACGTTGGTGGAATGTTCCTGCGACAAGGCTCACATGCGTCGGAACGGTGGTCAGTTCCAGATGGTCACTGCGGAAACGGCGGGAGCTGCCCTCGATCGCCAACAACAGGCCTCCATGTTGCGGCAACAGTTGCCTCAGTCTCCCAATCGCGAGAGCAACAACAGTAGTAATGCCAGCATTACAGAGTTAGGTCCATTGGCAGGACGACGCAATAATGGACGGAATGGGAGAAGGCCTGGTGGCAGGAAAGGACGTCGCAAGTTTTGGGACAACATAAAGTTCCCAGAGGGAGAGTGGGAGTGGGGCGGATGCAGTGACAATGTGAACTTTGGCCTCCGGCACTCCAGGGTATTCCTCGACGCCAAACAAAGGCAGAGGAGGAGCGATTTGGGAACGCTGGTCAAGCTGCACAACAACAATGCTGGAAGATTGGTGAGTTAAAATATTAATACCCGATACTAATTTAGAAGAAAGAGGGAGAAGAAAAGTAGCTCTTAATCGATGACAACCATAAATTTTGGAATATCCTTGCAGGCCATTCGGGATGCCATGCGTCTGGAGTGCAAGTGCCACGGCCTCTCCGGCTCCTGCACCGTGAAAACCTGCTGGCTGAAGATGCCCCCATTCCGGGAAGTGGCCGCCCGACTGAGGGATCGCTACGACAGCGCCCGGAAGGTGACGCTGCGGAATGATGGCGATAGCTTCATGCCGGAAAATCCACACGCGCGACCGCCGAACAAGTACCAGTTGGTGTATGCCGACGAATCGCCAGACTTTTGCACACCCAACCCCAAAACCGGAGCCCTCGGCACCCAGGATCGAGAGTGCAACATCACCAGCACTGGATCCGATAGCTGTGACCGCTTGTGCTGCAATCGGGGGCACCGACATAGGACCGTCGAGGAGCAGACCAACTGCAAGTGCGTCTTCAAGTGGTGCTGCGAGGTGACCTGCGAGAAATGCCTGGAACATCGGGAGGTCAACACCTGCCTGTGAACCTGCCAGCCACCCTATCATTTGTATTATTATTTAATTCGGTTTAGTCAGGAACAGAATTTTGAAAGCTTTCCATTTCGCGTGATAGAAAACATACACAAACAAACACCCATATACAGAAAACATTTGGCTGCTTAAGTATTATTATTCTAATTATAACTAACAGTATCACTAATAATTTTTAGATAGTTGTAAATAAAAACACCCATCAATTCATGTAAGCTTTGTAAATAGTTGTAATAAAAACTAAAATAAATGAAGAGAGTTTTAAATAATTTAAGTTTTTCTTGAAAACAGGCAAGTATTTGAACTCCTGGGACTTAGGATTCAACAATTGTCAGCCAATTAAAAGCCAACAAATTGAATTTGAATTAACAAGATAGTCTACAACAAAATTTAATACCAAACGGAAATGTATTTCAAATCGATTTGCCCATTGATTGAAATCTGCATAAATGATTAAACGTAAATTAATGAAGACAACAAGACGAGACAGCCACAATGAAATCGATTGATCGGCTAAAACAAGTTTCCCAGCTTCATTCAAGTGTATCTATCTATTATTTCGGGCATAGTCATTCCCCAGACTTTCCCATAAATTAACACAATTTTATTGTTGTCGACACGAGATAAAAATCAATAGAAATTTGCCTAAACAGCAAAAACTAAAAAACTGAACAATGGAAAAATGCAAAACGCATTTTGAACAGAATTAAAATTGATTTGCCCATTGTGGATAAATAACGATCGATCGGATCGATCTTGGAATGAATAAATTAAGAATTCAAAACGATATATCTCTAAATGCATGTAATTAAATGAATATCATATACTGTTTTGATGTTGGTTCGTGAGCAACGGAAGCAAAATATATAAATTATAATGGCCGATTATCAGCGGAATAAAGTTCAATAGAGTTATAAATAGTTAGGTTTTAAATTAGTTCTAGGTTAAACGTTTATATAAAAAAATTCTATTAAAATTTTACAGAAACCACTGAACCCCAAAGGGTCTTATCGAAACTTTAAGACCAAATTCCAAAGCATTTTCCTACTTGGCTCTTATTGGAGATTCTCTTATTTGGTTTATTATTTTGGGGCTGCCGAGAAGACAAGCCCATCCCGGCGATAAGATACTCCTTTTTAAGCCACAGCAGCTCTCCAACAGCAACAACTAATTAACAATCGCATTCATTTTATTTATCGTACAAATGCAAACCGCTTGACTTCCAAAAATAAAAATAAAAATAAAATAAAAACCAAAAACTGTATCTGCATGCATTTATAAAGCCTGTGATGTGGATACGGGATTGGGGATTGGACTCGAGATTGGGATTCGGATTGGAATCTTCTTGGCCTCTGCTGGCTGCTGCTTCTTTAGTTCACTTGACTGAACAAAATGTATGGCCAAGAGAAATATATGTGCCCTGGGATATCAACGCTTCTTCGCCGCTTACGGCTCACGTCTCACAGCTCACGGCCCGGCGTCCGCGTTGTTTTTCCAGATTCCAGTGGCTTTATCTTGGGCGCGTTAATGAGATTTGCTTGTATCTGAAGCCATTCGGTAGATGCGTATCAGTGGATTTCAATTAATTGTGGCGACGCTTATTAGTCATCCATCTAACAAACTAAACACGCGGCTGGCCTGGCGCTACCTCCAACCTGGCTTGATTGTCCACCTCCAACTCCTCCTCCTACTCCTCCATCTCGTTCTCTATTTTTTCTAGAGTGCCATTGACCTCGGCCTGACCTTGGCTTATGTGTGGCGGTGGTAGATCCCTTCGAGGAGGGAGCCCTCCTTATTTGCCTTTCTTCTTTCTGGTGCGAGTATGTTAATAAAAATGCATTTTTATGCTGTTCATGCACGGGAAAAAATGTAGGTCTATTTCTAGGTCATTTTAACATCTTTAGAATATTAATTCTTCAAAATTCGGCATATGTTTCCTTTAACAATAAGATCCTGTGAGACTTAAAGGTCTTAATATACTGCTAAGATCTCCTAAGACCTAAGATCTAGTTCACAGTTTATTTAAGAATTGTATTATTCTTTTACCCAAAATATTTGCAACAATTTCAACAATAAAATCTAGTTAAAAGATATAGAAAGTTTATATATATTTACTCATATCCCCTCTTTTAAAAAAATAATAATGTTTCCCCCAGTGTAGTTAGTTTTCCCTTTAAAGCGGCTTAGTTTCTTTCAAGTGGCGCTTAAAATGGCGCCCTCATTTCAATCTGATATATAGGCAATACCCAATAAAAGACATGTACATACAGGTTCCCGTATATAGACACCAACTAATGGCTTAATTTGGAGGTGTACATATCAATGATCAACAGCGGGAATCATTTTAGCCAAATTGCAGTTCTTGGGCAGTTTTTCTCAAAAGGAGAACCAGCAGCAGCAGAAACAGCCTCACCACCACCACCATCGGGAACAACAAAAATCGACAGACGGGGCGCTACACCAACAATAAAGAAGAACAACTATTAAGACCGCTTGAACGCCTGTCCGGGATCCAAAACGACAGCAAAAACAACAACAAACAGCATCGAAAAACTACAGAAACAAAACCTGAAACATGAAATTCCTGCGTAATTTGTAAGGAAAGGCGTGAAGAACACCAACGAAGGCAACACCTTAATTAATGTTATTAAAATGGAACGAACGACCGACCAGCCGACCAGTCGACCGGCCGACCCATTGGACGGACCTGCAACCTGGAACCGGGACCGGGAACCTGGAGAACCCGCAGCCTGTAGAACCCAGGGACCTCTGAAAACCCTGAGAAGGCTCAAACTCAAAAAACGACAACCCGAAGAAGTGGAAACGAAGAAGGCAAAGCGTAAAAGAATGTGGCAAAAACAGGAGAAGGTAAGGAAGAAAAAGGCAAAAGGCTCAGATGGTCCAAGGCCCACTCTCCTTTTGGGCTGGTCAATTCATTCCTCTTGGCCATGATTCGGTCTGGAAATGTGGCTAATAGTTTAGTTTTTAATATAAACTCTTAAATAAACGATGGGTTTTATAGAATTTTAATAAAATGTTTTTAAAAGCCCTGATATAACCACAAGTATTACTCCAGATCCGTAGAAATTATCTACCCAAAAATATAAATTATAGAAACCCTTTTAAAAAAGAAATCCTTTTTTTACATTATATACTACCAATTAAAAATCCTACCTAATATGCACAATTTTTGCCAAAGATCTTTCCCGAAAAGTTCCCAGGCCCAAAGACAACATATATTACCAACATCTGGTGATTGGACACGCTCCATAAGCCAAGTGTAGAGCTCCTCGTCCAGAGCCTGTGAGCTGATGGTGTCAATTGTGGTTGTGTTGCCGGCCCTCTAAGACGTTAAGGCAGATTTATCACTGGACACTCTAGAGCGCTGACTACTTGACATATTCATTAAATTTGCCACATTGTTGCCGGCAAAAGAACGCCAGACAAAGGAGACGGTGGTGTGCTCATCATTTTGACACCTTAATGCGGTAATTAGGGTTTTTTTTTTTGTTATTGTTGTTTCTCTCATGTTGGTTGCCTTTTGCAAAGTCAGAGGAAGATCCTTAAAAGCCGATGATCGTGAGCAAATATTAACACAGATCGGATCGAGTTCGGGCTCAGGCAGATGGATGGGCAACGCCCTGAACTCCTCCAACCTTTAACGGTTTACGGCGAATTGGCTTAAATTATTTAAAGATTACAACCTCCAACCGGGAGGCTGCATGAGACAAAATGAAAAAAAGAAGGGCCAGACCAAAAAGATCATCACCCCGAACGATCGTGAATCCTTTTTTTCGGGTGTGAAGATTATGACACAGCAGAAAAAGGAAACGAAAGTCCCTGGCAGCAATTAATTTCAAATTTTTTTCCATCGGGGCGGCTGGGTCCCGAGGTGATCCAAGGAAATTGCAGACAAATTAAGATAAATGAATTGTTTAATTGTTGCATGTGGCGCAGGATTTTGTGTGGAACTTCATCCAGCTAATTTGACTTGTAATGTGAACGATGAGTGAAGGAATTAACCTCGAGGTGATGTTATAAAAGCCGGGAATAAAAGTATAAAGGGGCCTAAGATTTTTGTGGAATTATGAAATGCACAATTTGGTAATAAGAATAACAGGACTTCATAGAATCAGATCAAAATTAGTTATATTTATTTAATTTATAAATTAAAGAAACTTTTATAAATAGTCTCTCTACATAAGGAGTAAGTATTTATTTATCGACATCTTCAGAATGTCATTAGATAGGCATTAACACCCGTCTCATATAACTCGAAAGCCAAGAGAATCATCAATCAAAGTCCTGATGTCTAAATAATGCAACACCAAAGCGTTGCGCCTTTTGTTGGTGGTTTATTGTGGCTGGACTTTAACTCCGACCACAAAGGACTACCGCACTAATTAATACCAGCCCATAAGCCAGATCTCGATCCGTTCGTGCCTCAAACGCCCCACAGTTTGAACCACACACACGGCTCACGATCGCCATCTTCATCACCAAACTCCATCTCCAGCTTCAGCTTCAGCTCCAACTCCAACTCCTTCACCAACTCAATCTCCATCTAAGCTAAATAAAGTTATTAAGCCTTGAAGCCAAGAGGGAAATGTTGCAGTGCCAAAAAAATACAAAAAAAGGAGAAGTCTTTTTAAATACACAAAAAAAACAAGTGGAAACAAAAGGAAGACAAAGAGCCTGGACTGGGGAAACGAAAGGCCCAAAACGCAGCATGTGTTAAAATTATATAGAGAGTGCGTGTGCGGACCGTACGAGTGGACCCCCCTAATGGCGACTTCTTCGACTTGGACTGAATCTTAAATTCAGTCACCCCCTTCCCCCAACGACGAGTTAATAAAAAACACATAATTGCGTATGTTTTGGGGGTCTCTTCCTTTCGGATTCCTCCGTGGGTATTCACATACATATATATGAAGCCCCCGCCATATCCTCATCGGCCGATCAAGTGCGAAGTTCTGCGCAAACGCCAAGCGCCTGTGAAAATATGATTTTTGTTGCCATTTCGTGTTTTGCCACTTTGGAGGTCTTCATCATTTTTTCATCGTTGCTCTCGGTTATTGTTGCTGTTGCTGTTGCTGCTGCTGCATGTTGTATGTTGCTGGTTGTTGGTTGCCGTGTTTGTGTTGATCTTGGTTTTTTGTGTTTCCATAAAACTGACCCCATGGGCAGTGAAATTAAGTTGATTTTTAATGCAGTCATGGTGGGTAGTCAAGCCAGGTGGGTCTCTCTTTTCTTTCCTTGTTTTTTCCTTAGTTCCTGTCTCTTTCTTTTGATTTACATCAATGCAATGGATAAGTTATGCTCTGAACAATTTATTTTTATTTTTTATAATTTTTTTTGGGTGTTTTTTTGGTCTTACGGTCTCCTTGGAAGGTTACAAAGCTAAAAGTCTTCTCTTATATGTTTCTTTCATAAAATATAGAACATTTTTATCATTAATTTCTTTTTCCTTTAACCAATAACTAAGCCCCCAAAATACTTCCGTCCGAGATCCACCCGGCCATTACTCTAATTTTTTTTAATGGACTCCCCGGCCCACGGTGTGCTCCTTCTATAACGTCGCCATAATAAATTTCAACTTGTCTACACCTATTTTTACAAACATTTAAAAATTATTACACAGTCTTTTTCATGATGCCCGGGATGTGGGGACCCCATGATGTGGCCTGCCCATTGCCTGGGCCTGATGACCTTAAATTAAATGTGCAGCACATGAATTATGTAAGCTGTTTAATAAAGTGATTCCATTTGCATGCAAAAGCCCCGCACGCATGCGCAGCGGGAAGTCCGGACTGCGAGCACCGAAGTCCTCCACAGACCCGAGAGTCCCCATCTGGAACCAGGGGCTTAAGCTGAACCCTGGTCTTCAACAACTTACTCAGTATACTGCAAAAAAAATAGTATTTCTTTGAAATATAATAAAGTTTAAGATAAGAACCTTAAGATTATGGTAATAATAATAGTGGAAACATTATTGATAAAAATATTAGAAGCCACGACTTAAGATTTTGTGTTTATCAGAATTAAGTATTTTTTAAGAAATTGTAGACTTTTTTTCTGTGCAGACTGGACCCTGAAGCATAAAGTTTGAAGGCAGTGGAGCTTGGGAGATCCGGAGAATTGGAGTTGGGGGGAATTCACTGAGCTGGACTTCGCGCAGCGCGCGCTGATTGTCGCTTAATAAAAATGGTTATTGTCTTTTACTGGCTTTTATTTTTATACCCTTGCAGAGGGTATTATAATTTTGTCCAAAAGTGTGCAACACAGTGAAGGAGACATCTCCGACCCTATAAAGTATATATATTCTTGATCAGGATCACCTCCTGAGTTGATATGAGCATGTCCGTCTGTCCGTCTGTCCGTCGGTCCATCTGTCCGTCTGTCTGTCTGTTTCTACGCGAACTAGTCTCTCAGTTTTAAAGCTATCGACTTCAAACTTTGCACACACCCTTCTTTCCTTTGCACGCAGTATATAAGTCGGAACGGCTCGGATCGGCCGACTATATCCTATAGCTGCCATATAACTGATTGATCGGAAATGGTATAACTTCGGTGTTTTTAAAGTTAGAGAGTTCAAATTTTACACGAGCGCTATTTTTGGCAAAATAATACGACATGCTAAATTTCGTAAGGATCGGCCGACTATATCCTATAGCTGCCATATAACTGAACGATCGGAAATGACCCAACTTTCGTGTTTTTGAAGATAGAAAGCTGTAACTCCGTACAAATTTTTTTTTTGATCAGTTGATCCAACCTACCAAATTTCATAACGATCGGCCGACTATATCTTATAGCTGCCATATAACTGAACGATCGGATATGGTTTTTGGTAGAAATGCCAACTTTGGTATTTTTGAAGATAGAAGTTTGGGACTTGTTTTAAATTTTGTATTATAATAAATTGGCTTATATTATCATATTCTCATAAGGATCGGCCAACTATATCCGATGTTTGCGATATATATCCGGTCTTAACTGCAAGGGTATATCAACTTCGGCTCCGCCCGAAGTTAGTTTTCCTTTCTTGTTTATTCTCATTCTTCCCGCAGAAGGAGCAAGAAGAGGAGTCTCCAGGATGGGGCAGAGAAGACTCTCTGTAGATTGCCCAGTCGGCTATTTATGTGTGGCTTTTGTAAGAATTATTAATGTAAATCTTTCATAATTTTCATAAGCTGTGCGCGTGCGCAATGCTCAAGGTAAAAAGGGTTAAATTAACTTTAAAGCTCTTAACGAAAAATACTTGGCACACTTAATTAAATGGTAGAACTAAATATCAGATTTTCTATTTACAGATATTTCGGTTTATAATAAAGAATATCTGGCAACATTGTGCCTCATCCTTTGGGGCTGAGCTTTAAGCTGTTTTGGGGAAAACCCCTCGAAAACTTAAAGCTTCCAAAGCTCTGGGGTCATCGAGAGTTCATTTTGATTTTGGCTCCACCCACACAGGGCGTTCATTTTGTTGGGGAACCACAGACATGCGCAGTGAATTCAAGGGGGTTGGATGGCCTGAATGGTCTCTGGATGCAATCCGTTCGCCAGCCGGCAAACAAAATGAAGTTCCCAGGATGGAACTTCGTGCCGTACCCGAAAGATCGAAAGACGGACAAAATGACAGCAGCAAATCAAAGTCAGAGGCAACGAGTTCAGCCGCCATATGGACAAATGTTTTCCTCTTTTTCTTCTTTTTTCCCCTGAACCTCCAATGAGAATGCATCTGAAAATTCCATATCCTCTTCTTTTTGTTGTTTTCCTAATCAGGTTTTTGGCCAACTGTTGCTGCAACTTGTTGGATGACGAATGCAGTCAGCTTTCAGCGCCACATCAACGTCATAAACAACAATGGAGACCTGGCATGGTCTTTTTTCAATTCCGAACCCTCATCTTCTTGTAGGTAGGTGCCCTCCAATATCATCCATCCATCCAAGTCCAGCTCCATTCCATTCCATTCTTTTTCATTTCGAACCACTTCTTCTGGTTGGTTGGCAGTCACTAAAAAGCCAAGATGGCCGCTGGAGCCAACGAGTCGAGTGCTATGCACTTGAACTTTCATTTTGATGATGATGACGATGACGATGACCACAACAACAATGATGTGAATGAGCTGCTCTGGGCCAGGCCAAGTCCGGCTGGTCAGCTCAGAAAGCAGAGGTTCAAGGGCTGCATAAAATAATGAGAACCGAAAGCTGAACTAATTCCCTTTCATAAATTTATAGTTTAATTAAGATTCAAAATGTTATTTGGAATAATTGAATAATTAAATGGAAAATAAACCTAGTCCATCCCTGGGCAATCAGAGGACTCTTTCTTGTTTCGAAGTTGTGTGCGTGCTGCGGTTTGTAAACCACTTGAAACAATTTTTAATTGTAATTTGCGCAAAGCAACGCCTTCCCGCTTACCGCCCCCTTTATGGCTTCTTGGTTGCTAAACTTGACATGAGGCAGGGGCGGCCCAGCCCAACCCCCCCGCCTTGGGAAAGAGGGAGGCCCAGAACAGACTTCGGAAGCTTCGGTTGCATAGTTGAGAGCCAAAACATTGCTGGGATGCCAGTCGCGGCTACGACGACGAGATGCTGCCAGGAATTTTCATAGAAAGGCGCTCCCGGTATGCAGACGCGAACTGAGCTAACTTTGTGTGAGTTCCCCCCCCTTGGAAACAGTAACCTCCCCCGTTCTTTTTTCGCCCCCAACCCTTTTGGCTGGGCGGGATTTTGTAGGTGGGCCAACGCACCACGATGGGATATCGACTGTTTAAATTTTGGGACGACAACGCACAACGTGCAATTAAAATTGAAAAATTTTCCCACACATCTGCAACCAAAATAAAAAAAAATTGTAAATAAAAAAAAAGGAGAGGTGGAGGTGAAGCGCTGCACTGATTTCTTTTTCATGTCAGGGCAATGCAAACCGTGTGTGCACTGATTGGAGGCCAGCGGAATTTTTCCCATACGAACGAGAGACGAGACCCCAAAAACCCAGGAACTGGAGTCCAATATTCCCCCGAACCCGAACCCTTTTTACCTTGTGCCACTTTGGCCCCAAGAATTCCGCAAGTTATGTTCGCAATGTCGCCCGATTTTTGCAAAAAAGGGTGGAGAGGCTGCTGTGGCATCCAAAAACCCAGATGCAGAAGCAGAAGCTCCTCTCGAAATTACTTCGATTAATTTTCACTTAATTTTTATTTTTATTTCTTACTTCAGCCGAAAGAGATATTTCTTCGATGCGAAAATTTGCGTCATTTTGTCAGATGTTTGTCAGGATTTATGAACGCGCCATCATTTCGAGTTAATTAAAATCAAACAATCGAGCTGCACCTACCAACCGACAAAAAAAACTGAAGAAAAAATCAACGAAACCCAACCGAAAATTAACTAAATTATGGCTGGTCTTTTGGGGGCATACGGGGTTTGGTTTGGGTAACCCTGGGCAACATCATTATGATGAATTTTTCGTATGGATTTTTTTCTTCATTTTAATGAGCGAAAATTGTCTTGAACTTTGACGAGGGCACACCTGCAGCCAAAAATATCCAATCACTGGAAAATCGAGATATTTTTGTGGGGTTTGTTTTATTTTGGAGAAAGATTTTGTAAGGACTTTTAAAGAAATTAGTTTAGGGATTATGGTTTAAAGAAACATACATGACAAATTTCAATTCCCACAAAAATTAACAATGTTATTTTGTCATTATCATAACGCTTAAAACTCATTACCAAAATATTTCCCCTTTCTGTTTTTTTTTTTTGAAAATTTAATAAGAAAGCCACCCCTGGCTGACATTGGTATTCCATCAACACTTGCCCAGCATGCAAATATCTGTGAAATTGATCTGATTGTAATTTAAACATGATGCTTATATCCTAACCCCTCGAATTCGGTTCGCTGTTCCGCTGGAATCCCTTACAGTTCACCGAACATTGCCAAAAACAATGATTCTACCCTCCTTTCCCGTGGATGGCCTCTGTGTCCTGTCTGGTGGGTTGTTAATCCTTTCGGTAATTTATGCGCCCCTCTAACCAACAAAAAAAATAGCTGCCACTTACCGAACTAATCATCAGGCTGATTCCTTTACCAACTCCTGTTTTCCGAGTCCCATCCCGAATTTGGTCTCCCTTCCAGATCCCGTCACGTGTCCTCTTCGCTGCCTTGTCGTTGGTATTATTCTTGTTGTTGTCGTTGTCGTCGTGGTTGTATTGTTTATTGTGACAATTCTTGTCAGCGGTCCAAGCCAATGTCAACGGCACATTGATGGATGTTCCTCCTCTGCCGGAGGCGAAGCCACTGCCCAAACCAGAACCACTGATCCCATCCGATCCGTTCCGTTCCATTCAACCAGGTGATGGTGATTCATGGCAGTTGTATGCGGTAGAGGTACATTTGGCCATCAAATGCCTTGTTGTTTTTGCGGTTTTGGCTTGAAAGCTGGCTAAAATGGCAAAAGTGACTTTAAAATGAGATGCAATGCATGAAGCTGTTGGTTGATAATTTTTAATGAGCTTTAACATTATCATTGTTTTCAAGTATGTTGGTAATGGAAATTTCATTCAGGAATTGGAAAATGTATTTTAAGTAAACCATTAATTGAGTTTTTACTAAACTTGTTAAAGTTTTTTAAGCACTGATTTTTAATGAAATTGTTAAGATTTTCACCATTATTTAGTAATTTTTTATGGTGAAAGGTTTGGACTTTCCATGGATGCTATTTAGTCATCTAATCCGATCAGCAAAATTATAAAAGGATCACCCGACTATATCTAATAACTTTCATATAACTGAACTATAGCTTTCATGATAATAGAGATTTAAGCTTTATCAAAATTCACATTATACTGAATTGGTATGATACTTTTACTTCTTTAAGGAGTGGTCAACTATACCCGTATATGTATTTATATATATCCTTACATTCCTTCCTTACATATCCTTCCTCAACTATATTAATTCTTGTATAAATTCTTAAACAAACAAAGTATGTTTATAAACTATAAATTTTGAAAATGTAAGAACTTATTTTTTCGTTGCCTACTTTGAAGGGCGCCTAGAAGACGAACAGTCGAAAGAAGAATAGAATTTAACCTTTTTTTTAGGTATGAAAACATTTCAGAAAGTGTTTTATTTGTGTAACTATTTAATTAAATTTATTTAAATAATAAATTAAAAAATACTGCCCTCCTCCTCGATTCTCATACTTTGCACTTAAACAGGCCCGAAAAAACCAGAAAAATTTATTTGTTTCAAAATTTTTTTTCAGATACATACATATATCCGCTCTTATCTTAAAACTGACATATGGCATACATATGTTTATGTTATAGATTAATCGTAAATGCCATAACTTTGGACTTTTTTCGAAATTTGTTTTATAAGAATCCATTTGGTTAAACTGCAAGTGTATGTTTATCAACTTCAGCTTCAGCTTTTCTTAACATTGACAGAAAATAAGCATTGACCTACAGCTAGTAAAACATCTCCTTGAATGACCCTATTTGGATGTTAAATAATTCCTCAATTGCCGTAATTAAATCTAAATTGACAAGCAATTTAAGATGCTCAAGATCAATCAATTAAAAAGCAATAACTTACTAAAAATGACCTTTAAAAGCCATAATTTAATAGCCAAAAGGCTTTAATTACTTAAAATTCTATAGCCATCATATAGGCACAACATATTGCATGGAAAACAGCTGGCAACAAGTGTCCCTTGGCCTGCCTCGTAGAGAAAATCCCTTTGAAGGGTAACAAGTAGCAAGTGAAAAGTCAAAGAGGGTTAAGTTCACACAGGCAACAACCACACACACATGCATATTTACGGTCAAAATGAAAATAAAAGAAAAGCCGCCAGTCTAAACGACCCATATTTTGCCCCCAAAAACCCCTTGAACTAACTAAGGAAGCAGACGCGAATCAATTGCCTGGGCCTTTGTTTTTTACCGCCTCGAGTATATAAATTAGCATATTTCAAAGGCAAACAACAACAGCAACAAAGGAACGAAATTGCAATAATTGGAGTCCTTGACAGGACAACAATGAGAAGAGTAAAGATGGTGGGGCAGAAGCCGACACTGCACCAGTTTCACTTTTGTTGTTAACCCTTTGATGTTCAAGAGAAGTGGCACTCGGTCGTGTGTCCTTGCCACAGCAGCAAAAACACACAAGCTGCCTGCTTGTGTTTAATAAGTCTTTAAAGGCCCAGACTGTCTGTCTGTCAGTCAGGTGTTAAAAATATTTAATCAATACAAACACCCTGTGTATGGAAATTTATTAATGAATTTATCATACATTTGTAATACCTATCCCAATGTGTTAATTGGGCCGCAAATCAAGGATGGCACAAGGACATACTCTCGCATGCGATAAATGCAACCAGAATGAGCAGCCCTGCCTCAATATACATATATCCTGCATCCTTTGATGTATTTGCTAACTTTCGCCAGCCAGTCGCTGAGCTGAGCCAGAAATCAGGATTCACCCTCCAACAGAAAGGCACGCGCACATTCCACATCCCTTTCCCCCGTTCGCAGCCCACTCCCATGAATCCGTAATTCCCAGGATAACACGCACAGGACACGGCCAGGACGATGACGACAACGAGAAAAGCCGACGATGTCGATGCCGATAACAACGAAGCCTGCCAGCCAGCCAGCCTCCGTTTCAAATATTTCAATTTTAATTTGCATTTAGAGGCTGACGAGCTTGGCTCTCGGCTCATAGTCGCTCTACTCGCTTCGCTGGCAGGACGTTCGTGTCCTGTGTCTTCCGTGCAATTAAGACCAAGGATACCAAATATAGTTTCAGTTTTTGGTAAACAATGGTGATAAAACAATAGAAGCTCAACACAATAAATCATGATTTTTTAATCAATAAATTATATAAAAACATTTTCTAAATAAAATTAAAGATTTTCTCGCCTTTTTAATATTATTTGCTTGTTATTAAGTTGTGTTATTAAGTTATTGTTAATGTTATTAAGTTGTGAAAACATTTCTAGTTCAAGAAACTGTTTAAATATTTTAATTTTAAAGCCAAATTTCAACTTTTCAAAAAATATTAAGTAAAAAAAAAGTTGTTTATTTTTAATTTTATTTCCAAGTAAGATTAATCTAAAATTCTCAAATTTCAAATATTATCTTCAAATCAAGCATAACACATACATATTTTTGAAAAAAAACCTACTAAAATTTCAATTATCATAAACATTAAAAAAGCTTCAAAAGCAAACTATAACCGCCATTACCAACTGGATTGCTGAACACAAAGCCATTACCTTCCTTACAAAAAACCGCAAATCGAATCGAAGTATAAAAAGCCACCCAGAAACAGAAGCAAAAAATAAAAAACAAGAAAAGCACTCAGGCAAAACCTAAAAAGAATCCAAAACTTGTATTACAGACCAATCGGACAAGCCCAGTCTCCTCTCGGTTCCATGCCAAAAGCGTTTGTAAATAGAAAAAAAACAAGAAGTAAAAAAAAATGTACGAATATAACGACAAACATCACGAGAAAATGAATTTCGCTGGCCAGTAGCCAGGGAGTTGGGCTCAAAGTTAAAAGCCAAAGACAAAGCCGATCGTGTAATGGCCGGGTGAAAAAAAATTTAATCCGAGAAAAAATTAATAAATAAAATTGTATTCGAAAGTGTGTGAGAAAATATCAAATAAGTTACAAAAGAGTGAAGAAACAAGTGAAAACCTTTAAAAGGGCTTTAAAAAGTGCTTAATATTATATTGGTTTTCTATTAAAATTTTGAATAAGTCCATAAAAATTAGACCTTACTAAAATTTCGAGTTTTAATATTCTTCAGATTATTATCCTTATTCGCGATTTTGATTTCGATTACCTTGGATTTCGATTTTTGAAAGAAAACTTTTTTAATTTTTTACATTATAATTCAAATTATATTATTTTAAAAGCAGAGATCGTTGGAAAATACAATTTACTATTTAATTAAAGTAAACTTTGATCCTTGAAATTAAAATTATTTTTAGTTTAAACGAAAACGAGAGAAAATCAAACCAAGTACCCCACTAAGCTATAAATAACAAGTTATTATAAATAACAGTCAGTGTTTAATAATTTAAATTTTGTTTCCATTAAAAACATAGCTCACTAAATAAACTGAAAACTTAAGAAACCCTTTGAAAAGGCCAAAGGAAAAGCAGTCACGATAATTCAAATGTGCCCTACAAAATGTTTCGTGATGCTTGGCCTCAGCAAACGAATGAAACCGCAACCAAAACGACAACAGTGCCAAGTGATAAATTGATTAACGAAAATGCTTTACAATTAAACACTGGGCTTCAATTGTATGAAAATTTATGCAAATCAAAGCCGAGCGATGACTGCGTGGCAAGCAACAGCAACATCAAAAGACCACAAGCAGCAGCAGCAACAGCAACACCAAAAAGAAACAGGAAGCAGCCACAGCAACATCACCACACCAGCAATATCGCACCATTGCAATTTGCATTTAATTGTTGTAATTATCTTGGCCTGCTGCACACGTTGGTAAGTAAATATTTTCCCCTCTAAGGACTAAGGCCAAATGCATCAGCAAATGCTATTGGGGAGAATGTAAAGCAAAACTCTCTACTTGAAATAGCTTGTCAACAAATTAACTTCCCAGCTACGAGCTCATTACGCAGTGTTATATGTACGACTGTGTTGTTTGCTGTTGGCGAGTTAATTAATTAAACGACAAGCAGCAACAACTGCCGGGTTAATGTTGCTGCTGTGCTGTCGCACCGACAACAGATTAATCAATTTCCCCCTCGGAAAGAAACTGCTGTCAGCCGGAGGTGTTGGCATAATTAATATTGATCTAGTGATAGCATTTTGGGAATTAAGCTAACCTAATTGTGTCTGATTAGCATGAGATTGTTGCGGTTTGTGGGAATTGCTCGCTAGCTGTCGAGAAGTTCTTTTCACTTTCAGGAAACATTAATTGTTAAATGATGAATTTATATACTGAAAATACAAAGACCTCTGAAAAGTATTTGCAAACAAAAATGGCAACTTACATGTTAGACCAGGCCCAATCCACAAACGCCATTTTTTTTTCTTGCCACAAAAACAGCTTCCGTGCCGCCCCCCATTTTCAGTGGATGATTGGACATGGTTGTGAGACTCCATCTGATCGGAATCGGATCCCCTGAAGTTGCTGAACCATGGAGCCTACACACAATTGAGTCGATTCCAATTGCAGGGTGGTCCATGGTACTCAAGTTTTATAATGCGCCTGGGTCGCTTGTCAATCCAAGTCTCCTGCCACGACTCTAGATTTTCCTGCAATGAAGAGGTGGAGCAGGGAGTTGGGATCGGAGATCTGGGAGCTGGGTTGGTTGCATTACCTTGCCTGGTCTGACTGGTTGCCTCGCCTAGTAGTTGCAGCTTGTTAATCTCGTTACTCTCGTAGTTGTCATACCCTGGAAGGGGATGACTTCAGCTTACGGAAGAGTTTGGTTCTGAAAAACAAAAAAATGTTTCATAAGTTATGAGTTTTAAGATAAAAAAAATCTATAAAATATTTTTACAATTTAATTACAGAGGAACAACGTTTACGTGTTGCAAATTCTTAAACATATTCTTTTTAAAAAAAAAAAAGAACTTGGAAATAACTCTCTTATTAAAGGGTACTTTCTTATTCGATTTTCATAAGGAACACCTCCATTTTTTTCCTCATTGTACGGGGTTGTCAACATACTTTTTGCTCTGCTTGTTGAGACTGCAGCGGTGCATGTTGCAACTTACTGCCTGAAGTGCAGCCTGCAATTCGCTGGCGTTCTTGTTCTCCTTCTCTTGGCTCGTTTTTCTAGTAACTGTTGTGGTTGTTGTTGCCATCCTTGTAGTTGCAACATCATAATTGCAACGCAAAATGAGGCACACACACATGCATGCGACGTTTGAAATGCAAATGAATTGTCAAGCTGCCACGCCTCTGGCTCGAAATTTCTGCAGTTTGCAGCTTAATTGGGTACATCACCTACAACACCTATACACACACATCGAAACACACTCACCTGCGCAGGTGAGCCTCCGCGGATGCACCAGCATTCGCCAGGATTTCACACGTTCAAGGGTTCTTCAGTTGCCTGGTGTAGCACCTGAGGGTAAAATATTTATGAGCCACTTGCAGTCGATGTCGCCAGCTAGCATAATTCTATTTCAAGTAAATCAATGCCCAGTACTCACCTTTATTAGTTTCTTGCACATACTTTTTAAAATTGAAGTTATTAAAGTTAATTTATTTTCACAATTTTTCACATGTCACACAATTTTAGAGAAAACGCACGATGTCTTGAAGCTGAAAATTTATAATGCCTTAAGTTGGCTGCGATTAAGGACCTAAGGTTTAATAAAGAACCTTACAACACTAGTTTTTATTATTTATTAACAAACACTACAACACTTATCGAGATTCCAAAAGCATATTAAGTGAAACTTTCAAATCGGAAGCCCATGCCTGTATTTAAAATAGTTTATTTTCTTAATGAAATCATTTTCAAATATTGTGATATATGTATTGATATTAGAAAACATAGTTTCAAGAACCCATCCAAAAATATCTTCCTTTTTGCTTACGCAACCGTTTAAATATTCCTAAAATATGCGATAATTAAATTTAATTGCCTTTAAAGCCGCTGAAGCCGAAGGGGTATGGAAATTAAATACTCTTGACTTAAAGCCTGGCGCTGACAGTGACTGGATCACCCTGTACGGACGACGGATTGGATCAAAGACATTCCTAGCTGTGGCTGTGGTCTCCCAAACTCACATCCCTGCCTTGTCCCCCCCGGAACAAAAAAGCCCCCTTCCCATGGTGGAAACTGTTCAGGAATGTCTCCACCAAAGTTATCTGACCTGGCTGAAATGCTTCAATCTATGGCTATCCGGCAATCCGTCTGTTTCTGTATCTGCATCTGTATGTGGGAACATTGTTTTGGCCTAACTGGCTTAGCCTGGCTAGTTGAATAACAAAGATTGTGATTTTATATTGTAGTAGTTCGGTGAAGGCAAAAATCCTTGATTTATGCATGGGCTACCGTTTGACAGACCAGACAAAAATAACAAAAAAATTAAAATCAAAAATAAACCAAGGGAAAAAATAACTGAGGCTGTTGGTTCAGACTGTGGTTGAGGCGGCGGCGCCTATTAAAGCCTCAATCTTTTTATGGCATTTCAATAGAACTCGAGGCCTGAAAGGCAAAAAGCGTGAGAAAGGACTGCAGTTATGAAATTCAAAATCGAAATTAAATTTAGATCTGGTCAGTTTCTTTATGCCGGCTTTTATCTTTTAGCCACAAAACTCTTTTCTTTTTTGTATTTTGTTGTATCTGAGCCTGATAAGCGAACGTCTTCGCTCCTTTGCCAAAGAAACAGAGATCGATAAATTTTATAAGCGAATCAATTGCATTGCTATCGCATCGCGTGAAATACGCAAACGAGGAATCTTGGGAACTGAGCTCAGCAAGCTGGTGAAATCATGACTCAGCGTCTCCATCAGTTTTTTAGGCACTGAAAAATATTTTAGACTGCCTTTAAGATATACCAAAAGAAAACAGTAAGAGGAATTCTCTTAAAAAAATTCTGCTAAGACGAATAGTCTTAATGCCTTTTTTGAATTTAAGCCTTTTTTCTCTCTGTGTATGGATCTTTCTCTCTTCGCGTTCTCTTATCAGTTTTATTGAAGTCGGCAAATGGCATCGGCAATGGTAACTAAAAGCCATATGCTTTATAAAGCTGTTAACAAAATGTGCATCAGTTTAAATTCTTTATCTGGCAAGATGTCTGGACCGCATTGCATATTCGCATTCGTATCGCAGAAACGTCAGCCAATTAAAATGCATTTTGCCCAAGAAGTTATTCGAGTTCTTTTCACGGCTCTTCACCTTTATAATTTAGCTTCTTTGATTTTTATTTTTATTTTTACTCTTCAGATTTGCAGTTTTGTTTGGCTTTGATTGGCAAATGATGATAAGTACGGGTAGGAAATAGGATGTTATGTGACTTTCAATTAAATTTTAATGATTTCTAATCAGTTTATGATAAAAAAACACATCATAAAATAAGAAGCAATCACGAAATCATATTAAAATGGTTAGGAAACCCCCCTGACCGTCATTATTAACTCAGAACGTTCGTAACCTTTTTTTTTTGTGCAAAATCCACATTAAAAGTTGCAAATTTTGTAAATTATACGAACCTGCTGTGCGAATCTGCCATCTGGCCAAGATCTGGTTGGCCAAATCAACGGCTGCAGTTACGCCGGAACGCGAGTGGCATACAAATGATGCGCAATACCGATCAGGATCTCTAAATCTTCACTTTGCAGCCAGAGGACGTGTGTGAAAATGGCACGTTTCTACATTTGAGGTATACACTGACTTTTTTTCCATTCGTTTTTCTTACACGCGACGTGCCACAATTAACCCCAGCCGACGGGGGGCCAAGGGGTCTGGGGCATTAAGAAAATATATATTTACCAACAAACTGAGTAAGCCAGACGCCAGCAGACACCAGGGCATCACGTATACGCCCGGTATTCCTCAATGCGTGTCGTAGATCAACGCGATTTCGACGCGATTCCAAAGCGATGCAATGTGCGATGTGGCAACCACTTCAGTTTAAAGCTTCGTCAGATGAAGTTGTTCAACGTCAACTGGCACTCACTCTCACATACAAAAAAATAAAAACAAAACTAAAAATAAAAACTGAAAACCACAACAAGACAAAAAAAACTTGTATCTGTATCTGGGGCTGAAGATCTGAACACCTCGGCTCTACTTAATTCAACTTAGCTGACCTTGAATACCACGGCCTGCTCTTAAATGGGTTCAATCGGGAGCGCAGTGTTAACCCGTTTTACAAAAAAATTTATTTTTGATTTAAAAGAGGAAATAGAGTAAAATCTCTACAAATCTCTTTATAAAATCTTTTCTATTTTTAATCTAATTTAATTTCTTCAAAATAAGCACTAATTCTAGTCAGAAATATCTTCAAGAATTCTCCAAAACCCAGTGATTCATCGCCTAACAATCCCGACACAAGATTTATGTCAATCTTGGTAACAAAAATTATATTTAGCTACCGTCTGGGCCAGCTTCGCAGCGGGTAGCTCGATTAAATCTCAGCTCAAATAAAAGCTAATTTAACTTCACATCTCGGGAAACGAAAACAAAATGAAATTTAATTAGATTTACTTTTGTTTTTTGGGTCTTCGCCTGCGGTTTTGTGCCAGCAACTCAAGGTTAATTACGGTTTTCGAATTGTTGGAGATTTTAATGCTTGGCGCAATAAAAATTTAATTTGAATTTAAATTCTCAGAGTCCAGATAAATGATTACGATCTAAAAATGTTTATGAAGTTCTTGGTCTAATATTTTATATTGGACTTGTTGGTTTATTTAACAGTTTTAGCACTATAGTAACCTAATTTATTTATACATTTCCGGACTATCTTTCAGTCTCCATGGCTTGCCGGATGGCCGTGCCACTTGCCGTTCAGTGCCTGGTCTGACAAAGGACCAAGTGGAGCTCTGCTACAAGGCCAGTGATGTGACAGCAGCAGCTCTCGAAGGACTCGACATGGCCATACGTGAATGCCAAATTCAGGTAACTAAGAGGCACTTCCTCTTTAAATACATTATAGAAAGTCAAAGTGTTTTCCTACCATGCCGCACTGTTGACTATTAAAATTCTCCACTTACCGCCCATTTTTACCAACAGTTTCAATGGCACCGCTGGAACTGTTCATCGTTGAGCACAAAGAGCCGGAATCCGCATGCTTCCAGTCTACTGAAGAAAGGTAAGTTCCCTCATCTTTCCCAGAGAGCGAGAGATTCCCTGGCAGGGGTTCAGGTTGCCGAACAGAAGATCAGAGGTAGCTGCAGTCGTGGACCAAAGCCATTAAGCTGACACTAAAATGTGCAGTAAGCGTGGCTCAGCTTTCACGCAAACAAAATCGCTTTATGACCGGCCCCAGTCGCCAACTGTCAACGAGTTTTGCGGTTCACAAAGGCTGAAGGCTGGGGTCTACGGAGCGGGGCTATGGCATCGGGAAAAGGGGGCAAAGACATTGCCGGCCCACACGCAAACCGCTAGGCATAGAGTCTAATTAAAATTGTCCATAGAGGAGACGTTTGGTCAAGCAGACAATGTCCGAGGCTATTAACCGTCGCATTATTAGATGCGACATGGCAAAAAAAAAAAAGCCACAGCAGCAAAACAGTCCAGCTTCTAACGTCTTAGACACTAAAGAAAAATATATAATTTTCCCTTGAAAAAATAATCTAAAACAAATATAACTTGGTTGTCATGAATCATAAAAAGAACAAGTAGTTATTAGAGTTACATATTTCGCAAAATTATTTAAAAAAATATAGTTTTTTTCTCCTGTGCATCTCAACGATACCACGGACTAGATCAAATTTCCGTATCTCCAGCTAAAAGTGTCAATGGGACCTTGTTCTGAGAGATGTGGGACCCACCGTTTTGTCACAGCTCGGTGCATCCAGAAAACTGAAAAAAAAACTACAAAATTAAATAAAAACTGGCGGCTAGACGAACTTTGACTTTGATATCCTAATCTGTTTGTGGGGCATTGTATTACCCAGGCGGCGTGTGCCTCATGATGGGATACACTCTCGTATTAGATGGATGGATAGATCACACACAGTTGTCCCCATGTCCCCAGTTCCACACCCAGAGAAAATGATGAAAGGCGGGCCGCATTGTAAGCCGCTTTTGTTTGCTGGCCAACAAGTAGCGGTAACTCTGATCACAGGCGCCGATCTTTTTGCAAAAAGTGGAAAGCTTCTTATTTTTCCGCCGACTACTGTTATGAGTCATGTTAGAAATCGGAGTCGGATTTGGCGAGGATTACCCATAATAGAATGTTTTCTCATGAAACGATTAGGTTGCTGTGGCGGTAAATTCAAATTCAAAATAATTACCGCCCTTTGAAAATCAAAGTGTAACTGTATTAACCTTATCATTGGCATTTTTTGACATTGGTAATACTAATTTGGTATTACAAATTTGTAAATCAGCTGGCCATGCCTTCTCCTTTTCTATAAAAGGCGAGCATTTTCACATTCTTATTCAGTTTCATTAGAGACCTCCAGTAGGAGGTTCTCAAAAAAACTCATCTCTTATTTTATTATTTTTATTTTCCTTATTATATTTTTTTTATTTTTCGTTTTTTCCTCGTTTTTTCTTGTTGAATATTTCGATCTCTTCAGATGGATTGTCAGAGTTCCCTCCGCATCTTCGTGCATACAGCATGAACCTTGACGACAGCAGCTAATTTTTATTTTCGTTTTTTATTTTTATACTGAATTGAATAATAGACTTAATATTTGCTCATTTAAAGCACTAAAGCCCCAGTTACTTTTCTTATTTTCTTATTTTTAAATTTTTTCTTTATTATTATTTATTATTGTTGAGGCACATCATGGAGTAAGAGAGCGTGCTGTCATAGATTGTTCAGTAAGAGATGTGAGCTTAATCTTCTTTTCATTTTTTTTATTTTAGTTTTTATGTTAATATTTGATTGAATAAAACATTAAATATTCCCTCCTTTAAATAATGTCACACAAAGTGGTCTTCTTTGATTTTATAGGGCTATCTGATAATGATATCTGATTTTTTTCTTTAATAATTATTATTATTATTTATTATTTATTTTCAATTGTTTTTTGTTACCAGAGAGCTCTCAGCAAGACTTTTCTTTTCTTGGGACTTTATTTCAAGTTACAAGTTAAGTTCAGTTAAAGCTTTCAAGTTAAAGCTTAACTAATATTAATTTTACCAGTGGGTTTATGGTTTGTTAGGGTCAGTGGATGGGTTCCATGGTCAGCAAATGGGTTCTCTGCTCGCCTAGTTCCATGTAAGGGAATTTATTAAAGGAATTTATTTCTTGGGACTTTATTTCAAGTTACACCTATTTTTTGAAAGATCTGATTTTTATTTTTTTTATTTAATTAACTTAATTAAAGCTTATTATTTTATTAATCTTCTACATGTTTTCTACCACCTGGGCTTGAACATGTTTCTTTAGTGCTAGGTGATTGTATTCCGTGCCCTGGCGATTTATTATTTTTTCACTTTTTAATATTAATTTTTATCATGGTTCATCTTGAAAAAATTATTAATTATTAAACAAATTTTAATTAATAACATTTTTATTATTTTATTTTACATGAATTTTTTTATCCAGTCTACAACTATCTGTTAAATACTCATTTTTAAATAGTGAAAAGTGTTAAACATTTTCTGCATTAAATGAAAACAATGGAAATTCGCAAAATGGCCACAAGGCGGCATGCAAACGATATAAAGCCAAAGATATTGGAAAGATTTCTCACAAATTTCAATGCGACAAGCGACATCGGCAACAATACAGTAGCTCTTGACTAAAAGGGAAGAGCCATGGGCTCATTCCTGTCCTGGGTCTGGTCCTACTCCTCTCATTTTCTTCCTTCGTACGGCGTAATTTATTTGCATTCGTCGTATAAATTATATTGTAAGCAAACCACTTCATTCAATTTCAATTTAAAAAATTGTTATCTCCGTTGACGGATGCTGCCGCATCCATTGACATCGAACAGCCGAGACAAACGAATGCCTTTTGGCGAGGAGACGACAGGACAGGACAGGAGGCTGGACAGTCCTGGGAATGGACCCCGGATTCTCGACTGATGTTAAGTTCAATTAGTACTTGGGTTCTATACTGCGATTGGGTCTGGGCCTGTTCTTAATCGAATAGCTTAAAGTTTAAATGTGAAATTGAAAATGGGAATACCCCTTTCAAGCCAAATCATTCCATTACACCAATTTTTGTGCATATTATTTGCATTCGGGGGCATGAAAGCGGATCGAGGCAAATGCCAAAATGGCATTAAAACGGTCTAAAGTTAACAACATTGCCGAAAAGACAATGCCGAACCATAAATCTCCAAATGCATGCCACACCAGAGCAGCAGCAGCAGCATCAGCAGCAACATTAAGCAGCACTTCCAAGTAACTCTCGACTAGCCTTCAGCCAATATGGTAAACCCAAGCTTATGTCACTGACATGTCTGAGGATCGTACGTCTGTCCGTCTGTCCGCCTCTACATTTGTCCGTTAGTCCCTCTGTCTGTCCGTCAGTTTGTCGGTTTGTCCGTTTGTCAACCCGGGCCCGTTCGTGCGTCCATTAAATAAGGAAGGAACTGCACATAACGAGAGTCAATATTGACAGGCCAACAGCAAACCGAAGACGACTTATAAGGGCAGAAAGGCAGCCACAGAGTCAGGGATCGGATCGATTCGATGAACGGACAAATGGACATACGGACACTGGACACTGGACCTCTCTCGAGCAATCCAAGCCAGCAATACCGAGCGACCAAGTGAAACGAAACAAATCAAGTCGCCCGATCGCCCAGCCATTTCCACTCCGCACAATGACTGACAATCGAAACGAAACGGCGCATGGACAGGTCAACTATTTTGCATACATCTACTATAACTTATGGAACTCGTCGATCGTTGATCGTCGTACGTTGCAGATCGCTGATCTTGGATTGGGTTGCCTGCCACTGCCACTGCCACTGCTGGGTTGGCATGGCTTGGCTTTTGCTTTTTCTGCTGCTACCATGCATTATTGTCAATCAAGTGGAGCGAGAGCGGAGTCCAAAGGCTCCCATAGCAAATGGTAGTAAAAGGATTAACTGCACTATAGAAAATATTTCTATAATCTACTGTAGTAAATTAAATAAAAATATGATTTATTTAAACTCTATAGTGTCTAAAACTTTGGTTTTCTGAAAGGTAATTTAGTATTTTGAAACAAAACAATTTTAAAAAGAGTGTTTTCGAAATATTTTTGAAGATTTATTACTATAAAGTCTAACTCTGTCTATCATTTTAGGATCTTAAACCCCATCTATAAGTTAGAAAGAAAAATGGATCGAAAATAAAACATATATATAACACCTTTTCTTAATTATTTTTATAAAATTTTCAAAAACGTATTTTTCAAGTGTTTACTAGCAGATCGAGCTTTATCTCTGGGTCTCACTTTTTAATGCTCTTCTCCAATAATTCTCCGTTTCTCTCTCCTCATGTGACAACAAGCGAGCGACGTATGTCGCAAACAATTACTTGGGATTGCAACACACGAGACAAGAGACAAGAGACAGGGGCATGGAGCTTGGAGGTTGAAGTTTTGAAATTGGGAGTTTTGGGGAAGCTGTGGAGATTGGATATTCAGACTAAAGCCGCGATCGAGACAGGTCGCCAGTGCAGCAGCAACAACAGCAGCAGCATCAGGCTCCACTTTGTGGCCAATTTATGCAAGAGAGATCGGGAGATCAAGCGGCCCCAAGGCATTGTCAAATGTAACTGTTGCCAATGATGTGATTTGGATTTGCAAATGGGACCTGGGACAAAACAAACAAAGCGTGCATAAATCAAGTCCGCGATCGCCGATCACCGATCACTGATCAGCGATCACTATAGGAGCCGGCCTTTCAAGGGGAGTGGCAGTTGGAATTCAAGTCGATATCGGAGTGTGGGGGGCGGCTACTGTTCGCTGATGCCTTGATTGATGGCGTCTTAATCGTCAATCAAATGCGCGCTACACACACAATTTTCCATTGCACTTGCATTGCAATCGATCGATGGCTGGTTGGCTGGATGGATGGACGGATGGATGACCGACCGATCTGTACGACAACTTGTCACAACATTGACATTTGCATTCGTGCGCATCCTGAGTGACGGACTGGCCAGGTTGACTGACTGATTGCTTGACAGCAGTCCGAATGGAATTGAAATCGAATTGAAATCGGCTGGAGAGGCTGGAAAAGGCTAACCCGGAATGATGCAAGCCTGTCACATTGACATATGTACTGTCGCCTTGGTCGATTTGGTTTTTTGTTTTTGGTTTTTTTTTTATGCAAAGTGGCGCTGACCATTTGCATGTCAATCGCTGACAAATGTTGCCAACTTTGGGCCACTCACGGCCATGTCGGCCATGATTAACGTCAACATTTTTGACAGCCATTTGACAGCTGCCAGCGCTGCATAAGGCATTTCCAATACTACACTTTGGGGGTTTGCAATTTTGCTTGGATTTTTTTAAATAGCCAAGAACGTTCTCACGAATTAATTCTTATCTTGACGTTTTGGATATTATAATGGAATTTAAATTTTAAATTTTTAAATGCCATTGAATATCTCAAGATCTGTTTTTTTTTCAAGTGCATTCTAGTACCTTGGGTGGGTGTGGGCCAGGATCATTAAAATTGGTTTTGTCACAGTGTTACTGCTTTGGCGATCTTGTCAAAGCTGAAAAGCCGCAGATATCGAATTCCCAGGGCGGTTGCTGCTGTTTCGAATGCAGCGTTAAAAATAACACCGCATAAATTGCAATAGTTGCCAATGATTCCCAAAGGAGCCAGCACTGCCCTGTTCTCTGCAATATATCCAATTTTTATTTATTTATTTCGTTTTTTATTTGTGCCATTTTAGGGTACCGGGAGAGCGCATTCGCTTTTGCCATTTCGGCCGCCGGGGTGGCCCACAGTGTGGCCCGGGCCTGCAGCCAAGGCCGTTTGATGTCCTGCGGCTGCGATCCGACCATCAATCGGAAAACCCTCAACAAGAACCTCCGCCAGTCGCTGGACAAGGAGAAGAAGCAGTTTCTTCAGTATTTGGAGACAAACCAGATTCTCACGCCCGAGGAGGAGAAGAAATACGAGCGTTCCAAAATCGCCAGTCGCTGGAAGTGGGGCGGGTGTTCCCACAACATGGATTTCGGTGTGGAGTACTCCAAGCTCTTTCTCGATTGTCGCGAAAAGGCGGGTGATATTCAGTCCAAGATCAATCTGCACAACAATCATGCAGGAAGAGTGGTAAGTTCTGAAAGGATAATGTTAGTTCATTCAAATATAATTTAACTGTCTTTTTAGGCCGTTTCCAACAACATGGAGTTTCGTTGCAAATGCCATGGCATGTCCGGCAGTTGCCAGCTTAAGACCTGCTGGAAATCCGCCCCCGACTTCCACGTAGTCGGCAAGGTCTTGAAGCACCAATTCCGCAAGGCCATCCTGGTGGATCAATCCAATCTGGGCAATGGGGAACCCGTCGTTGTTTTGAAACGAGCACGCAACAAAAAATCCAATGGCGGCAGCAGCTCAGGATCCTCGTCCCAGGACCTGGACATAGTGGATGCCACCGGGGCACTTGATATCGGTGGATCGGCGGATTCAGACACGCGGCGCCACGAGGATCTGGGCGTGGAACGTGGAGCAAGGCTATCGGGTGTTGACAAAAACGCCGCAAGGATGGCCCGCAAGTTGGAGACGTCCTTGTTCTATTACCAGCGATCCCCGAACTTTTGTGAACGGGATCTAGGAGCAGATATACAGGGTAAGTGCCAGGGCTATTTACTACATTATAAATTAATTTATATCATTCATATTTTATGTATTTTCTTAAAAAAAAGTTACCAAATAAGCGTTACGAGATTTCGTTCCTATTAAGATATTTTGTGCAACTAATTAAAAATGATTTACCGATACGATGGCGCGATAAATTAAATTTTTCTCTAATAAATAAATCAAAAATGCAAATGAACAGCAGCAGAAAATAAAAACGATTTTTAAACGAGCTACCCAAACATGCCACATAATTCACGAAAAAAATATGCAACCCACTGACAACGTACAGCAGCTCGGCTTTGGATTGGATCGGATCGGATCAGCTTAAGTCGGATTTGGATTGTTAAAATCAGAGAGGGGTTTAAAACTTTAAAGAGGGGTTTTCACAAAAATGCAGGATAATAATAAAATGCAATTTTACTGCTTTAAAATAGTTATTAAAAACTCTAACCAAAAATATGAATTAAATTTTAAAATGTACATAGGTATATGTGTTAGCTATAAAATACCCCCTTTTTAAAGGCGGCTCTGTTATTTTATATCGGCCTAAACGGAGAGGCACGTCCACATCCAACGTAGTCGTCTAACTGCCACTTGCAATTTTTGTTGGCCATTTTGCTGTTGACACATTTGCAAATTATCAAAAGCGTTGTTGCTGTTGAGCTCGGGACCCGGGTCTGGCCACAATTTAAAAGTGTTAATTACGACGCAAATTTATAATTAATCGTTGGCTTAGTGGAATGAAGTGAGCTAGCTGGCCAGCCAGTAAGCCAGCCTGCCAGCCAGCCCATCGGGCGTTTTGATTCATGTGCCCGTGTCCGGTGTCGTGTCTAGGCAAATGATGGCAATTAACGTTGGCAATTATCGTCGGCCAAACAATTATGATACTTTGTTTATGCTTTAGTTTAATAGTTTATTTATGGTCTTTTAATAGCCGGACAGGCCACGCGTGTCCTCCAATAGAAATAGATTAGATGCCATTTTGTACAAGCGCGCCATTTATCGCTGCGAGTCTTTTCTAAAATGGTCTATATTAGTTGAAATATTAGTTTATTTAGTCTATAAAACTTATTACATATTAAGAAATATATTTATAAATAATTTATTAAATTTATTTTCAAATTAAACATTATTATGCTTATAAATCTTTGAATAAATATTTTATTTTCTTCGCAAACTTTCTCTGCAGGCACCGTGGGTCGTAAGTGCAACCGCAACACCACGACCAGTGATGGCTGCGCCTCCCTCTGTTGTGGGCGTGGTCATAGCCAAATAATCGAACGGCGGGCCGAGCGGTGTCACTGTAAATTTCAATGGTGCTGTAGTGTGGAGTGTGAGGAGTGCCACGTGGAGGAGTGGATCAGTGTGTGCAATTGAGGAATCCCCTGGAAATCCAAGGACCCCAAACCATAACCAAGAAAATAATGGAAAAAAAGACAAGAAGCCAGAGTGAGAGAAAGCCTCAACGATACGCATAAGAAAAGACTTTTCTTCAATCTAAACAAAATAAAAAACAAAACTTAACAAAAACGCACACAAAAATCAGTATTAAAATCGACAGACATTCATAAAAGTGTGTAAATGCAAGGCTTAGTTTAGCAATCTCCAACCATTTTGGATATGATTATAGATATATATATATAGTGAATATATATGAATGTATGAAAATATATTTTGTAAATACGAATAATAAGATGCATAATTAGTCTGTCAATCAGCTGACTTTCATTCGGGTTAGCAATTTCCCTTTCACCTGAACGTTTTTTTTGCAATTTCACCTGGGTTTTGTTTTGATCTGGCACGTGAATGTCGCCGCCGTTAATTGAATTAGCCTGGCTAAATAGATGTCCAAGGTATATGGCCACTACTGCTGCCCACTGAAGGGCTTCCTTCCTAGCCAGTGAAAAGCCGTCAATTGCATTTGGCCACCGTTTAGTTGGCTTTCGGCAGCGGTTCTAGCTGCTTGCGTGCGGTCGGTTCGGAAAGTTTTTAAAACAAATTTCTTAAAAAAATTGATAGTTTGGAGAAGAGAACTGAAACTCTAAGAAACAAAGGTTCATACTCAAGGATTATACATTTTGTGGCTCAGAATTCTTTTCGCTACTTGGCTGTGACATTTGGATAAGGAATAAGCTTGTTTTGAAATATTACGTGTGCTCTCGAAGGTCCTTTCATCTTTGGATTATATAAACTTTTTAAAACCCAAAAAAACGTTTTATATACAATTTTTAATGGAAGGCCCTAAGAAATAAAATTTTTTAAAAATGTCCTTGGAAACTTAACAACTTATTTCGACTTTTCAACGACTTCTCTTCGTACTATATAAATATCCTAAGCCCTACTAACTTTAAAGAAATTAAACCAACTAGATTAGGAAATTGCAAGTCCATTAAAAGCATTTTACCCTTTTGAACAAACAATAAAGTTTTTTAAAAAATTCCTCATCTATAAAAATACTATTTTTAATGTACAAAATTAAATAACACATATTTAGAGCATTTATGCACCCCTTTCATAACCTAAGAGAAGCCCCCGTAATGCTGTCACCTCGTTCTTATGCAACAGCCAAAGTCTAATGCGATTTGTAACAAATGAAAAGGTTATATATCGACCAAGAATCTATTATATTTTTTAAGGAATTAAGAACTGTGTCAGGATGTATTTACCGTACTCGCAACTGCCGGATCCGACGGATAAGTTTGAGATCTATGAGGAGATTGCCCAGGGTGTGAATGCCAAGGTATTTCGGGCCAAGGAGTTGGACAATGATCGCATTGTGGCCTTGAAGATCCAGCATTATGATGAAGAGCACCAGGTATCCATCGAGGAGGAGTATCGCACTCTGAGGGATTACTGTGACCATCCGAATCTACCGGAATTTTATGGAGTCTACAAGCTGTCGAAACCCAATGGACCCGATGAGATCTGGTTTGTCATGGAGGTGAGTTTGGAAATAATATTAAAGAGTTTAAAAATATAAATTATCAAAAAATATATTCAAAAATAAATGAGATCCTGAAAGTGTCCTGAATTTTATAAGTGATCCTTATTATGCTTTCTTAGTACTGCTCCGGTGGAACCGCCGTGGATATGGTTAACAAGCTCCTCAAACTCGACCGCCGTATGCGAGAGGAGCACATTGCCTATATCATTCGGGAAACGTGCCGGGCAGCCATCGAGCTGAACCGTAATCATGTCCTGCATCGGGACATTCGCGGCGATAACATCCTCTTGACCAAAAATGGAAGAGTTAAGCTTTGCGATTTCGGACTGTCCCGTCAAGTGGATTCGACTTTGGGAAAGCGGGGAACCTGCATTGGTTCACCCTGCTGGATGGCACCGGAAGTGGTTGCCGCCATGGAGGCCCGGGAACCGGATATCACCGTGAGGGCGGATGTCTGGGCCTTGGGCATCACCACCATTGAATTGGCCGATGGCAAGCCACCGTTTGCTGACATGCATCCCACCAGGGCCATGTTCCAAATTGTGAGGAATCCTCCGCCGACCCTGATGCGTCCCACCAACTGGTCGCAGCAGATCAATGACTTCATCTCCGAGTGTCTGGAGAAGAATGCCGAGAATCGGCCAATGATGGTCGAAATGGTGGAACATCCATTCCTCACTGAGCTCATCGAAAACGAGGATGAGATGCGTTCGGATATTTCAGAGATGCTGGAGCTATCCAGGGATGTGAAATCGCTCTACAAGGAGCCAGAACTCTTTGTGGATCGTGGCTATGTGAAGAGATTCGATGAGAAGCCGGAACGGATGCACCCAGAAGATTTGGCCGCCCTGGAGAATCCAGTGGATGAAAGTATCATTGAGTCTCTACGAAACCGCATGATGATGGGAGAATCCTACAGTTTCATTGGGGATATTCTGTTGTCCTTGAATTCAAATGATATTCGCAATGAGTTTCCCGAGGAGGTGAGTCGACATCTAGAATTTAATATAATTTTACTAAATATTGCTATATAATTCCCTACCTTTTCCAGTTCCATGCCAAGTACCGCTTCAAGTCACGTTCTGAGAATCAGCCACATATTTTCTCCGTGGCCGACATCGCCTACCAGGACATGTTGCATCACCGTGAGCCCCAGCACATTGTGCTATCCGGCGAGAGTTACTCCGGAAAATCGACCAATGCCAAGCTGCTGATCAAGCACCTGTGCTACCTGGGTGCCGGAAATCGCGGGGCCACCGGGCGTGTGGAGAGCTCCATCAAGGCCATTCTCATGTTGGTGAATGCCGGAACTCCGGTGAACAACGACTCCACCAGGTGTGTGTTGCAGTATTGTCTGACCTTTGGAAAAACCGGAAAGATGAGCGGAGCCGTCTTTAATATGTACATGCTGGAGAAGCTGAGGGTGGCCACCACGGATGGCACCCAGCATAATTTCCACATTTTCTACTACTTCTATGATTTCATTAACAAGCAGAATCAACTAAAAGAGTACAATCTCAAGGCCGACAGGAACTATCGATATCTGCGTGTTCCACCGGAAGTTCCGCCATCGAAGTTGAAATACCGTCGCGATGATCCCGAGGGAAATGTCGAGCACTTCCGGGAGTTTGAGAATATCCTTCGTGATTTGGATTTCAATCACAAGCAATTGGAAACAGTTCGCAAGGTTTTGTCGGCCATTTTGAATATTGGCAACATCCGTTTCCGGCAGTCTGGCAAGTGTGCCGAAGTTGAGAACACCGATATTGTTTCAAGGATTTCAGAGTTACTGAGAGTAGATGAAAAGAAATTCATGTGGTCATTGACCAACTTCATTATGGTGAAAGGAGGCATTGCCGAGAGGCGTCAATATACCACGGAGGAAGCCCGGGATGCCCGAGATGCAGTGGCCAGCACTATTTATTCACGGTTGGTGGACTTTATCATCAACAGGATCAACATGAACATGTCCTTCCCCAGGGCTGTATTGTAAGTTTATCGTTCATTACTCGATATATTTTTTGAAATTCATACTTTATCAATAAATCGACTTTTAGTGGCGACACCAACGCCATTGTTATCCACGACATGTTCGGCTTCGAATGCTTCAATCGCAATGGCCTGGAACAACTAATGATCAACACCCTGAATGAACAGATGCAGTATCATTATAATCAAAGGATCTTCATCAGTGAAATGCTGGAAATGGAGGCCGAGGACATTGATACCGTCAACTTCAATTTCTACGATAACAAAACGGCTCTTGATAATCTGCTGACCAAGCCGGATGGTCTGTTCTATATTATCGATGATGCCTCAAGATCTTGCCAGGATCAGGACTTGATAATGGGTATATTTTATTCTTATATATATTTTTATACAATTTAATACCTTTGTGGTTTAAAAAATAGATCGCGTTTGTGAGAAACACAGCCAGTTTGTGAAGAAGCACACTGCCACTGAGATTTCCGTGGCTCACTATACGGGCCGTATTATTTACGATACGCGTGCTTTCACGGACATCAACAGGGACTTTGTTCCACCGGAAATGATCGAGACTTTCCGGTCCTCGCTGGACGAGAGTATCATGGCCATGTTCACGAATCAATTGACCAAGGCCGGCAACCTTACCATGCCTTTCGAGGCTGTCCAGCATAAAGATGATACCGAACGCAGGTCCTATGTGAGTCCTAGGATCTAATTGTTTAATAAAAGTATTAAAAATTATCTTTTTTTCTAGGCTCTGAACACCCTGAGTGCCGGCTGCATTTCGCAGGTGAATAATCTCCGTACTTTGGCGGCCAATTTCCGGTTCACCTGCCTCAGCCTGCTCAAAATGCTCAGCCAGAATCCGAGTCTGGGAGTGCACTTTGTCCGTTGCATACGGGCCGATCTGGAGTACAGGCCCAGGGCATTCCACTCGGATGTGGTGCAGCAGCAGATGAAGGCCCTGGGTGTCCTAGACACAGTGGTTGCCAGGCAGAAGGGTTTCAGCTCACGGCTGCCCTTCGAGGAGTTCCTGAGGCGGTAGGTTTTGTTTTAAAATCAACTTAAGATAAAGATTAAGATTTTTGGTCCTTTCAGTTACCAATTCCTGGCCTTTGACTTTGATGAGCCTGTGGAAATGACTAAGGACAACTGCCGTCTTTTGTTTTTGCGCCTCAAGATGGAAGGATGGGCTTTGGGCAAGACCAAGGTCTTTTTGCGTTACTACAATGATGAGTTCTTGTCAAGGTGAGACCTAAATCCTTGAAAAGGTAAACTTTGTAACAAGAGAAACTTAATTTATTTCCAGATTATACGAAGTACAGGTTAAGAAGGTTATTAAGGTTCAGTCCATGATGCGAGCCTTGCTGGCACGAAAACGCGTCAAAGGCGGCAAAGTTTTCAAAAGTATGTTTTCAAAATTTAATTTCAATATTATGGAAATACTAATTTTGTTTTATCCTATCATATAGTGGGCAAGAAGGGCCAGGAGCATCACGATGTGGCAGCCTCCAAGATACAAAAAGGTAAAAAAACGCAGGTGGATAAATTAAAAGAGTACGAGGAGGAGCACATCGACATAAGTGAGACGCCCTCGGAGGCGGAGGAGATGTTCCTTGAAGCCCGCATGGACGAGGCTCTGGCGGCGGTGCGAATCTCCAAAATCGAGCAGGCCTCCACCGAGGAATAGGCCACATACTATATACATATATATATAAACCATTTATACACACTCTATATCACTATATCGATCGATAATACTCGTTCTACTATCACTATAACTACTACTACTACTACTCGTTCTACAAACCAATAAAATCCAGAAAATGAAAACCAACAAAGTAATCAACTAGTCTACGGTCTATGCAACCACTTAAGCCGCTTAGTGGTGTCAAATGTGGTGGCTGGCACCTTGTGCACCACCCATTTTCTTGTATCTTGTATCCTAGTATCTGATGCAACCAATCGGCTTATAGCCCAGTCTGAGACATAACACTTAACATCGACGGCACCTGCGGAGAGAGATGAATTATAAGTGCTGCATAGAAAAGAAATGAAAATTTAATTAAATTAAGGCGACTTCCCACCCATTCTCCACCACCGATCCCTCCACCACCCAGCCCAGCCCAGTGACCGACTTGTTTTCATTTCCAGTTCACTTTTTATTTCTTTTCAGCCTATCGGGGATTCCGTGAAAAAATTCGTCTACCGCCACTGGTCAACGAGAAGACCGGACAGCTGAATGAGAACACGGCGGACTTTATCCGGCCATTTGCCAAGAAATGGCGCGAAAAGTCCATCTTCCAGGTTCTGCTGTACTACAGGGCGGCTCGTTTCCAGGACTTTGTCAACTTGTCGCAACAGGTGGGTCTTCTAAGCCACTTAGATACTATTAGTACTGTTTTTATCCTTCAGGTCCACATTTACAATCAACGAATGGTGGCCGGACTGAACAAGTGCACCCGGGCTGTGCCCTTTGAGAGGATCAACATGCGAGAGGTCAACTCCTCTCAGCTGGGACCGCTGCCAGTGCCCATAAAGAAGATGCCCTTCCGGTTGGATCAGATACCCTTCTACGACACCCAGTACATGGTCGATCCGGCCAACTCCATCTCCCGTCAGACGTTCCCCAATCAGCTCCTGATGCAGCAACTGGAGGACGACGAGCCCTGGGACAGTCCTCTGCAGCGCAATCCTTCGATGACCTCGTGTGCCCTGACCTACAATGCCTACAAAAAGGAGCAGGCCTGCCAGACCAACTGGGATCGCATGGGCGAGAGTGATAACATCTATAATCAAGGATTCTTCAGGGATCCACAGCAGCTGAGGAGGTAATACCTTTAGGTTCGGACCTAAAAGTTAAGAATAAAAATTAAATTCTTTTAGAAACCAAATGCAAATGAACATGAATGCCTATAATAATGCCTACAACAGCTACAGTAGCAATCAGAACTGGGGTGTCCATCGATCGGGATCCCGACGCAATTCCCTGAAGGGCTATGCTGCACCACCTCCTCCACCGCCCATGCCCTCGTCCAATTATTATCGAAACAATCCCAGCCAGCAGCAGCGAAATTATCAGCAGAGGTCGTCCTATCCACCATCGGATCCGGTGAGGGAGCTCCAGAACATGGCACGCAATGAAGGAGATGTAAAAACTAAAATTTAAATATAATTATAATTTTAATAATATAATTTAAATCTTTTAGAACTCGGAGGATCCACCGTTCAACTTCAAGGCTATGCTGCGCAAGACCAACTATCCCAGGGGCTCTGAGACCAGCACCTATGACTTCAACAATCGTCGCGGATCGGACGCTGATCAGCACACATTCCAGGCGCCCAAACTCCGGTCCACGGGCCGCAGATTCCAGGAGGACGAAGGCTATAACTCCTCGTCTGGGAACTATGGTGTGGGCAGGAACTTTGGCCATCAGCAACGGACACCAACGCTGCGGCAGAATCCGACCAGTGTTGGTCGTAGTTTCGAGGACAACAACGCCAGGTCCTTTGAGGAGGCAGGATCCTACGTAGAGGAGGAAATAGCTCCCGGAGTGACACTCTCCGGCTATGCCGTGGATATCTAAAGCATACAATTATGAATTAAAAATATTTCTAAATAATATCGTGCCTTTCGGAATATGAAGAGAGTTGCTATAAAAGAAACCCACCTATTTATGATATTTTATGATTTCTTATTAAAAATTAAATTATTTTCTTAAATAAAGATTAAAACTATCCTATAGTTCCGAAAAGCACTTAGCCATTGAACAAAATTTATAAAGAATACCTTAAAAATCTAAAAATACCATTAAATGTCTGTCCCATAGTAATAATATTATGGGAAATAGTAAATAAAGTCTTAGTAATAAATTAGAATTCAGCAAATATTTTGCATTTTATTGACGCTGGATAAAAAGGGGAAAATTCGACGATTTAACATTGCTTATTACTTTTGCTTATTAGCTTCATTGTTATAGTATAGTTTTTGAAATGATTTCACTTTTTCGACTTTTATGATCTAAAACGCAACAACAATACTCTCAGTATTACATAAACTATATCCATTATACATTGTATATATATATAAACATTAATAGCTTAACAAAAACGTTGATAGGAATGGATTGAACAAATACTATACTTTGTTCACAGGACTTTTGCATGTGTTTGTGATTTCATAGGGAGCGCGATAAGGCAAAAAAGGAAATATAATTGAATCATTAGCTGCACACCCAAACCGGGCATGATTTTATAAATTCTTGAATACGATAAAACCAAGTTACGGATCTCATTAGTTTCATATAATATCAATCATCCATGCCGGGTTCACGTAAGCCATCCGAATGCATTTTCTTGCCAGCTATTTCGAGCATGGCGCGATCTTCCAAATTGCTGTCCAAGACAGAGCGTTTCTATAAAAATATATTCAGTTATTTTAAGATATATAGGTCATAGTGTATCTTAAGAACTTACCTGATCACCTGCCCCTTCTTCATCCTCATCTTTAACCGGTAAGTCACCCACGGCCCAGACCTCCATGTTACGGATCTTAAACTGCTTGCGTTTGCTGTAAAAAATATTTAAAATGTAAACACAAGTATTAAGAGAATAGTTTTTTCTGTAACTCACCTTAGCTGCACATAATCCCGATATGTGGTGCAGCTTTCAACACTCTGTCCATCCCCAAACATACAATCAACCCAGAGGCCCCAGAATTCAAACTGACCGCCCATTCCCTGTATTTCAGAAAAATATAAACAATTAGAAAGGCAATCAATCAATGGATTATAAACATTACTCACCAGGCCATTCGGCATCGTCTGCTGATTCAAATTCAAATACTGATAGTGATCGTTATAACCTGTGGCCGTAAAACACCTCATTGCCGGACTCAGAGTGTAGAGCAATGAACTGTCATCGCCTCCGAATTGGGGCTTCAATGACCAGGATTCCGACGCATAGCCACCGAAAATGTATTGATCCTCGTCCTCGATAAAGAACAGCGTTGGTCCTTTGTCCATTACTTTGCCCAGCATTGTGGAAAAGCTTTCGCCATTGATCTTCGATGAGAAGAGGAAGCGCCACTTGTGACGCAACTCCCGGGGCAGTTGAGCGTTGATGTAGACGACATGTGGCAGTTCGATGATTGGGCGATAGTGACTATTCTGAGGGGCATCTGAAAAGTGAATCGTAATACTTAGTATTGGGAAAAGGCCATATTTCATGTCTTACTTACCACACAGCTCTGGTAATATGGGTATTTCCATTTCCTTGATAATGTTCCGCTTGCTACCGCCATGACGGGAATACAACTGACTAAACACTTCTCGCCAAATTTGGAGAAACTGCGGCGTAATGTGAAGCCATCGTTCCAGTGCCTCATTGGGCATACTGTGCTCCAGTTCCTTGCCGAGATTACGCATCAGACCCTTGGCAAAGGTGCAGGTCGATCGTTCCGTGGTGTTGAAGCCCAAATCCTGCCAGTCCTTGATGCATGAACCCTTTGAAGTGCTTTCCAAATGCACATAGCTTTTGATCACCGAATAGATGTACTAAAATGAAGTTTAATAAATATTTTTTATTAAAAAGAAAATTATCTGATAAGGTAAATGTATCTCTTGTTCTGTAATTTGAAGTCTCACTTAATTTTTTTTTCTACCGAACGATCAGATAGACTCACCTGCTCCAATTGCTTGATATTAAAGGTGTCGTTTCCGGATCTCTGGAGCGAGGAGAGAAGCATTTGAAGCTTCTGGTCGATGGTGCCGCGCTCCATGATATAGAAGGGCTCTCCAAATTTCCGCAGGGGTATGTTGATACATGACTGTCCCGGCTTTGTCGGTGTAAACAAAAATTGAGCTGTGCTCTCGGCCAGTGATCGTTCAATGGTTTGCGACCAAGTTTCCTGTTATTTTTTCAAAAAACAACAAATTTATAAAGAGATTGAAATAAACAAACGGGGGCACCGGATACGCAAACATTATTTTCCTGCTGGTGTCAGCAAATTCTTGCAGGGCCCCAAGGTCTGGGAAATGCTGACATAGATTTAACCCATTAGGTTTGACTGAAGGGAGCAGCAATTTACCACCCAACCTCATAAATGGGGGTTAAGCATATTGTTTATTTTTAATTCAATTGGACTGCCTAGCTGGCCCTAATTGACAGCCCCGAAGAGTCATCGAAATCACGACTAATTCGTTAGCAAGCAAATTCAACAAAAGCAATAGACAAACAACGAAATGCGCCGGGCAAACAAATTAGACAATATTCGTTGTGGACACGTTTGCCTTCGGCACGCGGTATTATCAATTCCAAGCTGATAACAAGAAAGGTTGGAAAACCTATATGGAAAACCATAGTACCCTATTATTCCACTTGGCTTTCAAGTCGATGTGGGGATTATGTAAAGTCTATAAAAAGCTTGCATATATTATTCGGTGGTATTCGGTTTTAATTATTGAATTTTTACCACATGTGGTGATAAATTTAAATTTTCGTCAAGTGTTGGCACCTTGCAGCGGCCCAAGAAGTACTTATTATTTTGATTGTATTTCAAAAACAAGAGGCACTTGGCCTAAATTTACATGAATAATTGACTTACTTAGGTTTTGTTTGTTAAAGTAAAATAAAATGAATTTTTTTCAAAATTGGGTTTTTGAAAATATTTCAAAATATTTATGAGAAGAACCTGTTTATTATTATTTTTTTTAAATAGTTTATTGACTTTTTTTGAGTCCCATAGTATAGATGTCTAAGAAATGCATCAAAATATTTAAGCTTTTTCTTTTTACAAATCTATTATATAACAAAATTATTAAAAAAATTATCTTTCTTTTACCAAAATTTATTTTCGGAAAATATTTAAGAAAAAAAATTGTAAGATGCCAGTGATGTAAGCAAATCGATTTTGTTTGGATTTGTTCTTATTTTTTGAAAAGTAAAACCGGTTTGTTTTTACGTCTTTGTCTCTTTGTTGGCTTGCCTCGGTGGCTTTTTGGTAGTACTTTTCCTGGCCTGGCCAAAAGCTTGGTGAATCAATATACCCTCTACAGGGTATAAGAGCACCAGCAGGTGAAACGTCATTTGTCACGCAGTCATTTAGGCAATCCCATGACTTTGGCTATCAGGGGGGGTTCCTCCTCTGCATCTCCGAAGGAAGTTCAGTCTCCGGGCGGCCTTGAACTTGCGACCCTGACCCGCAGCAGGGTGCTTGCATTATGCATTGATTTTTGCTTTTGCTTTATGCCACAACACACAACCAGCCGCCGTTTGGAAGCCTTCAACTTACCACCAATCTGTCTTGGGTCAGTTTTTCCAGGGCTCCGCCAGATGCATTCTTGTAGGCCGATTCCAGCATGCGTAGCTCCTCCGACGTGAAGAGATTATCCGTATCCCGTTTTCCGCTCGCATTTCCCATTTCCGGGCCGCCAATTAGTTTAGTTACTTCCGCGTTATGCCTTATCCGTTTTCCGTTTGTAAACAATCCGCTCAGCTGCTCCTCGACGATTTAATTCGGTTTGTTGATATATCAAAATATGAATATATCGATATCTTTCAATAAAAATGATATGTTTACAATCGGATGGAAACAAGCCAACATGTAGCGAGATTTTCTGGTATTCTGTCTTTTTGATATGGTGGTCACTTTTAATTTCAAATCAGTTAGTATTTTAATACCTGTAAATTCTATAAATTCTTTTTAAATAATCGAGTTAAATTCTATTTAAATTTGGTAGATTTTATTCACAATTCATTTCAAATCAATTTCGTATTTAATTAATTATTTTCCAAAATAATACCAAACTTCCAGTTCGTTATCGATAACTCTTAAAAAATCGGAGGCATTTTCAAACTTCCCATTCGTAACCCTAGCAACACTTCCGTATTAAATCAATTGAGTAACCAATAAATTCCATCGCACACAAAAACACCCATAAATTCCCATACATAGACCAAAGAATTTTGGCAAAACAACGGATAGCGAAAAATTTAGCAAAGCCTCTTCAGAACCGGAAGTATGATTGGTCATCAAGCCCATAACCGGAAAGGAAAGGTGCGCGAACAATGCGGATCTTGTCCGAATCGATTCTCAAAGGACAAGCGGCAGGTGGTGGCCGAGGACTCGGACACCACGGAGGTGGAGTCGTCCACGGACGAGGAGGATCGGTGGAAGGAGGTGGCGCGTGCCGCCGAAATTCCGGCCGATTATTACAACATCCAGAAACTAGTCAAGTACATTAAGGCGGGCAATCAGACGGCCACTATAGTATCGCTGTGCTGCTTGAAGGACTACGATCTGAGCACCCAGATCAACCAGTTCGCCATCTCGGACATAGGCGGCCTCGATGTCCTGGTCAACATCCTGGAGTGCAGCGACACCAAGTGCTGTTTGGGCGCCCTCACCGTTCTCTCGGATATCACCCTGAACATTGATATCCGCAAGACCATTGTGGATCTGGATGGTATACCTCTCATCGTGGACATCCTCAACTCCTCCATGAAGGATCTCAAGACCATGGCGGCCGAGACCCTAGCGAATGTGTGCAAAGTCCGTTTGGCCAGGAAGTATGTGAGGACTTGCGGTGGTATTCCCAAGCTGGTGGATCTCATCGACATTAAGCTAAGGTGGGTTTTTATAATGGAATAATATAACTCTCATTTTTAACCCATTTCCCCCTGGGTAGTATTTTAAAAACTCCACGAGATCAACTCAATGCCGACGACCTGGAGTCCCTGGACATGACCCGCGCCGGAGCCCGTGCCCTTTGGACTTTGGCAGACTCCAAGCACAATATGGAACAGATGCGAAAGAGTGGAATTGTGCCATTGATGGCCCAGCTGCTGAAGTCCGTCCACATCGATGTGGTAATACCCATCATGGGCACTGTGCGAAAGTGTTCCTCGGAACCGAAATTCCAACTGGCCATCACCACGGAGGGCATGATTCCGGATATTGTGAGCCATTTGCACTCGGAGAACACGGAACTTAAAATGGAGGGCAGTACGGCGATCTACAAGTGCGCCTTTGATGCCAATACCAGGGAATTGGTGAGGGAAGCTGGAGGATTGGAGCCATTGGTTACCATCATAAAGGACAAGAACCTGAGGGACAACAAGCCCCTGTTGAGGGGAGCCACGGGGGCCATCTGGATGTGTGCCGTGACGGATGCCAATGTCAAGGTTATGGACCAACTACGAACGGTGAACCATTTGGTGGCTTTGTTGAATGATGAATGCGATGAGGTCCTGACCAATGTTACTGGGGCTCTGTCCGAGTGTTTGAGATTCCAAAACAATCGCGAGCAACTCCGTTTTGCTGGAGGATTGCCATCTATGGTGTCCTTACTCAACAGTTCCCATGCCCCGCTCTTGGAAAATCTGGCCAAGGGTCTGAAGGAATGTGCCGAGGATCCAGAGAGTATGAGAGTCCTGGAGGACCTCGATGCTGTGCGTCTGATTTGGTCCTTGCTGAAAAATACCAGCACCAGAGTCCAGGCCCATGCCGCCTATGCCATATGTCCTTGTGTTCGAAATGCCAATGACTCCGCCGAACTGGTCAGGAGCTTAGTGGGAGCCATGGAACTGGTGGTGGGTCTCCTCAAGTCCAAGGACATTATGGTCTTGTCAGCGGTTTGCGCCGCCATAGCTACCATTGCTCAGGATCAAACGAATCTGGCCATCCTAACCGACTTGAGAGTCATCTATAAGCTGGCCGATCTTGTCCAGACAACCGATGATCTCCTGAGGATGAACCTGGCTGCTGCCGTGGCTGCTTGCGCCTGCTTCGGCAATAATACGGAGGAACTGGGACGCCTACGCACTGTGACTCCCATTGTCACCTACATGACCAGTGATAATCCTCTCGTGCATCGCAGTACGGCCATGGCTTTGGAGAAACTATCAATGGATCCGCAGAATTGCATCACCATGCACCAAGTGAGTTCCATTTATATTAATTTTTATTATTTTATTACATAACATTTTTACTTTCAGAGCGGTGTGGTTCCATTCCTGCTGGAGTGTATTGGTTCCACCAACAAGGAGCTCCAGCTGGCCGCCGCCGGATGCCTCAGAAATATCCGGGAACTGGCTCTACGCGCCGAAGAGTATTTGCTTAAAATCGACGATGACTAGGTTTTTCCATTCGTTATGTTTATGTAATTACTGTTCAAATAATACATCATCATTGAAGAAGTTTTCGTTTCCAACATCCCTACTATCCATATCTTTCTTAAACAGAAACTCCTTTCAAGTCCATCATAACATCTAGCTATATATTTGTCACTACATTTTGACTAACTAAGCTCTTGGCTTCCCCGTCAACCCCCGACTAAATCCCAATTAATAGCTGGCATTGCTGCCCCTGGTGGAAATGCTCATCCTCCGCTCCACACGGTTGGTGTGCGGCAGGAGGCATCCCGGCGGTGGATATCGCCATCTTCGTGGCCTGGAGAGCAGAGTTCCGTCCGTGGAGGCTCGACTTCGGAAGGGGGCGTCGATATCGCTGCGAGAACTACTCAAGCTACTGCTGGCAATCTCATCCGTGGACTCGGTGTGGTCACCGCTGCTTTCCTCCAGACAAGCACTGCCGATGACTAGGAAGGAACGACGACCGGCTCCCAGCGAGGAGGCATCGTAGAAGGAACAGGAACCCGAATCCGGAGTCAGGATACCGTCCGCCGAGTTGGCCACATCGCTGGTGGAACGTTTGAGCTTGGGGAATTTGCTGAAGACACGCCAGAAGCGGAACACATCTCGAAATACATTCTGGACCTGGTTTAAATAATATTTGTTACAGAGTTTCTTAAGAAAACGCTGAAAGCCTTCTGGCCCACCTGGTCCACATTCTCTCTGACTGAAATCTCATGGAAACAGGCGCAGGACAATTCCCTGAAGCGACGCTGACCCTCCTCCAAGGTAACCATCCTGTCACCAGGCTGATCTGTTTTATTTCCCACCAGAATGACAGGAATATCCAAAGTGCAGTCCTTAAAAATAAAAATTAATGTAGGCTTTAAATATTTAAATTTTAAAATAGAATACCCACTTTACTGGCAGAGCCCAGCTTGCGTCTTCGTTTGTTGTAATTAATAAGGAACTTGAGGCGACTGCACTCGTCAAAGGAACACTTATCCGTAATGGAGTACATCAGTATAAAAGCATCCGCCCACCGGATGTTGGACTCCAGAGTGACTCCATCTAGTTCCTGATAAATAAAGGCACTTTATATTTCAAAAGTATTTAAAAGGAATACTTGACACCCACTTGTAAATGGCCGGTAGCATCCAGGATGTCAAACTGAATTTGTTCCTTGTCCAGAGTGGTCTGGCAGGTGTATATCTTCTCCAGATTGGGATCATATTCCCCAATGAAGCGACGAGTGATAAAACGCACCACCATGGCTAAGTGGGGGTAATCTATTGAGTTTATATTCGGGAGAAAGTTTAGGATTTTCCTTTCACATACCCGTTTTTCCCACGCCACTTTGGCCCAAAACCATAACCTTGAGCGTCTTTTGTTTGTTGGTATGAAGGCCCAACTTGACCAGAGATGACTTTGGCGAGGTGGCATTCATGGCAGGACCAAGGAACAATTGTCTGCAAAAACAGTATTAAATACTTAAGTTAGAAAAGAATATATAGAGTAGAATATAGAGATACCCTTCGTTATAATACCTATTCAAAAGACTTCCATTCATAAGTCTTAAATCATATCGCATAATTCTCTTTTTAATTTTAAAATATAACCTTAAATGCCAATTAGCTACAAAAATAAAATACCCATCTAATCAGTGTCATAGGGTATAAATATTAAAGAAAATTGGGTTGGGGGGGTTTTGGGTTTTAAGGGTGTCGTATTTCCGAGACAATATGTCTGCCTGGAATGACTGACATAACCTTTGTTCGCCCGGATTCCTGATGCTGTTGTTGACCGGCTCTCGCCCTCGTAACCCACATCAAAATTGGTCTATCGCCAAAGTCTGGGACTAGACCAGGTCGCATTCTTATTTTGGCCAAAGACTCCCAGCATTATTGCATATTTTAAGAGTGACAAGATGAAGGAAAAATGGAAAAAGCAGAAAGGCCACACTTGGAAAATTGATTTATTATTTATAATAAGCTTTAAGGCTTTACTGGAATTTTTAAATAAGAGAATATATAAAATGTTTAAAGTGCATTTGTGGGGTGTCTTTCATGCTATAATACTCGAAAAGTTTTGACTTTAATTACATTTTTCTTGCCATAAAATCAATGAAAATATTTAAAATAATTTCAAAAGAATAATTCGATATGTATCGAATATAAACTTTTGTTTTAGTGCATTCAATCGCAAAAACCCCAGCAGGAACACTCAACAAAAGACGCTCAGGGCGTGTGTGTTTTTTTTATAGCCACCCATGGACGCACCCATATATAGGATATACGCAGGGATATATGTATGTAGGATGTGGTGTGGCAGTAAGTGTATTTGTACTTTTGATAAGGTCAACAATGTCAGCAGCAACCGACAACTATGAAACATTTATTGGACACTTTCTGCGTTGTCCTCCAGAAACCGCCGCAGACATTACAAAAAGAAAAATAAAACAGAAGTCCCAGGCCTTGGACACGGCCATGGTCATTATTTTAAGGCCGCACCCTGTCAGCCGATTAGCACAGGATGTCAGAGTACTTCAAAATATAGTTGGCACACACATTTAACAATAAACAACAGAAGACGTCGAAGCAACAAGTGACAACAATAAAACATCAATTATCACTTGGCCCAGACAGGACGATAATTTCTCGTTTGTGTCCTTCGGAAGTGAAACATTGATAAGTCCTCGATAATGAGCAAGTGTGTTGGGGAAAGTCCTTAGTTCGGTTTAACGACACGTGCCAGCCAAATGAGTTATTTGGCTGACAAGTACCTACAGTGCGGCACCATAAAATGGGGGAAATTATTTCACCAGAAAGTCATGAAAATGGTTGATTAATATTGGCTGATTGAAAAGGACAACCATTGGCAGTGTGTATGATTAGTTGGAGCGTCGGGTTATTCATAGCTGGATTATAAATAGAACTCCCTGATGATAGATAGCCAAGATAGTGAGCACTTCCATTGAACATTTCTGAAAGCTTATCAGGCTGAGAAAATTCTAGTTTTTTGGGAGTTTATGTATATGGAAACCCCTAGGTTAATATTAAAGCTTCTGGCACTTAAAATGTATATATTTTCGGTAATATGTGTTGTCGGCCATATATGGCCCCTAGCCATGTCCATATCTTTGCCAATTTGTATCCGATCTTCAAACGGAATACCTTAAACGATTTGTAGTACAATTCCTAGTAATTCTGCATCAAAACCTCCACTCCAAATTTTTGATCGATATTCCTTAAACGATTTGTAGTACAATTCCTAATAATTCTGCATCAAAACCTCAACTCCAAATTTTTTATCGATATTTTTCAAATTTTTCTCATGGGACCCCTTGCAAAATCCAGGATTCTCATACATGGCCCCTAGCCATGTCCATATCTTTGACAATTTGTATCCGATCATCAAACGGAATACCTTAAACGATTTGTAGTACAATTCCTAGTAATTCTGCATCAAATCCTCAACTCCAAATTTTTGATCGATATTTTACAAATTTTTCTCATGGGACCCCTTGCAAAATCCAGGATTCTCATATATGGCCCCTAGCCATGTCCATATCTTTGCCAATTTTTATCCGATCATCAAACGGAATACCTTAAACGATTTGTAGTACAATTCCTAATAATTCTGCATCAAAACCTCAACTCCAAATTTTGGATCGATATTTTTCAAATTTTTCTGATGGGACCCCTTGCAAAATCCAGGATTCTCATATATGGCCCCTAGCCATGTCCATATCTTTGCCAATTTGTTTCCGATCATCAAACGGAATACCTTAAATGATTTGTAGTACAATTCCTAGTAATTCTGCATCAAAACCTCAACTCCAAATTTTTGATCGATATTTTACAAATTTTTCTCATGGGACCCCTTGCAAAATCCAGGATTCTCATATATGGCCCCTAGCCATGTCCATATCTTTGCCAATTTGTTTCCGATCATCAAACGGAATACCTTAAATGATTTGTAGTACAATTCCTAGTAATTCTGCATCAAAACCTCAACTCCAAATTTTTGATCGATATTTTACAAATTTTTCTCATGGGACCCCTTGCAAAATCCAGGATTCTCATATATGGCCCCTAGCCATGTCCATATCTTTGCCAATTTGTTTCCGATCATCAAACGGAATACCTTAAATGATTTGTAGTACAATTCCTAATAATTCTGCATCAAAACCTCAACTCCAAATTTTTGATCGATATTTTTCAAATTTTTCTAATGGGACCCCTTGCAAAATCCAGGATTCTCATACATGGCCCCTAGCCATGTCCATATCTTTGCCAATTTTTATCCGATCATCAAACGGAATACCTTAAACGATTTGTAGTACAATTCCTAATAATTCTGCATCAAAACCTCAACTCCAAATTTTTGATCGATATTTTTCAAATTTTTCTCATGGGTCCCCTTGCAAAATCCAGGATTCTCATACATGGCCCCTAGCCATGTCCATATCTTTGACAATTTTTATCCGATCATCAAACGGAATACCTTAAACGATTTGTAGTACAATTCCTAATAATTCTGCATCAAAACCTCAACTCCAAATTTTTGATCGATATTTTTCAAATTTTTCTCATGGGACCCCTTGCAAAATCCAGGATTCTCATACATGGCCCCTAGCCATGTCCATATCTTTGACAATTTTTATCCGATCATCAAACGGAATACCTTAAACGATTTGTAGTACAATTCCTAATAATTCTGCATCAAAACCTCAACTCCAAATTTTTGATCGATATTTTTCAAATTTTTCTCATGGGTCCCCTTGCAAAATCCAGGATTCTCATACATGGCCCCTAGCCATGTCCATATCTTTGACAATTTTTATCCGATCATCAAACGGAATACCTTAAACGATTTGTAGTACAATTCCTAATAATTCTGCATCAAAACCTCAACTCCAAATTTTTGATCGATATTTTTCAAATTTTTCTCATGGGACCCCTTGCAAAATCCAGGATTCTCATACATGGCCCCTAGCCATGTCCATATCTTTGACAATTTTTATCCGATCATCAGGATTCTCATACATGGCCCCTAGCCCTAGAAAACCTTTAAACCTAAAGTTGTAGTCTAAGCAGTTTAAGTGCAACCACCAAACGTTAATCACCTTGAAATCAAGCCGTTAAAACCTCCAAACCGATCAATTTCATTCTCAGAATAACGTAGACCTCGGCCATTAATTAATCAGAAATTTCGATGGAAACTTAGTTGCTTTTTAGATTTTGCAACGCACTGTTGGCAGACAGGACAGGCATGTCGAAAGTGAAACAAATGCTTCTCAGCAACCACCTGGCCAAATCCCGAACACCACCTTGCCTCCTTTTGTGGCGCAGGACATCGTGGCTCTGCAGTCGCTGGCTGTTTCTGTATCAAGTTTTGCTGCGTAGATTTTAATTAGTTGGATTTGAAACTCAAACACTTGAGCAAGCCATGACAACACGGAGCGTGCTTAATGAAGCGTTTTCCCGTTTGCCGGGCTATGTTATTGCCGCACAACGTGGCGTATACGTAATGCCCAGCATCAAGTGGTTTTTTGGGGTAGGCTTTGGGGCTGATCCGGAAAGTTTTTGTCTGTAGCCAGACGATTTTAATCACCCCTAAAGTTGAAAACTTTTCTCCCTCTTCCCACTAATTTATATTTAATTATATTGTACATTTTCTGTAAAGGAATTGCTATTCGTTTTTCCAAGAAATCTGTATTTTCGTTCCTGTAATAATCCTCCCTTCACGTTTTCACTTTTCACACGCCCCCTCAAAGTGTGCAATTCAACTGTGGCTGAATTTATATTATTTATTTATTTTTTTTATTGCGCAGAAAATTTTTGCGAACCAGTTGGCTGAAGTGAGGTCATGGAAAATGAGATGAGATGGGCGAGGGATGGGCTTCGGGGATGCAGTGAAGCAAGGTGAAAGTGGAAGCCTCAGTGCACACTAATGAGTTTCAAGAATTTTCACAAGAAATGGTTAAGGATATTCGATGGCCAATTGAAGGAATCAAACAACAAATCGAATGGAAATGATTGTCAATGTATTTCCAAGGGTTCGCTTCTCATCAAATGAAAATAAATACAGGAAAGGAATTGAGGAAGCTGAGGAAATCATTCATTAAGTGTCTGAGCCTGTTGACAAAAATAGAAATACCACATGAATTGAATATGCTTCAAGTTTTTGGTCATGTTACGAAATAATTTAGTTTATTAACTTTATTTTGAAACCTTTCACAAAATAAACATAGCTTTGTTTATTTACTTTTTAAAAAAGAAACCCAAAACGTGACTCAATCCCAAAAATTAACCCTGAAATGTAGTTCGGGGTTACCCTAATGCTGGCCCTAATTTTCCGACTGCTTATCTTCCATCAGCCGTTAATCACAACACAGTGAGTATCCTTTACGTAAGGTAATGACAGGATGCTCGCATGTCTGTGTTAGCAGGACATCGTCCTGCTTCTGGCTCCTGACGCCGGACCTTGGCAAAGGCATTGAAAATGAAAACCTTGTTAGATGATGGGTTTTGGGACCCGTTGGGTTGTTGACCTGATTGTTGTGTGTTTACCAACACATGCCCTTCCACGGGTATTGCGCACCAAAAAATTATTCGCCATCCAGACGTGGATTGAGTTACCGGAGTGTCTGTAGTTTGGCCAATCCCGCACCCCCGCTCTGCCCATTTTAATTTTTTGGGGCACTTGTCGGCCAGTTGTGGTTGTCATCGCCGGAGTGACGATGATGATGATTATGCCCCGTGTAGTTCCATGGAAAACAAATCAAACTGCCCCCCGACCAACAAGTGGTTGTTGGGGGAAACAGACGAAGGGCTGGTGTGGCTGGCCAGGCGGAGGACCATGTGAGTTGTCATGGTGCCAGTGATTCCACTCTACGGCTAAGGTCATGGGAAGTGAGCCACTTGCTATGAGGTTCATTATTGTTGATTGAAGTTGTCCACTCCACAAAGACTTGTTTCCACTTGCCCACCTCCTCTCTCACCTACTGCCCATTTTTCCCGCGTTTTTGCCCGTCATTTCACTTCAATACAAGTATTGAGCAGCGAGTTAGTAATAAAAACATGTACACTAAGAAAAATGTACAGAAAACATAGTAAAAAGCTCTCAAAAAAGTGTAAACCCAATTTATTATATATTTATCTCAGTGCCTCAATAGCCAAAGTTGCCATTGGTTTTCTTTCACTTACTCACTCGGCATTGAAATCGAAAATGCGTAAAAATTGTAGGAGTTGGCGGTCAACTTCTCTCCACTCAAGCACTCACCTTGAGACCGATTTAAATAGGTATTTGTATACATCGAGTATATAAAAATAAATGTACGAAAAGAAATTTCTTTGGGACATTGTTAGAGATTCCCAGACACAGACATTGCCAAATCAGGCTCATAAATAAAACTCAGGCGTCATAAATGTTTTTTTAGTTAGGCTCACATGGGTGATTTTTATGTTTACTAAGCACCATTTAAATAAATACAGACTGGGCCAAAAAGGCAAAGTCATGGCCAAGAAATGGGCGGAAAAGCTGTAAAAGCCAGGAAAACAGGTAAAAGCTAAGGAGTTGAAGGAAAACACTTTCTGTTTAAACTTTAAAGTGTTTGAAATATGAGACGGCAAGAAAATTAAACGAAAAAAGGAACAAACTTTGGCTTAACTTTATTTATTTTTCATAACCTTCGGAAAACCACAAAAAGTTTATATTTTGTGGCCTATTTTTTATGAGAAAGCTATCAATTATTTTCTTTCATGTTGCACCCACTGTACATATTTCGATAATTATTATCAAATATTGTAAGCTCTTATCGGCGCATTTCCATTCCTGTCTTTTTTGCCAATAAAAATTGTTTTTTTTTCCCCCATAAATATCGTTGGAATTTATGGATACGCACTGGCTTCCGCAGACGCTTGAAACCACAAATTGAAAGAAATCTCTCTCAGCCTTAGCCTTAGACGGTCTCCGCCACATTTGCTACTTGTCTGCAATGCAAAATGCCAATAACTCAAAAAGCCCCATGACTGCCACCCAAAAGCCTTAACTCCTCCGAGTGGCAGCTTTCTGCTTTTTATGATCCCCATCCCCATAAAGTGTCCGGGCACTCGACATCCCTGCTCATTGTGTCAGTTGTTCAGAACGACGAATTATTCACGATACCCTCAATGAAAGTGGAGCTATTTGGGCTTAAATAGATGGGATTATATTGTTATACGATATACGTATTATAGGAGACTAAAGTACTTATAAGGGGAAGTCATGTATTTATTTTATTATTATGGATATCTAATTCAATTGAACTCAATAAGCAAAGGTTATGTTTTTTGGGTTACATCTAAGTTTATATTACTCAAATAATAACAAATATTAGATAAATTATTTATTCTATTTAGGGTATAATAATATTCGTCCAAACTGCCTTTAACCTTTTCGAATTCAATTTTTTTTTGCGGCTTTGGCGTTTGTCAACGTTTGCTACTGTATCTGGCTCTGTCTGCGGTCGGCTGGCAATAAAACGCTTTTGTTTGTGGCTTTATAACTAGCGCCACAAAGTAAAAGCCGTCAGTATCGGGTGCTATTAGCTAGTCACTTTATGAAGGTGGCAACGGCAAGTGCTGGTGGGAAAGGTGGGTGTTGCAGTCCCTGATTATGTGTTGTTGATACAATAAATCTTTCTTTCACTGACCAAAAGAGGGTTACCCAAAAAAAAAAAAAACAAAATATATAAAGAGATTTGAGATAACGCTTTGGAGGCTATCGAAATAAATAGAAAAGGAATTCGCACACACAAATCTGCATTTCACTTTTGAACAGACATGCTGGCGACCTTGCCGCCAAATTTAAAAACATATCAAACAAACAAATCAAAAACAGACTGAAAGAGATGGAGAGCCACACCGCAATTCGTTGTATTTCAGAAACGTTTTCAAAGTCAAACAGTTTTGCACAAGATTGTTGCTAGCGGAAGTAGCAGCACAATCAAAGCCAATTAAAATGATTTACAAAACAAGAAAATCAAAAAATATATATGTATATATTTTCGATGCTGAAGACCGTCAGGTGAAAAGTTATGGTCCATTTGCCAGACACGAGTCAAGGTTGACTGGAGAAACAAATAATAATCCATCATGGGCGCAACTCAAGGGGGCCATTTTTAACAGAAAATTATGAAATTGCCAATAAATTAGTCTTTAGTTTCTACTGAATTATAGAATCTTTTGTCGGCGCTCCCTTTTGAGGCAAAAGCCCTTCACTACTTCACTGTCTTGTCAAGAAATTGTTTATAAAAAAAAGACTTAGAACCAGCACGAATCCAAAACTTTTTGATTTAATTTATTATGTGTTTATAAAAGTTGAGCATTCGCTGTGTTGCTATTTTTTTCGGAAACAAACTTTTGCTTCAAATTTAATTGCCATAAATTCGGGTCTTTATTTAGTTGTAACAATAATCAAGTATACGCACCGTTTGATCAATAAAGATGTATTTATTCTTCAATAAAAACTGTCTTAGTTACTGCATTTGTTTCATAGAACACATTTTTTAATTTTTGTTTATAAACTTTATATATTTTGGTGTTGATGGTGTTGATTAATGTTAGATATATGTTAGAGTTTACATTTATTCAAAAAATATATATATTTCTTATTTAATTATTAGTTCATAATTTTGTCTTTATTTTCTTTAAATTTTTTAGGAATATCAATTAACAAGTTTGTATATTAATTCCAAAAAAAAAATATCAAGTATACGCCTTGTAAGTTTTCACAAAAAATATATTTTTTCTAAAATTAAACTATTGTTTTTATTTATGGACACTGTTGAACATTTATTTATCTTTGGTAAGTTTTATGTTTAATCCGGTTTTGTACTTTTAATAAAATAATGTTACTTTTTGGTTATTGTTTTTTTTTATTTGGCGCATTGTTGACACTTCAGGTTCCTGTTGCGCATTAAGTCGCTGGCTCATAGCAATTATGCTTTTATATATCCAACTAGTACCGCTGCCGATGCCATCGATGTGGGTTTATTGCGACGCAGCGTCAGCCGATGTGTTGCCATTGTAAAACCATAATAAAAACACATACGAAACGCGGCTTTCTGCTGGAAGCCACCCAGCCACCCCCACCTGTGCCGCAATATCCACGCTCCTCCACCTTTTGATGGGGTCCTCGGGGGCGGGGCAAAAAAATGTAAAATGCAAAAGAGTTCGGCAAGAAAGTGCACACTCGCACACCCCCTTACCACCTTTTAAAACAATAACAACACGTAAACCGGGAAAAGAATTGGCCACAGAATCCGCAACAACAACGCGACTGAAGTTCTGCTCTCGGCGACCGCGACGCGTCGCATCTGCTGAGCTGCCCGATGAGAAGTGGCAGCGGAAACAAAAAAATGTTTATAAGTAAGCGAAAAGCGCGCGCATATGGCCAGCAACAATGTTGCTAAGCTACGAATCTCTGCAACATAATGAAATATTTAAGGTTTTTCTGATATTTTTAGTGTTTGTAATACAATTTAATTAAATATAGTAATATTTAATGATGCTCTAGTAATTAAAGTTCCTATTTAAAAGCTATTTCATAGTTAAAATTATTTAATAAGACAAAAAACATATGTTTCAAAATAAGTACTTCAAGGCGTATACGTAATTTTATTGTTATACGTTTTTAAAACCGTTTTTAAAAATTACAAATTTCAAGCTAATTAATTCATTTAGAATACCTGGCTTAAAGTTTATCCAATTTCATTAAATATTAACTGTAAACTTGACCCACAAAACCAGAAAACTTGCCAACATTGTCCCCAAAATCCGATAGCTTGTTACTTCCACGTCTCCATTACAAATCAGCTCACACCACAGGGAGCAATTGAATTTCTTTTTTTTTTCTGTTTTCTGACCAACTGACCTTCACTTAACATTAGACCCCAAAAACAAAACAAACACAAACCCAAAAGGAAAACATTTTGGGGGCGTGGGAGGGTAAAGTATACAAACATTTTCCATGTAATTGGCAATAAGCCATGCCCTAATGCTAGACCAAACACACACCGCCCACACACACATGTTTACACGACTTTGCACGCGCGGAAAGTGTCCGCCGATGGGTGGGACATAGCCCCCCTGGATATATTTTTATATATGTACACGATCTCGTTCCTTTATCGGTGTGCATCGCACGTAGAAAACAAACAGGCCGTGTGGCAACCTGTTGACATCGAAACGCCCCGAAGGCACGTTCACTAATTGCTTCTGACGGTGGCAACAGGTTAGATTTTGTCAGCTGAGCTAAACATTAATTTTGGGCCAGCCCCAGGATCTGGGGAGCACCAGAGGCCTCCCCCATCTCTGGATTTTCGGTTGATTTATGTCCACCTTAAGCCCGAGCCCCCGACCTTTTAGCCTTTCAACCCCTTCGCCAGGGGTACGGCTTAACGTCATAGTCATTCTGTCACTTTGCATTCTTGTTGTTTACTCGAAAAAAGTCAAAAGGTGTGAAAAACAACACCCCGACCACTTTCCATTTCCCTTCAATTTTCTTCAACGATTTTGCGTAGGTGAGATGTTGAAAAATTAGAGGTTCTAGAGTTTTCTTAAAGGGTTCTGACACTAATTTATGTTAATTGAGACATGGAAATATTAGTTAAAGGGGGTTTAGCTTTTTTTTGGGGGGTATTTGTTTAATTAAAAGAGATATCTACTTAAAAGATTAAAAATACTTTTTACTTATTGTTTCATTGAGACTTTTCCAAAACTTGAACAGGTTTTTTTTAAATGGTATTTAGTTTAATTCATAGGGGTTTTTTTCGTCACAAATTTAAACATAATTTGTAAAGTATTTTTTTCTAAATCTTTATCAATAATAGGTATATATTTTTTATTTAATAAGTTATCATAGAACAAGTATTATAAAATGCCATTTAATAAAAATAGTAACCATTTAATTTTCCATAAAATAATTAACTTACCCCACTGTGCTTACTTTTTACCCATTTTGTTTCATTCTCTCTTTTGGCCAACTGTTTTGAAAATTCTATTTATGGTTGGCAATAAATTGTACCCCCCTCTGTCTATATGTTTCGACCACTAACTGAGTCAGCAAACTTGGTCTAAGAGCTTACGAAAAAGCTTTTCCTGCCAAGAAAAACAAAAATTAGAAAACAAAAGCGAAAAACGTAAATCCCATTGACTCGATCGGTTGAGAAAATATTTACAACAAATCTATCAAAGCTATCAAAGAGAATTTCTGGTTTATTTGGATTAATTGACAGTTTTCGCAGTTGACAAATTAGCCGAATTAAATTCTGTGACAGGCCAATCAGTTGGCCAAATTCGTTGGAAAAGTGAGTGCCAGTATTTATAAAGAAATTGTCTACTACCAACATTTTCCCAAGCCGATTATAAACAGGCTAAATGGGTTTTTCGAGGAAAAAGGCAGTAATGGCGGGGGTAACCAGACAGACACTTGTTTACAGTGTGAAAATTAGTTGTCTTTTAATTAGACCGAGATTAGCGGACAGACAGCTGGGCTCGAGCCCATCGAGAGATTCGATTAATGAGACTCCAAAATCCGACAAATTTGTTTATATTCAGATATGAGTGGAACTGTCTGCTCTCATACTCCTATGAGGAGGGTCTCCCTGGCAATATGATAATTATACAGTCAAACATGGTTAGTGTTAATATTTATAAGTTTATCATAAAAGGGATAATATTAGTAGATAATAATAAAAAAAAGAAGATTAAAAAAAAAAAGATTTTAAGATTATATATGTATGTATGTATATGACTAATTATATAAGTTAACATCTTCATTCTTGTATTGTTAACTTCTTTTATTCCTAAAGATGGAATCATAGAAGAAATATTATAAGTATAACTTTTTTAAATATACCCTAAAAAAATTTAAACCTATACAATATTATTTAATAAATCTAATAAGCTATCTTTACTGTATTGATATCGTGAGTAAACAGTTTGGCGTGGTCAGGTCTGGATTTGTTTTGGGTCTGGCCCGTGGCTGTGTACGTTAGAGCATGCTTTCGAAGCATGCTTTCAAAGCATGCCTTGGGGTAACCAGACTGCGTGATTCACTTTGGCAGTAAACCTTAATTATTGACACCCAGTCACACAAATTCTTAGCCACCTGTTTACTGAGACAACATGTTTTATTTCAGAAAAGTTATTTTGGGAAAAGAAAATAAAAGTGATCTAGTTGGAAATAAATACTATATTTATGAGCCATTTTATGTTATAAAGAAGCCTTCTAACCCTTTTCCAAACCACTCAGCTCCTTAATCTCCCTTCTGGTATCCCCATCCCTAGAATATTCCTAGACTTTCGCGTGTCACCCTCATGCTGTGACTATTTTTAGGCCCTCTAATCAATTCCGGTGCATGTAACAAATATTTGCGCCCCGAAATCGCATTTATGGTAAATAGTTGGAGGGGGGTTACTGCGAGGCTGGGATGTTCGCAGCAGGGTCCTTTTGGTCACCTCCTACAGGGACACGCTTATCGTCCTGTCAAAGGGATTTGGCGGCGAGGCCAGACGCAAGGACACAACCAGATTTGGCCTGTCATTGCTAATTAAAGGCACACTTGAGTCAAAGGGTGGGTCAATGAATGTCATATAGCAAGGAGGCAGTGGGTGGAATTCATAAATTTTCGGTTTGCGGATTTTGGATTTTATGGGCCTCGAAATGTTCATTTCGTTGGAGGAGTAAAGGCAATGCACGCACCGGCCACGATGGCAGTGCATGATATGAGAATGCATTGAATCACGAAAATCTGTGGAAATAAAGATAGATAGGTATTGCCTTTGTTCAACAACAAAAACCTGGCGACAATGTTTGAGGTTCCGCTAACCTGGGGGGACATTATAAAACTGCAGCTGCCGGAGAAGCAACAACTCAAATCGTCTCAGAAATCCATCAGGGATAGGTGTCGATCGATCCGCAGAGATACTAAGGTGAAAAAGTGATAATTAACCCAAAAGAGCGGGAGAGTCTTGGGAAGAGACTTCCCACAGAGTTAGATTTCTTATCACGAGGGTGATTGTGTCTCTCTATCTGGCAAACTATTGCCTTAAAAGCCAGTGACACTCTCGAGATCTCGCCCAGTTTCAACCGAGACTCTGAAACATCAGCACGTTGATAATAATAAGAAATAATAATCTTAAAACCAAATACGGAACTAATCTTATTTCAGTGAAAGGCCTCGTATTTGTATTGATTTTCCTTCTCGATCCAACAAGAAGTTATCAGGAAACTGTGAAAATGCCGGAACAGCATGTTGCACCTGTTATTGCCAACCTAGAGGATTTCGAGCGGAACCTACCAGGGTAAGTTTGGGATTACGAGTCCCCATGGAAAAGTATAACCTTGGCCTATGTCATGTAATGAGCAAACTACTGATAACGAATTAGCAAAATCTTTTAATCTCTCCGCTTACTTAACTCTCTTAAATAATTCGAGCGTGTTCCGGTTTTTTTTAGATTTTGTTTTTAAATATTAAAATTTAATTAACTAATTAATTCTACTTCCAGTTACTTGAACGGCAACTCTAAGCTAGCCGTTCTCTTGGATTACGATGGAACCTTAGCTCCCATTGCCGATAATCCCGCCAAGACCAAAATGCCCGTGGAACTCGAGGCGATTCTCCACAAGATTGCCCAGCATCCAGAGATCTTCCTGGCTGTTATCTCAGGACGTGGTCTCAAGGATGTGCAGAAACAAGTCAACATCGAAGGCATAACGTATGCCGGTAACCATGGCCTGGAAATCGAGTATCCAGATGGATCACGACATGACTACGAGCTTCCTGCTGAAATCAAAAGAAACTACACAAACATGGTCAAGGAGCTCAAGGATAAGGTGGAGAAGAATGGGGCTTGGGTGGAGGATAAGCGGGTATCGCTCACCTATCACTACAGGGACACCCCAGTGGAGCTGAAGGACGAACAGAAGAACTTGGCCTCGGAGATCTGCCGGAAGTATGGATTCCGACCCAACCAGGCTCATGAGGCCATTGAGGCCAAGCCTCCAGTGAACTGGAATAAGGGAGAGGCTGCTCTCTATATCCTGAAACAGAAATTCGGCGACAATTGGCCAGAGACTGTGAGTGTGGTGTTTGCCGGCGATGATACCACCGATGAAGATGCCATGAGGGTAAGTTATTCCAAAATCATAAAAAGAAATCTTTAATAAAATATATAATTTTCTTAATTAGGTCCTGCGTGGCTTGGGAAGATCCTTTAGAATAGCTGAAAATGAGAAAATCCAAACCTTTGCCGACTTTAGATTGCCCAAACAAGCTGTGATGACTGATCTACTGAAATGGATTGCCGAGGTTTATGTTTCCTAGACTTTATAGAATATTTCTAAAATAATTCATACACTTTTATGGTTTCTATTATTCTAATTATTAATTGTTTAAGATAAGCATCACAATTTAAAGGCCTAAAATAAAAATAAGCTTATGAAAAACGAGTCTGTTTACTTCTTAAATATCTCCTTTGATTTTAGTTCATGTTTTCTTAACATACTTATCTCTAAATCTAATTAATCTGATACAAAACTGTTCATTAATCTTTAAACACGAACATCAGCCATCGCTCTTCGTTTGAAGATCAAAAGAAAATAAATAAATCATTTGATGGAAATTTTTTTAATAGAGAACATGTCGATCGAGTGAAATGATTTTCCGCTGTTTTGAAACTAATCTTTAATCCGCAAATCCAAATAAAGGTCATTAAGGTAGATTTTCTTCAAGTATTTAAATTTCAAATGATGGGATTATTTAAAACAAAATCATCAGAAAAGTGTGTCAACTTCCAAAACACAAACGACCTCAAACAAAGGTGCATCCAAGACATCGTCACTATATAGACTATATACCCAGTTCACCAAAAACAAAAATATATATAGCCATGTACATCGCATATATGTGTCCGAAAATACATGTATAGATCCATTATAGAATGTGTTTTTTTTATGCGCATATGGCTCATAAATATTGTGGGAATTACTTAGCCAACGATCGGGGCCAGAGCTGCCACCTATTCTGCGGAGAGTCTCTGCCGAAGAGAGTCCGAAATTATATAGCAGATACATATACACCACAAGCGATCTTTGGCTGCTGAGGATGTCTGGCCATTAGTATTAAATCGGTCGAGGAACGTCCAGCACGGCGCGCATTATCCGGTAGATACACATTCGTCAGATACAGATACAAATTGCAGAAAATGGCTGAGCAGAAGAAGGCTCCATTGCTGAAGAAGGAGGAGGACTACGTGAAGGCCCTCGAGGGGTGAGTTTGCATTTTCCCGAGGATCTCCGATCCTGTGGCAGGATCTAAATGTGTCGCTGCTCCTTCAGCTTCATCAACCCCGAAACCGATCAGGTGGCCCTGCTGCTGGATTACGATGGTACTCTGGCCCCCCTGACCGAGGAGCTCTCGGTGATGCCCAAGGATACTGAAATCAACATCAAGAAACTGGCCGGCAACGACAAAATCTTCATGGTCGTCTTCTCCGGACGGGAGCTGGCTGAGATCAAGAACCACCTCAAGTTCCCCAATGTCACCTATGCCGGTAACCACGGTCTGGAGGTGGAGTATCCCTCCGGCAAGAAGTTCAAGATTGAGATGCCCGAGGAGCTGCTGGAGAAGCACAACAAACTGGTGGCTGAGCTCAAGGAGAAGGTGAGTCTTAGGGGAATAAATAAATTTTAAGGAACTATTTAACTATTTTTTTGTAAAGTTTAAACTAGAGTGGAAATAGGATAGGTAACAATATATATTTTATTAATATTAACAAGGCTGTGCATTATGTTTATTATAATTAGATACTATAACTATCTAGGTACGACATTACAGACCGATTATTGGCTATTATTTTATTCATAAAATAGGTTTAAAATTTGCTTTTTAATCCAATTGATTTTATTAGTATTAGTAGGACAAGTATTATACAAAAGATATGTACAATATATTAAATATTTCTTTGATTTCAAAATAGAATTCCTTTGCGAATTAATAAGAAAAGTATCTATTATACAAGCATTCCTTAGGGATATCGAAAATTATTTTCAAAAACAATTTCTTTAAGAATCTATAGCTTCCTCTTGCAATTATATCAAAGAAACTTAAACTATTTAAAAAAAATACTACTTGAAATTTCTTAATTTCGGAATTTCTTAAATTTTTGTTTAGGTCGTGTGCTCTGGTGCCTGGGTGGAGGACAAGAAGATCTCGGTCACCTACCACTACAAGGGTGTCACCGACAAACTGAAGACCAAGCTGATCGGCGAGGCCAAGGCTCTGATCCAGGCCCATGGATTCCAGCTGATCGAGACCCCCTACGCTCTGGAGGGCAAGCCCCGCGTCAACTGGGACAAAGGTTAGTGGAGGTCCAACCAAACAAATATATATTTATGAATTTATTAATATAGTCATCATCGTTTAACAATTTGCCAACTGTTGCCATCCGTTTTGAGAGCTGTCCCCATGGCATTCCTTTCAGCTTTCTTCACTTCGGCACCTGTTCGAAACAATTCGATTTTTGACTCGACGGTTCGATGATTTAATTATTGCCAAATTTTCTATATATTTTTCCGATGCCCGAACGGGCAACTGAACGTGGGCGTCTTTCGTCTAAGAAAACTATATATTCTTGAAAATTTTCACACATACACCGCAGAAAAGTTCACTTCACAAATATCAGACAAAATTAAAATCGTTCAGAAATATACTAGAATATATATGAGTCGGCGTAGATACATACATATATATAAAAAGTGTCTCGGTAGACAAAACATCCCGCAGCCAACTGATGTCAAAAGCGCGCCTAAAACTATATATATTCGCCGACAAATATATATAGACAAGTCACTCGCCCGATTCCTTATGATAAATTAACAATTCTGTGTAATTTTTCATCTACACAAGTTTTCGCTTTCGTTTTTAAAAATGTTTATCTCTTGTTTTTCGATGGCAGTCACATTATTTGTTGGAAAGTTTTCATTCCACATCAGAAAAACATAGTTTTTTCCCTGTGATATGGCGGAGGTGTTTTGTAATTTTAGAATTTCCAAAGATGAATGAAGTCAAACTGAAGCGAAACGAATTTAATTTGATGACGTTTTTCACTAACGATGCGAGGCTTCAAAGATATATATGATTTTTTACACACAGGCATATGATAGAATTAAAATTGAAAATATGGTAAAAGATGCGTAGAACCTAGATTTAGGCCTAATTAACAATTTTTATTAAAGAAATCCAAAGAGAAAAATATATAAAATATCTTTATTTCTTAAATGTTATTCATTTATATTAGCACTTCCCTTCAAACCGCAAAAAATTGGTCATAAATATTTCTGCATTTTCGAAATTCTCAAAAAAAAACTATATATTCTCAATTTCAAAATAATCTATATCCCCCTCCAGATGAGATTTATGAGAGCCACTTGTCGCCTCTGTCCTCTAGAAGTCATCCAACCCATTCCTTCCCATCATGAAATTGTCGTTCGGGCCAATGAGCCGTGCCGACAAAATACATGAAAATAAAATATCATACTATATATAAGGAAGAACATTTAAACAGATATACTCAAATACTCATGTATGAAATGCGTGAAAATCAAAAAAATTAATTATGATTACGAACGCCTCCAAAGGCAATAAATTCATAGGCAAGGCAGAAGCAAAATTATTGCAAAAAAAAAAAAAAATGGGAAAAATAACGACAAAATGATAAATTTTTGTGAAAAATTAAGAACCTGCAAAATAAGAGAGCAACAAATTGTTGGTGCCGTCTGAAAAAATGAAAACTGCAGTGGGAATTTAAGATAAAAAGGCGGTGTATAATCGGGGCTACCATATATTATATAGACTGCGTCACCAATTAAACAAAAATGTGGCGTTAATCCTCAAGAGCGGAAAACGCCAAACAACATAATTAAAATAATTTTCTATGTACTGATTTTAACTACGTGTACCGAATAGCCGCACTAAATGATTTTAATTTCATCTATTCAAACACTCATTTACTTTCAAGCAAAAAGCCAAAAACCGAAAAATCAAAAACTTAAAACCATAGACCGAATGCGAAACAAAAACTAGAGAAGATCCATCCACCCACGTAGACACCTAAAAATAATTCCCCTATGAGGGGATGGGAAAAATTTCGGTTCTGTTTCTACTATTTGGGAGGCTGCAGGCGTTTTTATATGATCTAATATGTGTGCCGAAAACAATTCTACATATTTGAAGAAAGAAACATGTTTGTTGTTGGCTTCTCTCGGTTGTTTATTGAGCGATTTTGGATGAGTTCCAGCAGTGCATATTTCATTGTATATCTATGGTATGGTTTCCATATTAAAAAATTAAAAAATGGAAAATTCTTTCGCCACAGGTTGCAATTTTTCCAGACAAGCGAAAATCTATGTTTGTAGAGAATTTGCCATTTTAAATTCAATTTATGTATCCTAAACAAATTATAAATAAAACCTATTTGTAGATAAGATTGGTGGGGTATTTCAAGCGAAAACAATATCTTTTCCATAAATTGATAATAAATGTCGTTATAATATATATTTGTTTCTCTAATAGGGAACCTAAATTTTACTATTCCATTAAAAATACATTACAAATATTTGTTTCATTCAAAAATCTATTTTTTAAATAGACCTTTTAATGGGTTGTAAACTTTATAAAATCATTTCCGACTCACATAAAGTTTATGTTATGTAATTTAGTAATAAAATATAAAATATTAAATATTTTTAAGGTTATTTTCTTTTTTGATACTAATTTCCCTCTTTTTTTAAATTATTTTCCAGGTGAGGGTGCCAAGATGATCCTGGAGAAGCAGTTCGATGCCGACTGGGCCAAGAACCTGAAGATCATCTATGTGGGCGATGACACCACCGACGAGGATGCCATCAAGGTACTGCACGGTATCGGCAAGACCTTCCGCGTCTCCGAGCTGCCCACCCTGAAGACCTATGCCAACTACCAGATCAAGACCGTTGAGGAGGTCGGCTGGCTCCTGAAAGCCGTGCAGGCCTACTACGAGAAGAAGAAGAAGGCTTAAGCGGATCGCCCCCTCCCCCCCCAAAAAAGGATATTAAGCTTAAGCTAAATTCCACGTACACTCACAAAAATACCACACACATACGCACATAATTACACAACATACATACAACACATACGCGGGAAAAGGACATGTCCCAAATGTCCTTGCTTGCCCCAACAAAAAAAAAATCTATTTTCTGTATCTTTGATTTTGCCAAATAAAAACATAAATACAACATTTTACATAATTTAAATTTGTTGCACATTCATTAAACTAACAGGGTTTTTAATGGTTTTGTTTCACAAAAATACATGGTTTTTTTCTGCTCGTCTAAAATCTTGCAAAAAATGCTTTACAATCCCACAATAGTTGGTTCTTAATAGTAACGATAGTAGACCTGTTAGGTCCTTAGACCCTTTGCTTATGTTTAAAGCCAAAAGAATGGTGTATGGATATTACAAAATGTACTGATGCTGAGAATGGTGAACAAAAGGTTCATATATCTTCTGAAGTTCATAATCTTTTGCTTAGAAACGGGAATTCTGCAAGTGGCTTTAATATAATATACAAAATGTTATTTCTTTCAGGAGTACTACAAAATGTGATTCCCTTTTTCTAGTCATTTTTTAACAAAAACCATAACAGGCGTGTTTCAGTTTCCAAAGCTATTGCTTCTGTAGGATAAATAGCCCCATTGACCCGTGTTGTATGCACCCTTTAGCTCTATCGCCGTTCGCCTTTAAGGCCACCACGTCCTCCGCCACCTCTACCGCCACGTGATCCCTGCTTCACCACCGTATTTGGCGTGATGGGTGCTGAAACTGGCGGTGCATTGGCAGGATTCTGAACAGGTGGGCCTCCGGGAACGGCAGGTAATATAGGAGGAGCGGCGCCGCCCTTTGCTGGTAAGCCAGGTGCACCACCAACAGCTGGCAAACCGGCTGGTGTTATAGGATTATTGCCCACCGGCTGCTGTTCCGGACGCTTTGGTTCGCTCATGTTCAGTCCCTCGTTGAAAATCATACAGAACTCGCCAATTTTGAAGACTTCTCCATTTTTGCCGGAATACAGAGTAAGGCAGTGCCTCCAAATAGAGGCGTATCCTTTGGTCAGTCTTATGATATCACCGGGCGTGATCAGTTTTCCCGGCTCGTCCCAAATGGAAACATTTATACTGGCAGTGGGGTCTCCCACCTTGAAATTTCGCACCTCGCGATTCTCTTTCGTCACGGTGGCTACGCCCACTTCCAGGACAATAAAGATAACATTGATATTCTTTAGGCCTGGCTTGATGTCCTTGATGGGAATGCAGTCCACGTTGTACATATCTATAGGGAAATATATGATTTTTGAAGCTGCGAAAATAATTTATTGTTTTGGCGTCGTCTGTTAGAGATGGGAGACTATGCTAGAGAACCTGTGGAACTGCAAACGATAGTTGCCGGCAAAACTGAAACACAATCGGAAATATTTAAATAAATATTTTAATTTTTTATATAATATCTTAACAAATTCCTTTTTTATCTATAAACTCTTAATTCAAACAAAATTGGAATGGTTTTCTATAATTTTCCAGTGTTGAATAATGCCCAACTATCCCTATGAAGCAACAATTTCCGGGTATTTACACCATGGCCCACATCTGGTCACACTTACCAAAACAAAACAACAAAAACCTTTTTGTGTACGAAAATTGATAAATTTTTTGTGCGCCCAAAACAAAAGAAATGCCCGTGGAATCCGGCAGTAGCAGCTCCGAATCCGGCAGCTCGTCCTCCAGCGGATCCAGCAGTTGTTCAGACACCGCCAGCAGCTCGGATACGGATTCCAGCAGTGCGACGCCGGAGGAGAAGCCCACCCAGAACTCCACCACCAAAACACAAACGCAATCGCACCAACAACAAACGAATTCCGGGAATGCGGCCAGGCGGAAGGCTCCTCCGTCCTCGACATCAGCCACCGAGGAGAAATCCAAGGAAAGTGAAGAAGCTCTTGCGCTCTGGAAAATATTGAAAAGCAGTCTATCCAGTTCTATGTTGGAACCCATCATTATTTATGTATACCCATTGTCAAGGATAATAATATGTTACATTTATTATAACCTACGAAGTGTTTCTTTTATCAGATTATCCAAAAATGTACGATTTGTTTTTGTTTTTCTATATTCCCCCATGTGGTTCCTTTAGTTTTTATTCATTTTTTATCGCCTATTCCAAACGGAAGTGATTAGACACATTCCAGATTGTTCCACGATAGATCTGTTATCAGTACTGTATGGAAATTTAATGCTTTCATCTGTTAGTATGAGTTTTATAGAATAATTAACTAATCAATGTATAACTACAGGTGGGATACTCACTAACCGACGATGATGATGAGGATGAACCATCGGCGCCGCCCGTCAAGAAGACCTCTCGCACGCTGGGCAGTTCCACGGTAACAGCAGCGGCTGCAGCTTCAGCCGCCAGAAGAAAACCTCCAGCCAACAAGGCCACTGGAAACCAGACAAACAAAGCCACTAATCCTCCACAGAGGACGGCGGGAAACACAAATCGAAATCATGCGAATGGTGAGGGAAAGAGACCCTCGCTGTCGTCCTCCTCGAACAGCACAGATGACTCGATGAAGATCGTGAAGAATGGTCGAAAAGTTCCCCTCAAAATGGCCAGCACTGTTAAACCCAAACAACCGGTTCGGGGCAAGCTGCCGCCGGCTAAGAAGAACGGAGGACCACCGGCGATCAGTAGTAGCTCCGGCTCAGAGAGTGGTTCCAACTCTGGGGATGAATCCAGTACGGTGAGTGACTCGGAGGGTACTGATTCCAGCAATTCGTACAGCTCACAGCCAGCAAAAGGAGCTGTTAAAGGTAAAAGTAATAATTTATTTAATTTTAAACTTAAATTATACGTTTTTTTAACCCATTAGGTAAAAAACCTGGACCATCGAAGCTCCAGAACACGGACAGTGAAGAGGAGCGCAAAGACAAAGCCAATCCCATGAGGAAACTGACCAGATCCCTCAGCATGCGGAGATCGAAGCAGCAACCCAAACTGGAATCGGATACTGATTCCGATGGCGACCTGGACGATGACAAGACACTAATCTCGAAAAGTCCCACAAAGAAACCCGCGCCCCCGAATCTAAACAGCACCAAAAGCAAGGTGAAAAAGGAATCTATTGGCATCAGTAGTGGCGTACTGAGCGTCATCAAGTCTCGACCCGTGTCGCCAATAACCCAAACGGAAAAGAAGTGTCCCATCGAGGGCTGTGACTCGTCCGGTCATTTGAGTGGCCATTTGGACAGACACTTCTTGCCGGAAGCATGTCCCATATACCACAACATGTCCGCCTCCGAGTGCAAGGAGAGGGCCAACGAACGGAAGCTGCGGAATGAGCAGCGTCTCAAGATGCCCGTCAACATAGTGACGGCTCCGGGAAACCAGCACGCCAATACGAAGACCCTCTCACCCGAGCAGCGGGAGTTCCTAAACAAAATACGCGAATCGAGAGCCAACTTTCGTCCAGCAAATAATAATTTCCTGGACTCGAAGGTGGGTGTTTCTAAAAATTTTATACATAATCCTGATTGTTACTATCTTCTGGCAGGTTAAGCTAGAAAAAGACTGCACGGATGAGGATCGTGAACCGAATCTTTCCGGCCTGGTGCCCGACTATGATCTGCAATTATTTAGGGAGGCCCAGGCCCAGGCTTCCGAAAGAATAGAGGACGAGCTGAAGGATCTCCCAGTAGGAAAGGGCATCAAGTATGAGACTTTTTGTGAATTTTAAGAATTTTCAACAAAACATTTTCTGTATTAATCCCACAGATACATCAGCATGGGCAAGTACAAGATGAAGGTGTGGTATCAATCGCCCTATCCGGACGACGCCGCCCGCTTACCCAAGATGTATATCTGCGAGTTTTGCCTGCGCTATCAGAAATCTGAGACGGGCATCAAGCGGCACGCCCAGAAGTGTGTTTGGCGGCATCCGCCAGGTGATGAAATCTATCGCAAGGGTAAACTGCAAGTGTGGCAGGTGGATGGCAAGCGTTACAAGCAATACTGTCAGCATCTTTGTCTCTTGGCCAAGTTCTTTCTGGACCACAAGACCCTGTACTATGATGTGGAACCGTTTCTCTTTTATATCATGACCCTGGCTGATGTGGATGGTTGTCATATTGTTGGTTACTTTAGCAAGGTGAGTGGAAGATAGTTTTAAGAAAATGTAGTTAGTTTTCAAGACTTAAAGGTATAACTTTAACTAGTAACCCAACCCTCTATTACCCTTTTAGATTCAAGATATTCCAGTTCCTTATTGCTTATAATTCGTGGACTTTTCATGGTTATGGGCCCAACATAAAATTGAATAATAACATTTTACAGTTTTATGATTCTTTTATGTCTGTAGACAGCCTGGTGAGGAGAAAGCTATGGCTCCCGGTCTCAGCCACAACCCATGTACGGTCCATACATATGTATATGGTTATATCCAGATCCAGACAGTGGCTCTGCCTTGACCATGCCCACCGAGTAAAAAAAAAAAATGAAAAGCCAGATGATTTTTCCTCTTTTTTTTTTTTTGTCAACGTTTTCGGGTAAATAAGCAACAGACATAGGACCAAAAGAGAGAGATGGAAAAACAAGCTACGGTTTCTTGACCTCCCCCTTGATGAATATACGGGTCCGGATACATTTACGGGTGCCCCCCATCTCCCATCTCCGCCCATTTGGCAGTTTTACTGCAGAATGCAGAAAGTTTGTTGGGCGCCGACAGAGACTGGGTTTGTGTTACAAATTGCGCATGTCGGGGCTGCTCCAGCTCCATGTAGCCATCTCCGCACCACCATCTGAGCCGCTCCTTTGTGGCACCTCCAAAACTTCTGGCGCAGCATCCCCAGTCAGTCGGAATTTCGGTGTTTCTACACATACTACAAGTTTTTGCATATATTACGTTTATGCCCAGACATTCATTCATCCCGACTGTTGTCAGAGTCCCCTAAATTGCATTTGTTTATACAGAAAAGATTTAAGGAATTTGGTAGTTTTTGAATATTTTAGGGATTTTAATTTTTAATAGATTATTTGATTTGTTTTTAATGGAAGAATATATAGAGGAATTTTAAAGAATAATGATTGAGTCTTAGGCTTTAAAAATTGGTTAGGATTTGAGAAAGGAGATAATTAGGAAAACTATATATAATTAGGATACTTATCTATAAAAACAATAAGATATTTTTAGGAAAATAGCATTCATATTTTTAAAAAAAATTTATATTCTTTTATAATTCTTTATTCTTATATTCTTCATAAATCCAAAACAACTGAATATTCCGTATATTTTATGGTATATTCTATATATGTATATATTTATTCAGATTTAATATCCTACTTATGTTTATTTAAATATCTTCATTTTATTCAGTTTCTGAGCTACAAAAGTAGCTTTTGTTTAAAATCAAAATTCGACATATAAGCAAACTATTAAATATTATTTATTTTAATTTTTTAGACATACAAATAAGTCATAAATATTTAATTTAGTTATCTGCCTTAATTTTCTTATAGAAGATCAGATTCTTCAAAATCCTATCCCTAAATCCTATTTGTAAAATTAGGCTTCGTGTAAACCCACCCAAGTCCCAACCCCCCCACTTCCGGCAGTGATAATTTTCGGCAATCCTTTGTCCCGCAGTTAACCTCCAGTACTCCGACTCCCCAGCACTGGGTCCCAGACAGCAGCCAGACATTGAGTCCTGGAGCAGGGAGGTGGATTCCCAGTCAACCAGCAGCATGGATGGCTGTCAGGACACTCTCGGATGCTGTGTGTGGATGGGGAGAGTTGGGGATTCAGTCGACACGATTGAGGTCGTGTACCTCTGGGCCGGGTCCGGGATTTGGCATCTGCGTCTGCGTCTGCGCCTGCTCCACAAAAAAGCGGTTGTGCCCGGGACAAAATACTGGGTGGATACTGAACCGGGACCGGGTGGTCGGGGGATCTGACTGGGGAACAGGGACTTCTCTGGCTATGTGGCTGCGTTCCCAGACATCAAGGCAGACAAAGGAAAAATGAACAAAAAAAAAAGGGGGGGAAACCATGAGACAAAAAAAAAAAGAACCTCAAAGTGAAAAACCCGCAGTGTACATAAATGTATTTCCGAATTGTAGCCAGATTTAAGGACCCACAGAAATTGGAGAATATAAGGGCGTGTTCCGGAAATGGTTGCATACTTTTAAGGATCAAGTCCTATATTTATTTTATATTTAAAGGAAATTACACAAATTATACCAAATTATTTAAATTATTTCAAATAATTGTAAAGATAATTGAAAGGGGGGAAAACTATCATAAATGATACCCTGAAATTGTATTTTTGGCAATGACCGTGGCTAGAAATAGGGGGCGTGGCAGTTATATCCATATACGAGTAACTGACTCTGACTTTTGTATACATATATATATATATCCCGATCCCCCAGCCAGTGGACCCCACTGCTGATGGCTATGTGCGTATGTTTATATTATTTACGCACAGTATCCTCTCTCTCTCTCTCTCTCTATCTTCCTCGATTATGACCATCTCTTTCGCCATTATATAGCCATCTCTATCGGAGTGTCTCTGGTGCTACCCAGTCTATCGATTCATTTCATTCTGCTGGTCATTGAACTGCCGAAAAAAGCCAAAAGCGACAGATGAATGTTGCCATCCAGCCCCATTCACTCCCACCAGACCACCCACCCAGTTTCCCCGCTTCCTTTGTCTGGAAAATGTCTGTCTGTCTGATCCCCCAGAACCCGGATTTTCCGTTTCTCCCCTTCCCCCTAAAATTATCCTCACACCACATCCGTCTGCCAATTGTTCTTAAGTATTTGTTATTGATTCAATTTTAATAATATTTAAGCTTAACCTTGTAATAATTGAATTTTTGGATAATAATCCAAGATTAAAATATGGTTTAATTTTTGTATCTTTTTTTGTCTTTGCAGCATATTCCATTTTTACAGGAAAAGAATTCTTTTTATAATGTTTCGTGTATTTTAACATTGCCGCCATATCAGAGGAAGGGATACGGGAGATTACTCATCGATTTTAGTAAGTTGGGTTTGTTTTTAATGTATAATTAATTCTATAAGCATTATGAAACACACAGAAACTTATAAAATAATTATACCTTTTTTTAGTATTGGAATAATAGCACAAACTGGGTTATTTTAGAGAAAGTTTCTTTACTATTTTCGAGTTTCAAGGGAAAGTTTCAAGGGAAACTTTTAGTGAAACATCCTTAGAATTAATCCAACCTTAGCCTTGAAAATATTTACCAGATACTATTTTCTTGATACTTGATACTTTATAAATATTAAAGAAAATATCTGCCCAATTTACTTTACAAGCCTTTATATATTAAAACCTTCTAGCAGGTATTTTTTCTATATTTTTCTATAAAATGTCTATAAAATTTTCTATAAAATTTCCAGAAACAGCCCAAATTCTTAATATTTTTGATAAGAGCTTTATATTTTGAAAAGCAAGAGGTTTAAAGTAAAGATACTTTATTCTGAAAACGGACTACTTTATATTCCTATACTTTATCTCGATTCTAAAATTTCAAAAGTTGCATTTTATAGATTAGAATCTTATAAAGACTTGAGAAAGACTATATAAGTATCTATAAAATATATATAAGTTTTTAAATGAGATTTTGTTTATTTATCCAACGGTTATATATGTATCTGTATCCTTACCTGGATATACTACTAGAGAAAGACCATAAAAGTATCTTTAAAATATATATATATTCATTTTAAAAGTAGATTTCATATATTTTGTCAAGGGATATGTATCTATGTATATCTTACCTGGCAACAATTTTTAAATAATTCTTAAACTATATAACCCAATTTCTTTGATTATATCAATGATTAAACCCTGATCCTTCATCTTAAAATATTTGAAACTCTTTGGGGAATCTTTCAATTCTTTTTATTTAATTTCTTCAGAATTCCCAGTCTTCAATTCTTCAATAAAACCCAGAATAAAAATCTCCTGTGGGGTCTCTGTTTTTTACCAAATATATAAAAAAAAACCGCAAAAAATATATAAATTGGATGATAAGTTTGAAATTCCAATGAAATTGAGCTTAAATGGGGCCTGTTAGTAATAGTATATTGGCTTCTAAATAATGAGCCACTAAAATTTCATCCTTTATTGATTCTTCCTCTGCTTCTTCCCGGAGTCTTCTGAGTCACAGAAGGTGTGTGTTTGTGTGTGTGTGTGTGTATTGGTGTATGGTGCATCGTGCAGGTGTATGAGAAGTATAATCATCGTTGCATGAGAAAAGCCAAACATGCCAGAGACTGTGGCTCAGCTTTCCAATTGCACTACTCCCCCCGCCCCACTTTCCCCTTGCCATCGAGTCTATTTCTTCCTCTTGCTCAGGTGCAGAACATGCAATTTCTGCATCAATTAAACGTAGACCCAGCCCACACACACACACACACACACACACACATACAGTCAGGTGCAATTCAAAGATCGCATAAGTAATTTTTAGCTGCTGCAATGAAAATTGTTTAAAATTAATCCAGGCGAAAAGACAACAGACAACAATAAAATACAGACAACCCAAAAAAAAAATACATATAAAAAAAATATAAGAAAAAAAACAGAGAAGAATTACCCTGCAGCAGACTGGTGAGAAGAGTGGGCTGGGATGGGGCGGCGAAAGACACAGAGAGCCACACTTGAGTCTTGAGTCATACATCGCCTGGCTTGAATGGCGTCAAAGCCAGCAGCGAAGCCGGCAGAGGCGGCGGCGGATGGTTTCTATGTAAAGTCAATACATGCAATGCGGGTGGACGCGGGGGGGTTGGGTGGCGATGGGGGCCAGCAGGCAGGTAATGAACGAACAAGCGAGAGAGCGAGCGAAACGACATTGACCTTACACACACACACACACACACGCACGCATAGACACTTACATGTAAAAGCTGCCGGCCGGCAAAAAAAGAGTGTGATGGTCAAACAAAGAGCCAGAGAGAGAGAGAGAACAGCTGGATAGACGGCAAAGAGGTGAACATAAATTTAATAATATATATCATCCAATATATCAAGATCTTACAATTATATTAATTTAAATTTTAGCTTGATTGGGTTTTGATCTTAATTATAACCTCTGATATAAAAAGAATTTTTAGACCCAAAGTCTTCAAACAAAAAAGAATATTTCTTAAAATATATGTACTTCCTTTAACTTTCTCTCAGTGTAGAATAGAGTGAGCCAGCGTGCAAATCATTTTCGTCATCATTAACTGGAATTGGTTATTTTGCACATGGCAGGTGGCTAAAACACTTCCAGACAGTCGGCGGGGGTTAACTTAACCCACCGATATCGCCCCAAAAAACCAGCCAAACCTTGACTCACTCCCCTTTTAAACATACATATGTGTATGTGTAAGAACAGGACGGCCATATATATCGTTTATGTCCAGGTGTAATAACTGCAACACGCAAAATGCAAATGAGCGAAACAAAAATTTTAAAGGGGTGCACACAAGGGTTGCCACCTACTGCATTAATTAACGAAACTTTCGGGCAAAACTTTTACAAACGAAAAAAAAGAGCGAACATGTTGCAACGTGCCGCTTAAAGTTTTTCTTTTATCTTGTTCGACTTGTGGGTACATCAAAACCCCCAAAAATTTCAAAATACAGTCAAACATAGCTAAAGAGGTTTTAAAAATTTCAAAAATTAAATCCCTAAGATCAAAAATTTTCTTCCTAATCATCTTTAAATTTTTGTAGCCTACTTTTTGACTTCAAAAAAGGCGATACGTTTTGAAATCACAGCTGATCATGTTTGAAACCTCGCTCTTTTTTTCGGTATTTTGACGTTAGACTGTAGCTGAAATTTCCCAGACACAACAACACCAGAATCTGAAACAGCAACAAAAACAAGAACAAGAACAACTGTTGGCGGCAGACAACAAAGGTCAGGACAGGTCACAATGAAAGGGCGTCGTCCTCTTTGGCGAGCACAAAAGAGCGAGTTACGGTTAGACGACTCTCTCCCCATTGCGCTTTCTCTCCTCTCCCGCTGCACACAACCTCATAGCTTTTCACACTCTAGTCTCTCTGGCTAGAAGAAAAAAAATAAAAAAAATAGAAATAATAATTAGAGCCTTGCTAATTTGAGTTAAAGTTGGCATAGGCTCCCCTCCTCCTCCTCCCACCCCCCTGCCTCATTCGCACATTTGTCGTGGATTTTCATTCTTTAACTCATTACTGTTCCGTTCGCAGCGCCTGTGGCTATGCAACAAAAATGTTGCTGCGTCAGCGTATGCGAGTGCGAATCAAAATGGATCGATAAAGTCGTCTCGACGTATCCACTCATCCTCCTCCAGTTAGCCCGGCTCATGCCGGCTACCCCTGCTCGTTCCTCCTCCGTTCGCGTCTCGTGGATTTATCGCGGCGAAGGCGTGGCTGGGGGAGAGACGAGGCGAAGTGCGGCACAAAGAAAATCAAAGTGCCACCCGAATGCGCCCTCTTGCGGCCAGAAGTCGCAGATTAAGTAGGATGGGGGATCCCCACGAAATGCATAAGGCACAGTGGGCACAATAGAACCAAAAATGAATTAAATTTAATATTAAAAAAAAATATCTGGTATCTGATAATTTTAGTAATAAGTGCCGAAAATATGTATGATGATTTTGGTAATGAAGTCTTTCGTCACTAAAATTAATCTTTGTGGAGATATATTATATATATGTATATCTTAAATCTTAATAGAATCATATATCAATTTTCTGACCATTGTTGCAGCTTTTACTGCCGCCGCTGCAGCCAACGTCGCTGCCTGTGTGCGTTCAACCCTCCGCTCGGCCAGTCAGCCGGATTCTTCTCCCCGCCAGTCTTCCAGCTTTTTCCAACCCACCACAGTCGCTCTCCTTGAGCCTCCTCAGCTGTGTCTGCCGTCTGCAGTCGGCCGTTGAGTGTGTCCTGTTCTGCTCTTCGCAGCTCCTCGGCCTGCTCCTCTAGCTTGGTCCTCTTCTCTTCTCCAGTTCTCAGAACGGTTTTTTTCCCGAGCCTGCCTCAGTGGATTTTGTGTTGTGTCCTCGTCCTCGCTCTCGTCCTCGTCAACTTTACTTAGCTGCACTTATTGTTGCTGTTGTAGCTCCTTTTCCTTTGCCTTCCCTACCCCCCTTTCTTCTTTCTTGTTTTGTTGTTGTTGTTATCTAGAGACTGGAATTGTTGCTGCCAGACGGCTCTAGAATCCAGAATATCAGCTTTTTTGGGGTGGGTCCTTTGGGGTGACACTAGCGTTGGGTTGAATGTACGCCAGAACGTTGTTTAAATGCGAATCCTGTCTAGACACAACACTCACACACACTTGGGCGAGCACTCACGCATACACACACACACTAGCACACACACAAAGCAACCGGAGGGCGGACCCAAAGTTGGTCACCATAAATAATACGCCGGAACTCAAGGAACTCAACTTGCCACTATCTGTAGCATACTTCTTGGGGTCCCTTTTAAATAGAGACTCGAGGATGGGTGAAGAAAGGTTCAATATCGTATTATATCTTTTATAATTAGTATAATATTTTAAAGTTTATTAAATTAATGATAAATTTTATTTATTTCCAGGCTATTTACTGACACGCGTGGAGGGTAAAATCGGATCTCCGGAGAAGCCCTTGTCCGATCTGGGTCTCATCTCGTACCGCTCCTACTGGAAGGATGTTCTTCTGGACTATCTGTGCAATCGATCGGGAAACTCTCTCTGCATCAAGGACGTTTCACAAGTATGCTTAAGATATAATTCTTAATATTTTAAAGTTTTAATAATACATATATTTTTTAGGAAATGGCAATATACTCTTACGACATAGTCAGCACTCTCCAGGCCCTTGGAATGATGAAATATTGGAAGGGAAAGCACATAGTCCTCAAGAAGCAGGTAAGTTTCTGAAAATAATGATATTAATTCTTACTAAAGATATATTTCTATATCGTAGGATGTCCTAGACGAGTATGAGGAACGGGTGAAGCGAAGAGGAACCTTCCCCAAGATCGACGATTCATGCCTAAGATGGCAGCCATTTATCCCTGTCCAACCAACAGCATCACCATAGCACCTTGGTTGGAAGCATGCCCGGGCATGCTTTGCGGATGCCGATGACGAGTCCTTGGATAAAAAGTCCTGATTTTAGAATTTTTTAGCCTTAGTCCTATTGCAATGTTGGTGTAGCGATTTTACATTATTTTTATTACAAACCATATTTATATCTACACCTTAGACCTTAGATAATATTCGAAACAGCAATACTTTACTTCAACTACACCAAGCTCCACAACTGGAATGGGAATGATGTCTGTGTGGGTGGGAACTCTATGCCAATATTTTTTTATTGTTCTATTTTATATCGTAAGCCCAAAGTATTTGTAAATGAATGTCTGTACTTGTTAGTAATTCTATTAGCAATAACTAGTAACCTAGGTCCTTAGTAAAATTGATTATAATATACTCGGATTACGATCAAAGTGCTTTGCTTTTGGACTGGATGCTTTCGTCATCTGGGCATATGAATCATGGCGTTGCTGGGCCAGAGGGAAGAGAGGTGAGTAGAGGCGCAAAAAGTGCACACATACGGTGAGGAGGGGGAGGGACGGAGAGACGGGCGCATTGACATTGTCGCTTTGCCTGGAGAGACAGGTAGACGGTCGGGTGGGGCTGGAGGGGGGTAATGTGGACTCCAGACAGGATGCACAGGGGCGGGGGTTGGCCAAAAAAACATACACATGCATTGGAGCAGAGCGAGCGAGAGAACAGCAGTCCACGGCAAGCAAGACGGAGAGAAAGCTTGGTGAAAAGAGAACACAGTGGATAAAATCAAGAAAAATTCAATGAAAATTATTTATTAAAATTTCCTTTGTTAAATATTAATTGTTCAGGTTTTTTAGATTTAGATATGCAGATATAAAAAAATATCTAAATTAATGATTTTGATGTTTCATATTTTTTATAAAATCTAGAAAAGCTCTCTAAGCTCCAGACAAAATAAAATAGTAAATAAAAAAACTTGTATATACATAAATGGAATACTATTTACCTTTACGTTTAGGCCTTAACGTTTCATCCTCTAAAGTTAATATTTATTATTTTTTATAATCTTTATTTTATAGCTGATAAGTACCGGAAATATCTCATAGGGGGTTGTGGGGTTTAGTGTTTATATTACGAAAAAATCAACAAACGTATCCCACTGTTCGAAGCTTTTTGTTGCAGTCTGTCTGCTGGTGGTGCAGTTTATAACAAAGGAACCCGAACGAGAACTGGCAAATGTATATACAGTGAAGCCTCTTAAAAATAATTTAAATTAAGTAGAAAGTTAAATATTTTTTTATTTGAAAACAGTAACTATAAAAATTAAAGCTAAATTATATAAGAAAATATTTTGAATTCAAACATTTAAAAATACCTTTAAATGTAAAAGATAATATATTTTTCATTCCATATGATAGACACCCAGAAATCGAATAATTGGAATGACTACTGTACCCACACATGCACTCTACTCTCTATTTGCATGTGTGTGTGTGAGTGCATATGCATGTTGGTGAGGAAGAGGAAGCAGGAAGCAGAGGTAGTAGCAGCAGCAGCAGCAGCAAATAGCCCCTCTGAACGTCGGCGCCACTGTGCGAGAGAAACGGCAACACACAGAGACGAAAGGGGAGATTTCGCAGCCGACGCCGACGTTGGCAGAGACGTCTGCGAATAAAATTCGCGCTTTTGGCTCTTGATTTGGCACAGACATTGAGCATTTGATCGCCAACTGCCGGCAAACGCGGTCCGGTTTCGCTCTCTCTAATTCTCCACCATAGTCGCCAAAGTGTTCCTCTTTTTCTTAGCATTTTTGCCTTCGCCTTCACCGACTTTGGTTTATCTCTGTCGGTGGAAAATCGGGGCCCATAGCCCCATAGCCATAGCACATAGCCGCCATACAAAATATAAAGCCAGACAGTTTCTGGGCTGTCGCACAGTTCATTTTGCACCAAATGGGAGACAACAACGAGACGAAGAGAGCCAATAAAAAAAAAAAAAAAAAATGGTTAAAGAAATTCACAAATTAAACTTTACTCGCGCGAGTGAGTGTCCGTGTGAGTGCGTCAAGGTGTGAGCGCGTGTGTGTCTTCCAACAAAAGCCAACAAATGCAACGGAAGTTGTCAAGCCATAATCCAAGAAAAAGTTCAAAAACGGAACTACCAAACATATTGTGAAATTCGAGCGAGAAAGAGAGAAATGGAGGTGGCGACAAAATCCAACGTGCTTTCTGGAACTTCTGGGTTTTTATATTTTCTACCAAAAAGGAATTAAAGCACTGAAAAGAAACGAAGAAGAAGAATAAGAAGGAAAAAAAAAACGACAATCGAACGAAGAAGAGTAGGTTCTGGTTATTTTTAGAATTTTGATATCACAAGGCAGCAGCAGCAGCACTCTAGGCAGCTTTTTTTTCGCTACACTACAAGAAAAAGTGACGCAAATGTATGGCCGAGTGTCTGTGTGTGTGGTGGTAACCACATGATTCTACATATTTCCATATAACCCACACAAAGACAGGCGGAACTTTTTGTCGCTCAAATATTAATTTTAGACAGTATGTAGGTTTTTTTTTTTTTTACCCCCAGACAAAGCTCACATGCTCGCCACAAAGTTTTTCTCGCTGTGTGCGTGTGTGTGCCGAGCGATCAAACCGAAAAGTTAGGCTCAGGGTTAAGGGCACCACAAGAAAAAAAAATCAGCGGCTTGATCAGAAAAAAAAAAAAAAGCATGTGCTGCACTTTTGCAACGGAGAGCGAAGACACCCCTCACACACATGCATGTAAGCCGTCTGCAATTTGAGGTTAGGAATGCCCCACCCAAGCAATGGCTGCTCATTTATGTACTGAAAAAAATACATATGGTTCGTACACACACATATATATATATACGTATATATATATATATCGAAGCAAATTCGCAATTATTCACAGTCCATAGCTGTTGGCGATCGTTGGCTGTTTTATGAGGCAAAAGAAAACCCGAAAACCAGCTAAAAAGATAGTTAAAAAATACTTTGCAAAAATTTTAATACACCCAGAGCCAGTCAGCCAGCCAGAGACAAAAGAGAATTTGCAAATGTGGTAGAGGCACGTGTGTGTCTCAGCTGTGTGTGTGTGTTTCTTAGTTGAATGTATTTGTGAGCGATCACGCACGTAGCTTCGGTTAGTAACAGGGCAGAGAGGCGAGAGAGCTCTCTAAAGAGAGAGAGAGCTTAAAACGCCGGTTCTTTTTTTTTTTTTTTGACGCTCTCGCCGTTTTCTACTGTGCTTCTTGTCTTCTTTTTCTTTTTTTTGTCTGTCTTTTTTGCAGCTTTCATTTCCTCTGCTTGTTTCTTTACAGCGTTTCAAATTTAGAATATCAAGGGTCTGGCCAGGAAAGCAACCAAATAAATGTACTCGAATTTTTTGCACAGAATTCTGAATGAAATGTAATAACTTGCCGCCTGATGACGTCACTACGAAAGGCCACCACACCAGACGTCGGCTATGTGGTCATTAGCACTCCCCAGTGTTCCCAGTTTTTCAGTTCTCTTCTCGCTGCTAGTGCCTCGCTCTTCATATGACTAATTTTGGCATTGTTATTGCATAAAATTGACTGACGGAGGAGAAAAAGAAAAAAAAAAAATATATGTGTGGCGCGTCGCATGAAGTCATCGAGACAACTACAATGGCAACTACACATAACCCGCAGAGATCGTTAACCTTAAAGCTGGGACATTAATACAAGGCACAAGGTCGTTTCGTTTCCCTCGCTCTGGCCATCCCTAGGGGGCAGTCAGTCAGTGGCTGAGGAGGCGTCCGCCATTTGCTGCACTTTTGGTTGCCAGGCGCGCCGAACATCTGTCTCTTCAACTTAAAAGCCCACCAAACAAAAAAAAAGCAACAAAAATGAGGGAAAAACCTGAACTGGGCTTGGCTTTTTATATCTACATCTTCAACTTCAACTCCAGCTATACTCCCATGTACTCCAAAGTCTCCTACCTTGCGCGCTAATCAGTGACCGGGGCTGGTTTTTGCAACAGTCAGGTACCTGAAGTAGCGCGCGTGGTGGCAGACATATATCCGCCATATCCGACATACATGCAAAGTATATAATGCAAATCCTTCAGAAAAATCCCACTTGAATATGTATATTTTTTGAAAAAATGTCTCCCATGTCTATTGTACTTCATCAGGTGCTCTGGTGTCTATCGTAACCCGGCACATGTTGAAGTACACTCAATATGAGGCGAATGTCAATCGAAAAGTTCTTGAAATCGTAGCTAATAGTGTTTTAACTCATGAATGTAATATTGTAAACGATGTTTTAATAATAAAATACATATAAAATTGAAATTTGATTGAATATAATAAAAGATTGAATTTTTTGGGTCTGGGAGCTTTAGATTTTGTTAAAAGTTTTAAATTAATATTGATATTTTTCTATACTCCTTCATAATTTTCCATTTAATGGGCGTTATCATAAATTATTTCATTCAAAAAATTCATTATTCAAAGCTTTCTTTTGTGTTTTCAAATTATTCAAAGAACTTATCACATTATTAGGTCATGAACTTCAAAAAAAATAAGTCATTATTCATAAAAAAAAGTCCACCACAATATTCTCATAATATACTTCATGGTCTAACCACCTGATCGGATTTCTAAACAGGTTGCGTTTAAAAATACATTTTATGTCTGGAATAAATATAAACAAATCGTTTATCAATGACTCAATGTCATTTGAAGTTCTGCCAGTTTAGATTTCAAAGAGAAATGTCAAAAAAAGCTTAAAAAGTGGTCATCTATTTTTTCCCATCAAAACCACTTCATAAAATAGCTTAATAAAATTAAAAATTAAATTTTAAATATTTTTCATTTGTTCTAAGCTTTTAAAACTAGTGGAAATAATACATTATACCATCATTTCTATACGATACCTATCGCAAGCTTTCTCTGTGCAGAAGTGTGGCCAACGCAAAGCTCATGGATATTTTAATAAACATTGATTCATTGATTTTTAAAGCAAAATTAGTTTGAAAAGTAAAGTTTTATAAATTTGTAGTTTTAGCCAATATAGCCGCATGTATAGAAGCTTTTTTAGCCATCCGTGGTATGTCCTGGTATTTTCTTTTAATACCCCCGTGCTGCGGTATTTTTTGGCGTTCCGGCTGCGTTCACACTGACCTACTGGTAAGGTCGGCATAACATTTATTTTATAAATTTTTCGACTTTGCCATTTGCCACTAGATCTATTGTCAAAATTCCAACTGAACGTACCGCCGACGCCACCGACGCCAATCTGCAGGATATCAAGACCAACGGGGATAGAGTTTCACTAAAGGACATAGCCGAATAACAAGATGCTGCGATCTCTGGCGAATACACGAAACGAAATTGGAGCTTTGCGCTCAGTGCTCCTGCGATCGAATACCGTTAGCTCCGGCCGACGATCCGGCGCTAGTTTGGGCGTCCGTGCCCTCAGCTGCCAGCTAAACAATTCCCGGAATCTCCATAGTATCAGGTAAAAATCCTCCTCCCCCAATTCGTTGAGGTTAGAAATGGTTGTGTAATATTGCAAAATGCGTACACTGCAGCGGAATTACTAGATGCCCCCCAAAGGAGGTCGGCTGAAAGGGGGGGGCTATGATTGACAGTGTCCCGTGTCCCAGTACTTAGCATCAATCAGTATGTTTTCCGTATTAGTCGTATGTATATACACATATGTATGCATGCGTTGTGCGTGGCTAGTTGCTGATTTGTTTTATGGCCAAGGTCGAACACACGCTCCTATATATCGCATGATGCGTGATAGCGCCGTCGTGCTGATAACCTGGAAAATTTTTGTCTAGGCTAATTGGTCACCTTTTTTGGGACATTGTTTACATCCAATGCGTGTGTGATTGAAAGGTGTAGTGACGTGTACGTGTGTGCGTGCGTAAACAACAACAAACCAACAGCTGATTGAGCGGCCATAAATTATTAAAAGTTAATCAAACTAACTAAAACTAGTAGTTGGAAACTAGAAATTAATAGTTATATTATTTTTAGTAGGAGGATTGCCCTTCTCCCAACTACCCAACAGTTTTCAGAACATTATTTTCTTATTTTTAGGTGTAATCTAACCACTAGCCCGCCAAAGCCCCTGACAGCATGGAGCTACAACTTTGCCCGCGCTTACTCCAGCCTGCCAGAGCACATGAGGGTACCACTGCCCGCCCTTTCCCCCACCATGGAGCGCGGTTCGATTGTTAGCTGGGAGAAGAAGGAGGGTGACAAGCTCAACGAAGGTGATAGAATACTTTTCCCTTAAAAAAATACCAACTAATTCCAAGTACATCTCATTTTAGGTGATTTGCTGTGCGAGATTGAGACGGATAAGGCAACCATGGGCTTTGAGACACCGGAAGAGGGTTACCTGGCTAAGATTCTCATCCCTGGTGGCACCAAGGACGTCCCCGTTGGCAAGCTCCTGTGCATCATCGTACCCGATCAGGGCAGCGTAGCAGCTTTCAAAGACTTTAAGGATGATGGACCAGCACCTGCTGCCGCTGCCCCACCACCACCTGCTCCAGCAGCAGCTGCACCTGCACCAGTAGCTGCAGCTCCCGCTCCAGCAGCCGCGCCAGCACCCGCCGCACCAGCACCCGCTCCAGCCGCTGCCCCAGCGGGAGCAGGTACGGGCCGCGTGTATGCCAGTCCGATGGCCAAGAAACTAGCCGAGGCACAACAGCTGCGTTTACAAGGTTGTTCAATCCCAACTAATGCCAATCTCAGTTCTCCATCCCAACTATTTACATTCCATTTCGATGCACCGCATGATCCGCTTGACTAAAATTCATTGCAAATCACCTTCTGGGATGGGAATTATTCACGTTCCTTCCCGTCACCAAACCCACTCTATATTGCACTTTCCTTTGTCGCCCCTTGTCCAATTGTTCTGTTACTAATCCGCGGCTTTTGTGTGCAGGCAAGGGCAGTGGAGTCCATGGCTCAATTAAATCTGGTGATCTTGCAGCCCAGAAACCGGCGGCCGCTGCTGCAGCCCCATCTGCTGCTCCAGCCAGGGCCCCAGCCGGAGCTCGCTATCAGGACATCCCGGTGACCAACATGAGGGCAATCATCGCCAAGCGCTTGTTGGAGTCCAAGACAGAACTGCCTCACTACTATGTCACCGTGCAATGTCAAGTGGATAAGGTAAATGATCTCAAAATTCTTCCAATAACAAACTATAACTAATATTTTTAAAATCCAGTTGTTGAAGTTCCGGGCTCTGGTCAACAAGAAATACGAGAAGAAGGGTGTTCGTGTATCCGTGAACGACTTCATCATTAAGGCCACTGCCATCGCCAGTCTTAAGGTGCCCGAGGCCAACTCCGCTTGGATGGGCCAAGTGATCCGACAGTACGATGACGTCGATGTGTCGGTGGCTGTTTCTACGGACAAGGGTCTCATCACACCGATCATCTTTAATGCGGATCGCAAGGGTGTCATTGAGATCTCCAAGGATGTCAAGGAGCTGGCAGGCAAGGCCCGTGATAACAAACTGAAGCCACAAGAGTTCCAGGGCGGCACCATCTCTGTGTCCAATCTGGGAATGTTCGGTGAGATATTCTTTAAAGGAATAATGGATTTTGTAGATCTTTAACCTCATTTTATATAAATTATAGGTGTTAATCAGTTCTGTGCCGTAATTAATCCCCCGCAGTCGTGCATCCTGGCCATTGGTACCACAACGAAACAGTTGGTAGCCGATCCCGACAGTCTCAAGGGGTAAATGATATCCTAGTTTTATACCTTCCAGTACTAATCATCTATCTATCCTTTATAGCTTCAAGGAGGTTAATGTATTGACCGTCACCCTGAGTGCTGATCATCGGGTTGTAGACGGCGCCGTGGCTGCCAGGTGGCTGCAACACTTCCGCGACTACATGGAGGATCCAGCTTCCATGATATTGTAAGCACCCGGCACGAAACAAACATTAGTAAGGGACTCCAACGAAAGATGAACATTAGATGCTGCCCTCGTTAGGCGGGGGATTTTTCGGTCGACATTAACTAGATGGACGTGTGGATTCTAATCGGTGTTATAATATATATATACGTTAATAATGTGAATTTTTAATATTGGTTTGGCCATCCATCCTCATTGCAATATTGGCAGTCTCCAATTTTAGCACTTGCATAAAACTGATATATATTTATAAAAAAATAAATTGTGTAAAATTCGATGTAGTTTAATGCTGCCATGATTGTAGTACACTCAAAAAACAAAACTAGCATGATATTCAAATTACTCACAAAGCTGTAAATTTCTGAAAAAAAGCATACACAATTATGATAATAAGACGTATGTATGTTTCGATCGAATATGTTGAACATGATCGACTAAAAAGACGAAAGTAACTAGTTGAAAGTCCAAAGACGCGTTGAATAAACCCCAAAACACACTCACATGTACTAGCCAATTCATAAAAGAACTGTCTTTTATTTATTTAAGTGTATACTTCCTTTTTGGGATCACTGGAAGTACTTTAGACTTGAGGATTACTTGTTGAAATGGAGGAGTTTTTAAAGTGGTTGGGTTACAAGTGGAAAATACTCATACGACACGTGGTACGGAATAAAATATTTATTTTATAGAACTGTTAATGTATGAGACTTTATATTTAAAAGTAATAAAATAATAGTAATGCTTAGATTACTAGTCTATAGATCAGCGATTAAAGTTCTTGCTATCGATGTCAAAAAATTACGTATACGCCTTGTTGCCAGAAACATTATCACTAAATTATGCAAATTTTGGTATTTTTTGTAAAATGTATTTTCTGAAATAGAGTTTCTCTCATCATTAGCTATTAATAGCACTTTTCACCTTTGGTTTATAGTATTATGTAACTAGTTTATTGCCAAAAAGGTTACGAACTAAGCAAACACAAGTCGCAAGTATTTACAAAAAAAGTTAAACTAATGTCAGTTGGAGGTGGATGGGGTTAGGATGGGCAATCACCACTGGGCGGGACCCAGCTGGCTCCATTCGGCCACGTAGCCAGCCTGCTTCTCCAGGGCGTTGATCCACTCCTCGCCACCGTAATCGATGAGGGGCAAAGCGCCCTTGTAGTTGGCGGGCAGGACGGCGGGGTCGAGGAATTTGTGCAGTGACTTCATGTCGCTGCCATGGAAGTGCATCTAAAAGGAAGACAAATAATTAATATATTTATAAATTAAACTATTTTTTGTAGTAAAACTTACCCTCTTGTTAAGCTTCTCCTTGACGAAGGGCTTGAAGAGCGACCAAACCATGTTGAAAATGAAAGGTTGCTTCACAAAGTGAACCTCCTTCATGCGCAGCGGCATGGCCTCCTGGATGAAGGTGAGCAGTCGCTTGGAGAAGCTCGGCGACAGGGCCTTGACCTGTTTCATCGCCAGACCATCAAAGTCCATGATGCAGACCACACCACGCACCTGGGTCTCCTCCTCCAGCTGGGCGGCAATGTGGACCATGTAGAGCATGCGGAACATATCGTCGCTGGTGACCTCGCTGGGGTCCCACAGCTTTCCACAGTTGACGATCAGGACACGACGTCCCTTCTGATCGCAGTTCTTCAGGACATTGATGACACTGCCCTTCACGAACTTCTCCCTGACCTGCTCCACCAGCAGACCTCGGACCAGAGAGGCATACTCCTTACGGAAGGCAGCGGTGGTCTTCATCTGGAAATTAAATTTCAAGGAAAATTATTAGATGGATAATCGAGTAATTTAAAGGAAATATTTATTAACCCATGACACATACTCCCTGGGGAAGTTTGGTAGTCGTGACATAAGATTATTAGCCCGATAAGGTTTCGACCATTGGCCAAGACAATAAAGTGGTCATAAAAACTATGCGGCTTCCTATGATGATAAATTATAAAATGGCAAAGGTTCGATTTATAATCTAATTCTACCACGTCATCTTGGCAGTTTCTCCACAAAAGGGAGGGGGGGCATGGTATGGTATTACTAAATATATGTACAGGCTATATTAATACATAAGTATTATTCAGGCGAATCCGATCGGATCGAAATCAGGTCCGCTTATCGCCAGTTTCTCTGCCTGGTCAGCGGGTTCAAAAGCAAAAGTTATCAGCGCCAGGGAATTGAAAACGGTCTTGTTTTTTCATAGCTGATCGTATGTTCTCTGGTTTATAATATCCCATATATCAGCTTACCTAGACCAAATATGAGGTGGCATTTTTGTTCCTTCTCAACTTTACTTATAATAAATTTAAGTTTATTATGTTTTTAACGACTTTTTAGTGTTTGTTATATGAATACTAAAGATTTAATAGCTCTAATAAATATTAACATTAAAAAAACCCTTAGTACTCTTAGAGTAATCTATATCTGATCCCCTCCAAAAAAACATATTTTCTCTATACTATTAATACTTATAGATCAGTCCCATGGTTGAACTTAGGTTAAAGACCCCATTTTTTGAAATTGTTCTAATGTCCGATGTTTGCTGATAGTAAGCTGGACGAGACAGTGTTCCTAAACATTTGATTATCTCTCGAGTTGTGAACAAAAATATGGATTCACTTGCCGGCGTTGATAAGCCAAGTCACTGGGTCTTGTTTCTAAGGCGTTCGGTCATTCGAAATGCTCCAATGAATTCCAATAGTCTTAGAAATGCAGTATTGTGAGGCATAAATGGAACAGAATTGTGATAATTCTGGGGAATAATTTTTATTTTCAGCTTAAGATTTGTCAGTGATATGAGAAAGGGATTTATAATATAAGTATATTTAATATAATACTTAATACAACGATTAATATGCCTAACCCTCTATTCCATCTTATTCTCAACAGATTAGTCATTATTGGGAACATTATTTCATCATCTTTAAAATAAACTTTGCATTAAAAGATTATTGCAAATACATTTTTGAAAAGTTTTTATATTTTTAAATTAAGTAAATTTAAAGTTATTACTTTTGTTTGTTGTTTTAAATATTCAGAGCTTTGTTTTAAATTCTCAATATTTTTTGTATTACTTTAATCTGCTTTGTTTTTTTTTAATATTCAGAGTTCTGTTTTTAATCCTCAGCATTTTTATATTTTTCTGGATTACTTTAATCTTCTGTTAAAGGACATCCTCATATTTCTACGAAATCCTGCTTTCTTTTTTTGAAAAATCGAAATAATTTATTAATATTTCAAGGAATTCTCATAAACCTCTAACTTTTGGGGACTTTAACCTTAACTATTATCCTGCCTATACCATGTTAAGTTTAGATAAAAAACATTTTTAAGATAATTGAAAAATACAAACCTTTTCCAGAGCACCCTCCGGATAAAAGTGGCAGGCACGCAGGAAGACTGTGAGGAAGGCATCGTCGTCCTTGTAGTTCAGCTCCGGAGTGGCTTTGAGCAGCTCCCTCAGCTTCTTGATGGACTCCGCCTTGACCTCCTCCGTTTCCCGTAGCTCCACCCGGGCGATTTCCACGGTTTCTGGCTTGAGATAACCCAGTCGCAAGTTAAACGCCTCCTCGCTGATATCGTTGGCAGCCATTATATCGTCTTATTGGTTTTTTTTGTTCGTCGATTAATTTTCGGGGCCTGCGTGTTCAAATTTAAATTCGAGAAATGCGTTCTGTATTAGTTTTCTAAATCACACTGATTGCTTTTTGAAAATTGCCATTTAATGGCAACAGCACTTTCTGTTTGTTTGGTTTTATCGTTTGTTTTGTGAATGGGTTGTTGTTTAAACAATCTTCCAGAATTAAGCCATGATTGGTAGTAATTTCTCCTTTTCAGATATTTATTTACCTAAGGCGACTTCTAACGATTTTCACTGTTGTGGGGTTTTTTCAGAGTTCTTGATTCGTGCTTCCTCGCGGCTCGTTCGATTCGAGTCAACTGAATTTCGGTTTGCATTTGGAAACCCTTGTGAGTTAACTTCTATACTATATATATACAATAATATCAGCTACGACGACGGCTTCGGCGACTTCGACAGCGGCGTTGGCGATAAAAAAAATAGCAGCGAAGCGACCGAGGCGCTGGCAGAGCCGATCACAGGCGTCTTGACTCGACTTCCATTTCCATTCCTTATCTGCCGGAGCTACAAAACAGAACATAGTCCAACACAAAAGACAGAAAACCCTATTCCAAAAAAAGGTCACCATTACGGCTGTCGATCACCTTTACCCTTAAACCCCAATGAACCTCCAAGTCCGTAGGCCTCAAAGCCCAGCATAATGCTGTCTGAGCGCTGACATGTCGTCATTGATCGTGATGTTTACACGCGTACCAAGTCTTGAACTTAGCTCGCCTTGCCTTAAACTTACCCTTGCTCCATCTCCATCTCCTAGGCACGTAATAAAAAAGGCAAATTTGTTAAAAAATAAATATATATATATTTCAATTAAGTGCTTAAATAAAAAAAAGGTTAAGCCAGCCTATTGACAGCGGAAACGCAGCCGCAGTTCATAAATCCAGTCATAGTAGTCATCAAGATTTTAAGATAACACCAAAATGGATGGATCTACGAGTACCCTGTACAAGATCTTAAGGTTGCTTCAATTGTTATATCTGAGTCAAAAACTATTAAATATAAACTAAGTTTATTTTTATAATATCCAGACATAGTTAAACTATTAAAGTTCCTAATTAAAACCCCATCAAGACTCTTTTTATTACAATTCTTAAAGGGTATCTAGAACCTCTTTTGGGTAAAGTCCAATATGAAATTCTCGAGTGATAACAGCTCCCAAAAATATTCTACTTCTAGGGTTATTATCGAACTTTTCTTGTTCTGCTGCAAATAGAGCTGTCAACAACAACAACCAATGTGAGGAAATTCTAATCACAACTCATAATCCTTATCAGTAAAGCAGCGACGTAAGCAGAGCAGCTGGCAGCGCAGTCGTCGATGACTTGAGAAATTTTGATTGTTTTTGGTGGAATTGTTGTTATGGTAGGCAGGTGGGTGGTGGGTGGTTGGGTGGTTTGTGGTGAATCTTTGGCGCATTTTCACACCTTTACGGGGCATTGAATCGGATCGTGAATCGGCGATCGTAGTCCGTTATCATTGTTGGCCACTTTTGTTGCTGCATTTCACATTGTTATTACTGGAACGTGTTCGGTTCTTTGTTTTGAAATTCATGTCCCAAACACAAAACCACTTTTTGCTAAAGTCGATTTTATACGTGTTCTTATTGAATTACAGTGGTCTCTGGAAAGAAAGAAACTTTAATATTTTAAAAGAACCATTATGGAAAATAATGGAATGGAAAGGGGTTTGGATTATGGAAAGGTTTTATGTCCTTAAAATTATAATTATTTTTTTAAACTTTTTAAGCCCTTTTCTTAATAATTTTACTGTACTTTTTATAGTCTTCTACTTTACTTATATGGTGTAGTCATAGGGCAAAGTCTGCAACTTTTGATATGGTTTGTTGTTGAGGCTTCGACGACGTTTTAGTCGTCAACCCCCTTGCCTTTGTTGCTATTATTTTATTGTTGATTGTTCATACTATTGTTGTTTTCGATTTTGTTCAAGTATTTGACTTATTTTTTTGTTATTGTTTTTTTTCACTTACTTATTTGCTATTTAGTTGCCGAGCGTATTAATTCATTCTTTCAATTGTTGTTGTTGATTTTGCTATTGGTGCTGCATCAGCTTCTGGTTTTTTTCACTGTTTATGTACAATTTAAATATGTGTATTAACTAGATAACACTCTAGCTTTAATATAGATATTTTTCTGCAAGTATTAGTAGAGAATGTGTGGCTTTAATTGTGAATTTAATTTCTACACAAGAACACAAACGAAAGATTTGATCAACAAACTTATCTCCAAGCAGGCACAGCTGTAGGGTATTTCAGATTAAACGATTGAAAAATAAATATTTTTTTCCTAACAATTACACTTATTAGCTAATTCCTGACTACCTGTTTGATCAGATTATAAAGTGTGGTAGGATTTATTGAGGATATGCAAAAGTCCATGACTTTAGGACATGATATTCACTCCCACTTTTTAATCAAAGTTATATATAGCATAGATCTTATCTTAAGCACTTCGTCAAGTATTTCAAAATACAATTTTTAACCGGCTTTTGTGGCATTATCAAGCGATAAATATGGCACCTCAAACGCTAATCTTTAGATTAGCAAAGTATACATAATACTTAGATTCTATGGCTTCCGTTAAATATTGATAAGCCGAAAGCAAACCCCCTAGCAAAGAACTATTACGGATGATAAAAGAATGGTTCCCCAACAAGGCACCAATTAAGATAAATGGTCTCCATGATATACAGGCTTTGTCTATCTGGAGAACTTTTACCAATAGTTCATTGAGAAATCAGATATTGAACTTTGTCAAGTAAGTTCCAGTATCTCTGTAGTAAGACAGATATTGCAATCAAAAGAAAACACCTGCACAAAGTGCACTATTTCAAAATTACAGAAATCCATTCTCTCAACCAGACAAAGTATATATCACGCTGATTTCCCCGTTCGACTTTGATCCTTTAGTAATCGCTGACGTCGGAAGTGCCGAGAACAACCCCATGGAACAAAAGTCAACAGAAGTGTGTCATTCGTTGGGAAATATTAGTCCAAAGAAAACATGTACTAGGGAAAATCATGGAGGATCTAACTGAAAATGTATTCTTGGAAACTTTTAGCAAATATCATTAAAAATAGGTAAAACCATAGATATTATCTTCGTTTTCGGCGATTAACAAAAAACCTGCCTTGTCATGAATAATATTTCGAAATATTTTAAGTGACTAGGGACAAGGTCACAGACAACATTGTAGGGGGAATACTTTTATAGTTGACTTGGGAGGTCAGTTATGGTTGTTTTAAGTACCAAGTCTATTCTTAAGCACCTAAAAAAGTTGTAAGAAAGTATAATTTAAAAACTACAATGTAATTTTAAATTAAAAGTATTTTCAACTAATAAATGGAGATACAAATATTTATTGACAACACTGCGTATACGTAATATTTTGGAAGAGGAGATCATAAGGATAATTTATTTAAGTGTTGTATGTACATTCTAAACTTCTAACTCTATAAGTAGATTATTTCAGCATTTAAGAAACCTAACCATCATTGCGTATACGTAATATTTCTTACAAATTTCACATTTTTAGGAAAATTTGCTGACCTTTATATAATAACATTAAGTAATTAATCAACAAGTTATTTGGCTTCAATACATGGTTATTATCTTTATGACAGCAAGGCGTTCGTTTCCCCCACATACTCGTACTACAATATTTTTATTGCTGCCATTATTTAGATAACTCAGCTGGCGAAAAAATGTTAAATTTATCAGCCATCCAAAACCCAGCTATGATAACGAGAACGGTGTTTGAAAAAAAAGAAAAGAAAACTGCAAGCATGACAAAGAATGAAATCAAAAGAATTGGCCAAGAACAATAACGATGAACTTCACCCGATGGCCTTCAAAACTGGCTAAAGAAAGTTGCGAATTCCAGTGTTTCGAGTGCTGCAATCAGCAAAATATGAAGCGCGGCAAAAAATGTAAGAAACTTTGAAAATTATTCAAGCGTGTCTAAAGTTCACCCCCCAGGGCTTCTGTTCATTGCTAATTGATAGATTAACACGGCCCGATATCACCAGGCTGATTAAGAAACCAGTTTATTGTTTCTGTTGGCAAACATAATCGAACCGTTAAAGTGGCTAATAAACAAGAGCTTTTTTAAACTTTTCCAAGGGTTCGTTTCATTGATTTTTCAAGCAGAGCTTTAGAAAAATAAAAAGTGTTGTAAAGTTTTGTATTTTATTTTAAAAATTGATTTATAAAGATTTAAAGTTGTTTCCAATAGGGTTTAGTTTGTTATTCGATAAATGATTTTAATTTTAAGAATCTAGGATTAATATTTAAATGAAAGAACAGTATCGTGTAAAAAGCATTATCATTATTTAATAAAGTTTATTATACTCAATTGTATTTATATATCAGAAATATATTTTAAAAAATACGTATGTATGTATATTCTATAAAGTACTTAAGGTCTTCATTAATATCTTCATCTATAAGATTAACATTAAGATCTTCATTTAATATTAACTTCATTTAATAAAACGACAAAATCATTAGCTTAAAGCTTGACTTGTTTTATTTAAAATATTTTATATTTCAAAGCTTATAATGTAGTGCTGGTTAAGACCTTCAGGGAGAGCTTTTATTTCGTTTCTCTCTATTTTTGTTTTCAGTTTGTGTTTGCAGTTTTTTTTGTCAAGCTTGAGTTGGCCAGATAATTAATAACAAGCGCTGGAGAGCGATTTACAATCTCAGAGTTGTTTTGGCCGCGTTGCTATTTGGACGTCGCCGCTGTTGTCACTCACCTGCCGTTTCGAATCGCACCTGCGTTATATTGCCGCGTCCTGCCCGCAAAATAGATAGCATACCCCCTCTTCGGTACACCACCTCCTTGCCTTTTTTGGCCAATTGCAAAAGTTGTACTTACAGTGAAACGTGAAATCTTTTTATTTTAGCTTGCCAAAAAAAAAACGGAAAAGAAAATTACGATTTTTTTGTTTTGCGGTAAGTTGCGTTAACATTATGCTTTATAGAAAGCCATCTGGGGGTAAAGATTTTGGCCATTGTTGTCTTGGATTTGTATTTCGGTTTTTGCCTTTTTGAAGTGCGCATGCGCAGCTACGTTGACACACTTTCTGCCTCCGTCCAAGTGTCTGTGTTAGCCTAGCTTACTTGCCACAAGACAGTTATATGGCTCTCTGGCTTTTTGGCCATAAAAACAATTACCACTTGCCGTTGCCTCTGGTGTTGCTGTTTGTTGCTGCTGCTGACGTTAGCTGCATTTCGACAGCGCGTGCGATTCGATTCCAACAAAAACACAAAAATCAAACCAAGCCCACAAAAATAAGAGAAAAAAT